ATGGTGTAATATTGAAGCCCTTAAAAAATTGCGCTTCAAAATGATCATGAAGCGCCTCAAAAAGTAAAAAATCTTTGAGTGACTGGTTTTAACATATTCATCTTCCCAAATGGATGAGAATTAAGGCGCCATGAATGTCTTGCTCAACTTTATATCATCTGAAATCGCAACCATAGTCTGACAATGGTTTCCACTATAGCTAACGTCAACAATCCACAGTACTGTCTTTTAGGCATACAGTACTATAAAGTGCTATAAATAAGCGAGATTTTTGTACGTGTATGTTATCAAAATAATTAATGGTTTAAATTTCAAAATGGATATATAATTATGTCAGTCATTTTTTTAATCGATGTTATTTTTTTTTCTCACAACACACTGGCACCGATGTTATAGAAAATAGCACTTGAATAGATGGATGTTTGTTTCTACTTCTTGTACCCCCCCCCCCTCCATCCCCCATTTTATATAATCTTACCTTTCCTTATTCATCACAGTGTAGTCTTTATCATTATATTCTTCGTTTCAGCTTGTCATTTACACCTCTCTCTCTCTCTCTCCCTCGCGCTCTCTCTCTCTCTCTCTTCCTCTCTCTCTACCCTCTCTCTCTCTCTCTCTCTCTCTCTTTCTCTTTCTCTCTCTCGCTCTCTCTCTCACTCTCTCTCCCTCTCTCTCTCTCTCTCTCACTCATGGACATTGCCAACTGATTCTGATAATATTGTAGTCCAGTAGACGGTGCCATATCGCATATGCCATGTACATGACCTGGAAAAGTTGATAAGTACAAGGTTTTTTTGTTGATTTGTGTTCTAGATGGGTATTGAAGTAAATTCAGCGTGGTTGCCAGCTTGGCAACCTTGAGCAACTTTTTTAATAGCCGTATCAGCATAATCATCTAATTAGCATATGTGCAATTTGTAATAATGTTGCTAATCTCAATCCAGGAAGCCTGAAAACATGAATAATACGACTATTCAAGGGTTTTCTATGACGAGGAATTCATTTATGACACCAGTTTTTTATTCCAATTAATGCAATTGTCTTAAATAGCATAATTAGCATACTTATGTACAATGTATGGACTTCATTGTCACTGTTTATCTATAAAGCCTAACAATGGTGCAATGCAACATTGTAAATCACTTTTGAAAGACTAATCATTAATTCATGAGAAGATATTCCATGTATATTAGCCTAATTAGCATAATCATATAATGTGCAGTATGTAATAATGTTGTTAATCTTAATCCAGGAAGCCTGAAAACATGGATTATGTGACTTTTTAACGATTTTCCATGACGAGGAATTCATTTATGTCACTATTATTTATTTTTAACTAATGCAATTGTCTTGGACTTCATCGTCATTGTTTATCTATAAAGCCTAAAACTGGTGCAATGCAACATTTTAAATCACTTTTGAAAGACAACACAGTGATTCATGAGAAGATATTCCATGTAGATGTAGTATAATTAGCTTAATTAGCATCATGTATGTGCAATATGTAATAATGGTGCTAATCTTAATCCAGGAAGAATGAAAACATGGATAATATGACTTTTCCAGGGTTTTCCACGAGGGATTCATTATGTGACACCATTTTTAATGTTTAAGTAATGCAATTGGCTTAATGTGTAATTATTGTACTGATAAGCCTAATTAGCACATTTGTAGAATATCAATTATTTGTGACTCTATTCAGCTTCACAAATTGTATGTCAAATGTACAGTGGGGGTTATAAGGCAATGTTGTCGAACCTCATGAAATGTCTAGGAAATGACGGGGTCATCATACGCATTGATGGTTAGGCTTCAGTCATTGGATTTAGAGAGACTTTCGGGAGCACACTGAAGATGGTTTAATAAAGCAGATGATAATGATGGAATTGATGATGTGGTGAGACAGGTACGTACATAGGCCAGGGATGTTGAATACAACAGTGCAAACTATGATATGTCTATGTTTACTATAAAAGCCAGAACCATTGATAGTACAGGCCCGACGTTGCTCAAGCTTGTGGCAGAATTCCTGGAAAAGTCATGTTATCCATGTATTCAGGCTTCCTGGATTAATATTAGCAACATTATTACATATTGCACATCATATGCTAATTAGATTATTATGCTAATTAGGCTAATGATGCTACATATACTCTAATGAATTAATGATTAGTCTTTCAAAAGTGATTTACAGTGTTGCATTGCGCCATTGTTAGGCTTTATAGATAAACAATGACAATGAAGTCCATACATTGTACATATATGCTATTTATGCTATTAAAGACAATAAATTACTTGGAATAAAAACTGGTGTCATAAATGAATTCCTCGTCATAGAAAACCCTTGAAAATTCGTATTATCCATGTTTTTAGGCCTCCTGGATTGAGATTAGCAACATTATTACATATTACACATTATGCTAATTAGATGATTATGCTAATATGGCTATTAAAAAAGTTGCTCAAGGTTGCCAAGCTGGCAACCAAGCTGAATTTACTTTAATACCCATCTAGAACACAAATCAACAAAAAACCTTGTACCTATCAACTTGTCTGTTTGCGATCAGACAAAGTGCATACAATTCAAGAGGTCAATTGGAGTACAAAGGATAATAGCGGTGAATGAAATGATTCAGCACCACAAACACCTGGAAAAATTAGCATCCATAAATTGAATACATTTAATTGATAAACGACTCCCATAGTTCGTCATGCAATCAAGAAAATTGCGATGCCCATGTCTTGCTGAGAAACTGTACTTTATTCTTGCTTTATGCCTTTCTCATACACTTTAGTGGGGAGTCTTTAATCGTGTACAAATTGGGCATGACGGAACTAAATAAGAGGAATTAAAACATATTATGCTTAAACCTTTTTTTGCAATTTATGAATAGGGTCCAATTTCGTAATGCCAAAATCTGTCCATGTAATGTTGCCGCAATAAATAAAAGGTTGTCATAAAGAGTTGTATTACAGAAAGAGATGTTTTTCTGTGAGAGTATACTAAGTATTTGATATAATATGCCTATGTTCCTAGATATGGTATTACATTTACGTAAGCGCTGTTCATTATGACAGATTATCATCAAGACCGAATCCTATACAACGGAATCAACAAAATTCAATTCAATATCTTCATTTTTACAGAGAATTCTAGAGGATTGTGTGAAAAATGTGGGTTTCGAGAACATGAATTAGTCTATTAGCTTCTAAGCAATAGGATATTTTCCACAATTCGTAAAGTTTGTTTATTAAATGATAGAAATTTGAAGTCACCATGGGTCGATATAATGCAAATAAGTTTTTAAATATCTGTGTATAGTTTGCAGTGGAGGCTCCCAATTAACTTTCGTTGATGCCCATGGTCATCGGTATGCAACTCTAGCCCTTGACATTGTTTTAACACATGTGGTATGTCATTCATCATTCATATCTATGAGTTGATGACCTTTAAAAATAGGAACTATGAACCTCCGATTGGTTTGAGAGTCAAGCGTGTACAGCAATTAACCAAATGCTCCCACTGAGTGTATCACCAATTTGCCTTACACTTACCAACAGATGTGAAATAAAGAATTATATTGTGTGTGTCATGAAGATGAAGAAGATGATGGGTTGGTATAAATAAAAGAATTTCCATAACAGTCAAACGTAGAACTAGATTTTGAAAATAGAAGAAGAAAAAAAGAAGAATGCTTATTTCAGTTATATATTCCTATTAGTACAATTTTTTAACGATTATGCTCCACTTTTCCTGAAAAAGCAGGAATTTATCAATAAATGTTTAAAAATGTTGGAAGAAATTAACAATGGTTGGATGATATCAAAGATTACAAATGAAATCATATTCTTGTACAAAAACAATTGTTATTAGAAAATGAATCCCAAACACGTGAAAATGAAACACTACATTTTCTACATCATACAACTGGTGAGCCGCTATCAGTTTATTATAGCAGAGTTTTTTTTTTTAACCGGGTAAAAAAGTTTTAACGCATTTTGAAGCCTCAGTTGCATGGTTTAAAGGGCAAGTTTATCAACCTTATTCCAAAACTCTAGCACACGTGCTTTACGTTGCAGTACGGTGCCAAATAAGTAATAACATTTATTTAAACAAATATCTTGTTTAAATGTATAGTTGTTTCGCTCTTTAAGACAGCATAGACAACTTTAGGCAACATAAGTCTTGTACTTAAAACATATACATGATCCATTCGTCAAACAGTTAATTTTGAGGGGAACTCAATCCCACCAACGATTCCTCAATTGTAGCGACAATCGTTCGCCTTTGCTGCTCTTCAATAATACGATGACTATCAGTATTAATAACTGTTTTCCAGGGCTCATGATCAATTCGTTAAACTGTTGATTCCCTCGATTGATTCTTTTGCTTGTAATTATTTGGTGGAGAGGGATAGAAGTGAACGGATTCACGCTTAACGACGTTGTATTATTATTCTTATTTGTTCATCGTCTGTACATTGCTATTTGATTTTATTTTTAAACAGCTATATAATGTTTTTTTAGGGGTGAAGGAAATAAGATATGGAGTACAATTTCCACAACACGTATTCTCCATTCATGTCTAAAAGGTCATGTTATACTAGTGCCATGCGGGAAACCCATGCAGGACGCAGGTTCGGAACTGAGTCACGCCTTTCGGATGGTGGCGCTTAAGGTCGGTCCCCAGACGTAAATCGTCATATATGATTGATACACGTCTGTAAAACCCAATTACACACACACACACACACACACACACGAGCTGCCGTTTGATTTTGCTTTTTAAATCGAAAATCGTGTGTGTCATAAGTAAGTGCTGGAAAACGAGAAAGAAAGATTTGTAAAAATTCAGAAAATACATAAACAAAGAACACTTCTCACAAAGACTTTTTTCATTGACAAATGACAAAAATAAGTGACAGATCTGCTGACAACTAATCAGAAGCAAGGATTTCAGTAGCTTATAACATAAACTGTCATTTGTCACTGATGACAAGTTTTGTGAAACGGGCCCTGGTCCAACTACTATGCACCGTATGTGTGCCGTGTGCACGCCTCGGGGACATTCGCAACATATCTAATCGATATCAGATTTCGTTCATCACGCGCATGGGCTTGATTTTTCAACGTAACTATACTGGCACACATTCGGACAGTGCGGAGTGACAGGGAATATATTTCGTCCAACGAGACTGCTCCTAAAACGTGCCAACTGCTGTGATCTTCTCTTGGAATCATTTCGAAATGGCAGCTCCAATTAAAGCCAGAGATTTGAAAAGCATCGAAGATGAGGAGAAGGGAGATGAAGACAGTGATGTGGATACTATACAAAAGCGAGGGGAATGGACCAAGAAGATCGATTTCTTCTTGGCACTTTGCGGATCATCCATCGGGCTAGGAAATGTTTGGAGGTTCCCGTATCTCTGTTATAAGCATGGTGGAGGTAAGGCCAGGATTATCTGAGTTTTCTGTTAATAATGATAATAATAATATTGGATATTTATATAGCGCACATAATATTATCCACCATGCGTGGTGCTCAAGGCGCTCCAACTTTTTCCCGGCTCTGCTAGGCAGCCGATTTCGGCGCTCACATCATTCAAGTAATTCCTTCCTACCGGTACACATTTAACACTATGATTACTGATTACTGATTCAAATTAAGACTAAAGAATCAAAATTATGTCCTGTGATTTTCTTAAAAAGAGATATGAAATATAATTTCTTCCTTGACTGCCTGCATTCCTTCTATATTTATATTTATCTTTTATAATATGTTATACGATTTACGTTCTGATATTTAGTTGTCTTATTTTGTGTATTGTGTTTATATACTTTTGATTTTCAATGACTCTCAAATTATTTGTAAATACTGTGATTCTGTTTTTATTCAATTAAACATACCCCATATGGAAACGTTGTATCATCCGCTCAATCTGACCTGCGTACATAGAAAAAAAAGGCATTTTTCCATGAAAAAGTGAAGTTTTCTAAAATGTGCGTTTCTTTCCAGCATTGGGGTGCCCGGGAGTCACTCGGGTAACATTCCATAAAGTATAATATAAAAAGACCATATGCAAATGTTCTGTACTTTTGTCGGAAAAAATAGATTTATCCAGCACAATGTCGTCTCTTTTTGCGTTGGAGAAGAGCAAAAAGCGAGTTTCAATCATATTTGGCCGCTGTCGCAAGCTCTCACTCGTTTCACTGTGCTCAAAAGACTTTGGGGCAAGCGGTTAATGAAAATACTAATCGTTAGCTTTCTTCTGGTATTAAACTTGTTTTGATTGATTGTATAATTGTGTCGGAATAAAGGAAACAAAAAGGCTTGACCAATAACCTAAACAGGTTCTAATGACGTCACCTTCGCTCAATCGGTGTCTTGTATCGTAAAATGCTTCACTTTTACAATGTTTATACACCTTTTTTAATTATTAGTAAGATATAACATGTTTTGTCTGATATCACTGAAGTTTTGGGTTTTATTTAATGAGTAATTTTAAAATAAGAGCCATTTTACTGTTTTAATTTACTGGATCGTACCATTACAGTCGCAGGGTAGAAAGATGCATTTTCCAACCGCGCTAAATTTAATTTACGTTCCGACATTCTGTTAAATGGGTTCGTGTTGTTAAGAATCCACTGCTTTCTGCTCCACCAAACGTCCACATACGGAATCGTTTATCAACTAAATTATTCAAATTTATGGATGCTTCCTTCCCAGGTGATTGTGTTGTTGAAGCATTTCATTCACCTGCTATCATTCTTTGTACTCCAATTGCCAGAACGCAAATTACATTTTGGTTTTTATAGTTTCATGCGGAGTCGTTTATCAACTATATGTATTCAAATTTATGAATGCTTCCTTCCCAGGGATGGTGTTTATGCATTTCATTCACCTATTATTATTATTTGTACTCCAATTGTTAGAATACAAAATGCATTTTGTTTTTATAGTTTCATTCAATAAGTAAGTCAATAAAAGAGTATGTTCTGCACAATAAAAACAATGTGTGTCCCTATTGTACAATGTAATGTGCCCCCTCATTTTGTAATAGTTAATTTACCCATTCACATCATGGAACTACCTGCCCGGTGAAGCCAGTGGCCCGTGACCCCTGAGCACTCAACACCGTGTGGGAGTCAGTTTGTGGTCAACTTCTTTTATGAGACAAATCAAAGCAAACGTTCCCATATGCCCCCCCCCCCCCCCACAAAAAAAAAAAAAAAAAAAATGCCTCCTCTCTCTCTCTCTCTCTCTCTCTAATTTTGCCTATTTTTTTTCTTCTTCGTATTACGTGTCTCTATTATTCATTTGGCCTAATAGTAATACGCGATAATTATTATCGATATAAGGCTTCCAAGTGGTACAATAGATCAGTGTATTCAACATCTTTAGCGCAGTACCCGGATGACTGACCAATATTGTTTTCGTATTGCTCAGTCATCCGGGTACTTCAACTTTCGATATCGATATCTTGGCGATATATCACACGAAAATAAAGCCATATTCACTTCAAGTCAGATTATTAAGTCAGATTTTGTTATTTCGCAAGTCAGACTAATATAGATAATAAATTGCACAATATTATGGCGTTTGCGGCAAATTGCTTTGTTGCATACGTTCTTTCCTCTCAGATCGCCAACAGTGTGTCTTGTTTGAAGGGGTAAAATCGGATTGGAATCAAGTTCCTTCCGGTGTGCCACAGCCCACAGGGTTCCGTTATTGGATCGATCTTGTTTAATTATTTCACAGCCGACTTACCTGACACTGTTTCATCCCCCTTCCACAATATGCTGATGACACAGTTTTGTACCGTGAAGTTTATACCAACAACGACTCTCATTATTTGTTGCAAACTGACTTGAATAATATACTTCTGTGGTGTATTGATAATGGCATCGTCCAGAACTCATCTAAGTGCAAAGTAATGCACATAACTAGATCCCGTAAATTAATTACTACTGTTTACTCCACTGACGGAAATCCTTTAGATGTAGTTCAGTCGTATAAATATCTAGGACTTACTTTTTTGCGAGATCTGAGTTGGAAAAACCATATTCAATGTGTTATTAACAAATGTTCTATGCTCTGTGGGTTTATCCGACTGTAAAATCTAGAAACTCAGCTATTCTCACAAAACTCTTTTGTTCATTATGTCGACCTGTGATTGAGTACGGCATACCAACATTACATCAGATGAAAGAAGAGGATCTCAGCTTTCCAAATATGTGTCATTTATCAATTATAATTGTGCTTAAGTTATGATCAAACGTCGATAATTCTCGGTTTCGTTTTTCTGGGACGCACTGTATAGTACCATATAGAAGCGGAATTAAACTTTCTATAACCCGCTCTCACCCCAATCGCCATCGGTAAGAGTAATGGAACATTCCATCTCGAGTTGTGAAGGGATCTCCTGTCGTGATGGTCATCATTTATGACGTATGTGAAGTTCATGGTTACTTTACAAGTTCAAATATTAAGTTCATAATTACCGCGAGCTGAACTTCAATTGACTCCTTCAAAGCGTTAAACTATGGAGCCTTTTGCTTTCCATGGTCATTTCTACGTATTTTTTTATAGTCTTCCGTTCCCAAAATATGAGATGGATTGACGAGTGTTTTGGGGAGTATCGTTACCTGGACTCTTTAATAATCATTACAATAATATTGATAATGATAATGATGATAATAATGATGATAATAATAATATGAATAACTTTGATAAAGATAATACATGTAATTATAATAATGATAGTGATGATAACAATAACGATAATGATAATACTATTACTTCTATTACTTCTACTACTAATAATATAATAATGTTAATAATGATAATGATAATAATAATAATAATGATGATGATGACGATGATAGCTCATAATTATAATGATAATAAGAATGATGATGATGATAATGATGATGATAGCGCATATTCTGCGGAAGGTCACGGTTTAGTGTGGAGAAGAGGATGGTGAAATTTAGACGACTGACGATTTAGAAGATGGACCAGTTCATACATGTATCAATAGGTTTCATAAAACTATAAATTAAAAGTCCACAAGTAGAATAGATAATAATAATCTAATATCTAAGATTTATATAGCGCTAGTATACAGATACAGTTTCTTAGCGCTTTACAAAACAAATGAAATGAAAATTACGGTTAAACTAAATATGTCATAAGTCATAATTATTGTGTTTAACAATTATTTTTTTAGGAAGGTCACATTAAATTTAAACCATATTGTTTTGTTTTATTATCCTTATATTACGTTAATCTTTTGTAAAGCGTTTGTGATTCCAAGAGTTCATTAATATTCAGTCTGTTAAAATAAAATCCCTTTTCTTTTCATTTGAAAAAAAATAACAGGTGCATTCTTGGTGCCTTACTTTCTGAGCCTGCTGTTAGGGGGTATTCCCCTCCTGATCATTGAGATTGGTTTAGGTCAGTTTACAGGACAAGGGCCAGTTACAGCATGGGGTATGATCTCACCCCTCTTCAAAGGTGAGCCCCCCCCCCCCCACCACCACCATGCACCCCACACACACACATACACACCCTTTCACTCTCTTTCTTATCACTCCCTCTCTTTATCTTCTCATCCTCCCTCTCTCTTGTTTCCCTCTCATCTACATTTCTCACTATACTGCTAATTTATTTGAAATATATGCTTTCATAAATCGTAACTACATGTATTATTTTGTTTTACTGTGGCTCATTCACTTTTTTCCGTATTTCACATGACTTCCTGTCCCATTCACCGTTTCTTATCCAGGGCCGCGTTGCATAAAACTTACCATTGATGGTAACTTTTCCAACAATGGCAACTACCATGGTAACAGGGCTCAACAGCCAATCAAAATCAAGGCTTCCATGGTAGTTACCATTGATGGCAAAGTTACCATCAATGGTAAGTTTTGTCCAACGGGGCCCTGGTCTTTTAAATTCATTTTTTGTTTGTTTAATGCATTAATGCTGGACACGTGCACGTTTCCGTAAAATACAGGAATCGGTGTTGCTGGCCTGGTCATCCAAGCTCTACTGGACATGTACTACGCGGTGGTCATGGCATGGGGCATCTTCTATCTATTCTGGTCATTCAGACGCGTCCTTCCGTACTCGACCTGCGACAACCATTGGAACACTCCTTGCTGCTTCGCTACGAACGCCGTGACGAACATCAACACGACGTCGGGTGATGATAGCACGACATACGAGATGACCACGAATACGATGCTGAATACGAGTGATGAGTGCGGGAACGAGACCACATCGTCGACTGTTGAATTTTGGAAGTAAGTTGACATGGAGCCTTGATTAGGCCTATACCTGCCTGTGATGAATATAATACACCTACCCTCAAGTACATAGAGACTGCACAAGACCTCCACATGTTTTTATAAAGATACATAGGAAATAGAAACGGCACTAGTCTTTTTACACCTTTTAAGATCTACACAAGATTGATGGAGCGAGAATTCCAATAAAAACTTTGATAATAATTATGTCTTGTAGTATATTTATAAAGCGCTTTAATAGAGACATTGTATTAAGTGATATATAAAAGCTCAATATTATTAGTAAAGGGGCGTCGCCAGAGCATTGTTAAATGAAAGGGGGTAGAAGCGTATGTAGCTGAATCAGCCTCATCTCTTCTCCCCTCTTCTTATACCAAAATATATAGATGGCTGGGGTAAAGGTTAGGGCTAGTTGTAGAGTTGGTTTAAAGTTAGAGTTAGGAATTAGGTCAGTTTAAATTATTGACCGCGTAGCAATAATAATTGTTGCACGAATTGTTGCAGCATTGTTACATTGCCAAACCTAATATTTTTTTAATATTTATTCCTGTTGATGATAGCCGTAAGGTTCTTCAGATTCACCTGTCAGACGGAATCGATGATGTAGGACCAGTCAACTGGCAGCTTCTTCTATGTCTCATCTTAACTTGGATTCTCATCTATTTCTGCGTGTGTAAAGGGGTCAAAACGTCAGGAAAGGTTTGTACCACAAAAAAAAATGGCAGATTATTAAATCCAAAACTAATAATGGTTGTGTTTTGTATAATGTCGTCATCAACTGCTTACATTATGAGGACAGAAGAAATATTTCAATCTCTTCTAATTCTAAAAAGATCGGGAGCATGATGTCACATTTAGTAATATTGTTTTTACCCAATTTGATATAGTGTGTGATGTATTCTTCATTGTTTTAAAACAGTTTATACGGGTCTTACCTAGGTAAAGAAAAAGTCGCGAAATTATAACAAGATATAATGATAAAATAATCTTCAGATACAATAGAGTCAGGAAAAGTGTAAAAATAATAATAATAATAATACATAACATTTATTAGGCGCTTAATACTGATGTTTCTAAGCGCACAGTGTTCTGATTAAGAGAAGACTATAACCCGTAGAATTAAATTAGAAGAAAAAGCAAAAAATACACAAATAACAATTGATAAAACTTGTCATCAATTTAAAGTAGAGCAGTTTGGATTTGCTGCATGTGCTATCAAATTGTAAAAGTGATTAACAACTTCTTTCTCGTTATTTTAAAGAAACCTAGTTTTCGTTTACTGTTTTGATGTCTAACTTTGAAAAATGACGCAACAAAACCTGACTAATGTCTTGCAGGTAGTATACTTCACAGTTCCCTTACCCTACGTCTTACTGACCATCCTACTTATACGAGCTGTGACCTTACCCAATGCAGCCGAGGGGGTCATCTTTTATCTCAAACCAAACGTCACAAAGCTACGGGAAAGCCAGGTAAGTCTTGCACAAGTTAATAATAATAATAATAATAATAATAATGTAACTTATATCGCGCCAAATCCACTATTGTATTGTATCTGATATATATAATTACTTATATCGCGCCAAATCCACTATTGTATTGTATCTGATATATATAATTCATCGTTTTTCTTTCTAGCTACTAGTACCATGTTTGTCTTGTATTTGACACTTCATGTAAAGGCCGAGAGTGATGCTTATAATTATTACGCAACTCTACTCAAAACGACAGCAACTACGTATCTGCTGCGCCTGCACATTTTGTTAGCAAATGATAAAACGGTGCTCCTTTATTTTGTCGACACTTGACACAGACACTTGACAAAATAACTTTTGATACTCGCAGCGAAATTCCATTCGAGGGAAGTTTATGGTAATAGAATGTTGTGAATATTGTTAGATATTTTCGAGATTTCTATGATTTTTCTTTGTGATAGACATTTTGGCTGTAATCTGCTGATGACTAAAGAATTTGATAATTTTATGAATATGAATTATATCTTCAGCTTTAATAATACCTATACTCTAATTATCAAAGCATGTTCTGAAATGTGCTTAAATCTAACTCGATGACGTTTGGCGTATAGAGACTCCAAAAAGACCGTTGCTGATGATTCGATACCAAATTTTGCAACGGACATCTTTAATTTCTTAAGAATACAATGATTGTTTCTCAATACCCCAATTAATTGCGATTCCTCGCACACGTGAATATAGTGAAAGGGGAAGGGGAAGGGGAGTCAGATTTGAATCACCCCTTCATGACTATTGATGTTTAGCTAAAGGCACATAGAAAATAGATATGAAACAATCGGAATTACCTGTCCTTATGATAAAAGACCTGCATAGTAGATAGTAAAAAATTCTTTTGTACTAATCTCGTTTACAATTTTAAGTTTTGTCTCTATGTCCAATTTTTTGTCTTACTGTTTATGTATATTCAGGATATTATGTTTATCATGTAAGTTTTCTTCATTTAGTTCGTGAAAGTTGAATATGTAAAGCGCCTAGAAGCAATATGTAAATTTAAATCAACTGTATTATTATTATCAATACTATTATCGTCATTATTGTTATTATCAATATTGCTTTATTATAATTTTCACTGCGTTCTCAAATTATTTGAATATATGTTGTTTTCCTGTTTTAGGTCTGGCTCGACGCAGGTACTCAAATCTTTTATTCCAACTCCCTCGGTCATGGGGTTTTAGTTGCTCTTGGGAGCTTCAATGCGAGAAACCACAACTTTGTCAGGTAAGAATCATAAGTCAATAATGATGATAATAATCATTCTGATAACCCGGGGAAGCCTCATCAGCTACAACGTTGTTTTCATGATTTCGTTTTTCCACATAACATGCGTTTTGAAAAATGTGAACAATTATCATGTGAACTATCTTTCTGTGATCCTTCCATGGAGATGATTCAATGATCTTTTTACGTTTCAATATGTTAATTGACAAATCTTCTTCCTTTTTTATTTCCCCAGGGACACACTGTTATATGCTGCCATAGGTTGCGCGACCAGTCTGTTTTCTGGCTTCGTTACATTCGCTGTCTTGGGTTTTATGGCTGGAAAACAAGGAAAATCGGTCGCAGATGTTGCAACTTCAGGTAAAAACACAAATTAATTTTCAAGATATTTGCTAAGTGATAATTTGCTTATACTGCTACTTAAACGGTTTCTCCGGACTGGCGAAGATGTCAAGTACGTTGGATAGACATGCGGCGGGTTTTTTTTGGGGGGGAGGCGGCTAGTGGCTGTATGGTCGCAGCTAGTGAATGCTTTCAGTGTTACCTTTAGCACTAGCTGTCTTTTATTTGGTCCTTCTCATGAAGTTTCGTCTTGAGGCGAATTTTTTTTTGGTTTAAATCTCTTACAATTATCTCTGCAGGTCCTGGACTTGGTTTCATCGCTTACCCCGAGGCCATCGCTCAGATGCCCCTCTCGACCCTTTGGGCTATCCTCTTCTTTCTTACCCTTCTCCTTATTGGAATTGATAGTCAGGTTAGTGACGTCATTTGAATGGAATCGAGTAGGAAAGATTAGAAAAGATATGCATGGCAATGTATGTGGACAAAGCTTCAATACGACTACCACGCAAAAATGTCGGTATGATTCCTGATTCTTATTAAAGACAATAAGGAATTATAATGTTTGATCAGTCTATTGTATAACTGATATCATCATCGTCATCATCATCATTATCATCATCATCATTACCGTCATCATTGTTATCATCACCATCTTCATCATCATCATTGTCACTGAATATTATTAACACTTTGATAACGATAATGTTACATAATGACTGAAAAGCAGAAAAACGAAATCCTAATTCAACTTTGTTTTTATAGCGTATCATAATATGATGTACTTTGTTTTGTTTTGTTTTTTTGCTACTGTTAATTATGACCAAATATCTGACAAATTTGCTGAATGAAATCAATGAATTTTCAATTCATTATTCTCTCTAACAGTTTGTATGCGTCGAGGGATTCATCACCACTGTGGTCGATCTTTTTCCTAACACCCTCCTACGAGGTCGACGACGAGAGATCTTCTGCGCTGTCATTTGCCTTGTTTTCTGTATTCTGGGCATCCCAATGGTAACCAATGTAAGTATTGACAAACAAAACAAATTATTGTGTTTTCATATATTGACATTTGTATTTGAATTTATCGACCCTTACAGCATTATAGAGGTATCGTGGTCGAGTGGATATGTCACCGGACTGTGGATCACAAGGTCCGCAGTTCAAGTCCCGCCGCGGCACTAATGTCCTTTGGCAAGACATTGATCTATATTTGCCACTCTCCACCCAGGTGTTAAATGGGTATCCGGTAGGATGCGAAAGTTAATGTGGTTTGATTAGCAAGTGGCGCTTGTAAAATGGCGACTGGCTGGAATGCTCCCCAGGAAGTGGAGAATGTGCATACATTGTGCGCGAGTAAGCATGAATCCGAAGACCGGGGTAATAATCTATAAATCGCAATGAGAGGGCCTGCGGTCATGAAATGCGCTATATAAGGAAGAACTATTATTATTATTATTATTTTTGTGTTATCTTTATTTTTGCAAAAATGTGATTTTTCTTCCAGTGTTTTATCCTCCAGTTGTCAAACAAATAAAGAAAGTTCACTTTATCCTCTCCGCTCAGGGTGGGATGTACATCTTTCAACTCTTTGACTACTATGCGGCTAGTGGCTTCGTTCTCCTCTGGGTCGCTATACTGGAGTATGGTGTCATCGGCTGGGTTTATGGTATGCAAACGCATTTCTTTCTATGTTCGAAATTCTCATTTAGTTAATTTGTTAGTCTGTTAGTTAGACTGCCGTTGTTTCATTTTCATTTCTGTCACATGGTATCTGTGTAAACACAACCATTGGATAAAATGGGGTAATAATTTTACCTGTTTAGCTAAATATTGAATATGAAAACACTGGCAATAATTATTCATACCTTCTTTCCTTTCTTGATGTTCTTTGATTTTATCACCATTATCTAAATAATCTAATTATCCGTGTTTGTCTATCCCTATTTAAGGTGGTAGGCGTTTTATGAGTGACATAACAGAGATGACTGGTGTAAGTTGGATCAAACCATACATGCTATTCTCTTGGATGTTCGCCTCTCCTCTCTTCGCTGCTGTGAGTTGAATTATTTACTTGAATATTTGCATTCAATCATTTATTATTTATATAAGGTAAGCAGGGCTGCAGGGGTATGTATCCTCATTGTATCAGCTGCGATACGCCCCTCGTGAGATGCAAAAGTAATATGCGACGGATGGCGCATTTTCAAAATTATTTCAATATTACCGTCTTCTCGTCCTCTCTTTCTTCCATTCATCAACAACCTCCCTCCGTATAACCCCCCCCCCCCCCCTTCTCTCTCTCTCTCTCTCTCTCTCCCTCTCTCTATTTCTCTCCTTTTCTCTCTCTCTCTTTCTCTCTCTCTCTCTCTCCCTCTTTCTTTCCCTCCCGCATATCTTTCTCTCTCTCTCTCTCTCCCTTAGTTTCCGCTAACAGTGTCCAATTTTAGCTTTTTGTTCATTCTTATATGATGTACTCTGATGAGTGCATGATAAAAAGCTTTAGTTTGTTTGAATTCGTTGCTATTCTCAATTTTCTTTTGTGGGGCTTCCATCCCTTCTGAAGAAAAAAATCTTATCGCTATAGGTATTGTTACGAATCTTATTTATTGTTAATCTCATCCATATTCATGATTATAAAAATATATGCGCAAGCGCATTCGTTCAGTTTTCGTGAGCTGGAGATTTAATAAACCACTATAGTCATGGGTAAATCTTAATTGTTTTTTCGATACTACTTTTGCTGTTTGAGTATCCATGAGTTGTGAGGTACAGGCGGGTGAATATTGCATAATGAAGAACCCTCTCGTCGTATTGGTGTATACATGTATGTATCTTTATTTCACCATCCAGATCATTTCTATCTTCGGTCTGGTTGCCTACGAGCCTTTGAAGTATGAGGATGTATACGTATACCCCTGGTGGGGCTACATGCTAGGGATGATCATGATCGTATCATCCCTGATCAACGTGCCCCTCTTCATCTTCTATCAACTCATCTTTCAAAGTGAAGGATCTCTTAGAGAGGTAATTTTCATTATAGCTACAAACATTCTTGGACATTTTTATAAATGTAATGCTTCCTGGGTGAAATTTCAATTATTTTAACATATTTGTGGCTTACACCCAGTAAATAAGATCGATTGATCGATCTGTATTGAAAAACAAGTCATAAAAAATCTTGGAACCAGCGGGACTTGAACCTGCATCTTCTGCTTTCCAAGATTTTTTCTGACTTGTTTTTCAATACAGATCGATCAATCAATCTTATTTACGAGGTGTAAGCCACAAATATGTTTAAATAATTGTTGGATATGTCCTGAAAATCCCTCGTTTCAGTTTAGGGGAATGAATTACTTGTCTTGTTTAGCCCTTTTTATTGTGACAATAATGAGTAGAGCATCCTAAAGACACTCGTTTTTTTTTTTTTTTTTTTTTTTTTTTGGGGGGGGTGGTAATCCGAATGCATTATTGTTGATGGTTTCTTTTCTTTTTTTATTGTATTGCATTTATTGTTTTCATATGTTTTCTTGTATCCCTTGTTATTCTTATACTCCTTTATGTTCCTGAAAATGAAATAAAAATAAGAATAAACCTAAACTTAAACAATCACCTATAGCTTTTATTTAAAACGATTTTTAATTCTCTAAAAAGGGTCACCCGTTGAAATGTTCTCTATTAACCTACATAATCTTTGATCTAGGGCGATTGTACTTCGAAAGATAATTCTTATCGGGCATTTTATATTTTATTAGAGGTGTAAGCACTGTGTTACGAAAACCCACCTTTCCTTTAATCTCTTATGTATTTGTATCAGGAATGTGGTCCTCATTTTTAAGCTGTTACATGTCATAACTAGAATTTGAAGGCATTTGAAAAGCCATGCTTTTCAGGGAACATTTTTTCTCTGATATTCTTCTACACTTGCATAATAACAATGAACACGCTCACAAATTATTTTTCACCTCTCCCCATATTTCAACCTTCTCTGTAAATTGACTTGCGTAGTAACATAAGTATAAACATAAACATCTGTAACATTTTTCTTTGATTTCTTCACACAGCGATGGACGGTGTTGACCACATCGAGAGTACCCGCCTACGTCCCCCCAGGCCCAGCGGCAGAGAAAGACACGGATTATATCAAACTCGCCAAACTCGAAAGCCCGTAAATCAATCTTCAGTCAATTCAAAATCAACCGAAGCTGACATGAGAAAAATGCTCGTTACCTGCCTTTGTCACACATAATACCTGAATACTGAACTATCGGATTTCCCCTGTTTCATAAAACTTGCTATCAATAACAAGTGCCACAATAATAATAAATTTGCTGACAGCCAATCAAATACAACAATTTTAGTAGCTTAAAACAATCATTATAACTTGTTGTTGCTATACAGTTTTATGAAACTTGGCCCGACTCTTAAGCCTATTTTCGGTAAGATCCTAAAAAGATGATTTTACAGTCATCGCGATGTTACCGTGAAAGAATAGCAATGCCTGCTAATTAAGCAACTTTCAACGTAACCGTGGTATCATCGCCATTCATCTAAACCCGGCTGGAATTGAGAAGATCAAACAAAGTAATTCCAGCAAGTTTTACCTCTTTGTGTACATATCTTATTCTCCCGTTGTTGTCTATAAAATGTAGCCTAATCCACGGTATGCATATTGACTTTCATGATTTCATTAATAAGGATGCGGTGAAGTGGATTGGATTAGATTGTCATCTGTGTTTCATGACTTTCGTCATATGGGTGGATTCAAGTCGCGCGGTGACTTGTAGACAAAAATGCAAAAATTCAGTGATTGTCGCCACGTTGCAAATGGTAGGTGGTTATTGTTTGGCATGTTATAGGTTGCATAGCTATTCTGTTTTTAGTTTTAATTTCTTTTGTAATGTGAGACTACATTATCACAACTAAATATATAATAAGTTACAATACAAATAAGTTAATTCAATTTATAATTCTAGCTTCTAGCTTTTAGCAAAAAGAGATCTAACGATTGACTTTCATTTGGTGTCAATCAGTCAAAGATCCATGTAGTGTCGTAGTCGAGTGGTTTAAGCACTTGACTTGAAATTCAAAGTTCGTGGTTCGACCCCCGACACGACACTAATGTCATTTGGCAAGGCATCAATCTTCATTTGCCACACTCGACCCAGGTGAGGTGAATGGGTACCTGGCAAAAATTTATTCCTTGAAATTGAAATGCTGGAGCGCTGTATAAACGGCAGCTAGGCTAAAACCTTGTTAATAATAAATGCGCCTCGGAATAGAATTTCTAGATAGACGGCGCTATAGAAATGCCTATTATTATTATTATTATTTGTCGATACTCTAAAATTTTCAAGCATTTGAATACTTTGAATTTGAAACTGCAGCCTTATCTTCAAGTTTCCAAATTATCGGTGAATACTTGGCGACAGGTATAAAACGATTTAACATTCTCAGAGTGTAGCCAGTTAATTTGTGGTAGTAGCTATTTGAGGCATTTTTGTAGCATCGTGTCAATAGTGTTCGTGGTCTGTTCATCTCTTGATTGAAATAAGAAACGAAAAACGATGATGGTGTTGAATTGATGTTAGCATTGTGTACTTCATTAGGAAAGCATTTTCATTTCTAAAAGTAAAATGATATATATAAATATTTACTGATTGTTCGACTACAGCAATACCAACAAATGAATGATAATTACCTATAAAGATGATTTCTTCTTGGATATTCGACAAAGGAATCTTTCCCCGTTCTTAAGTACAAGAATAATCTGCAATTATTAGCTTTCTACGGGTCTTTGGAAAAGTTAAGACAAAATAGGTCCAATTGTAGACGAGATGAGATATGTCTACAGTATGAATTTAAGGAATAAATTATCACTAACCTATAGCACTTTCGTACATTCGAGACTTGCGTATGTTTGTCTTTATTTATGCAATTTTCAATTACAATGAATGGTTTCTTTTGAGGTCGTAAGCTCAATGTTATCAATAGGCTGGAATACACTGCCATCGGGGAATCTATTTTTAGATAGATAGATAGATAGATAAATGGTTTATTCAAATCAAATCAAACATGTAAACAATAAATGTTCATTAATTCCATGCTTCGTAGCTAAAAACTAAATTGCAGAATTAATTATTACAAGGTAAAATTGCACTTACTAATAATAAACTACTATAGATAATAATGCAACTCTTGGCACCGGCGTTGAACTGCTGCGCCACCCCAGTCACCAGTGGGGCACGAAACAGTAAGATCATATACCCCCCTGATGAATAGCACGACGCAACGGATCAACACCCATGCATACAATATACAGCACAATTCACAGTGAAATAATGAATACAAAAGGACAGGTATGGCGGAGGAGAGAAAGAAAGGGGGAGGGAGTATAAGAAAATGATAACTTTTACATGATTAAAACATTACATACTTAACAAGAAATACATGCGTAATACTGTACATGGCAATTAACTGGTTTAGAACATTTCAACTCTGAAAATAGTAGTGTTGCGTGTGGAAAATTACAAAAATATAAATCTATGTTTAGCATTAATCGTTCAATTTTCTATGAAATCACATTTTTTGTGAATGAATAAATACTATAGGTCATGCTTTAAATATGGTACATGTATTATAATGCTCGAGTGATTTATCCAGTTAATTAGTAAAGAGTAAAAAAAAACATGATCCAGTTTAGCTAAGGTGAATTAAATCTATTTAAAAAGGCTGGGATGTAATAAACAAGATCCTAAAACATAACCATGTTGGCAGGCGCAGGCACGGTAGGTTATCTATTAAAGTGAGGGGATGAACAAAGAAAACAACAACAGACATCCTCCTCACTAACAATAGACCACTCCTCCGCGTCTACGCCCGAAGGTTTCATGCATTGGAAATAGGCAATAGTAATAATCCCAAACTATATGTTTTAAAAAACATTATTTTAATTTCAAAGTGAGTAATTAAAAACATGCAAATATCATTTAAAATCAGTCATACTAAAGTCTATTTGCCCCTTCTATTAGAGTTTATACAAAGTTCAATTAGAGTTCAATAATTTTGTCATGAATGGAATAGGGCTGTTTTGGTATCGATTTGTACGACACCTACACAGTTAAAAATTTAGTGAACATGTTGTTTAAAAGTTTAAACAACTGTTGATTAACGGGTGACCTGATCTAAGAGTTGTTTAAAATGTTAAGCAACTCGAGTTGTTTAAAGTTTAAACACTTAGTTGATCAACATTTTGAACAACTTGTTTAAAATCACAATTTAAACAACTGGTGTTGTTTAAAGACGGTTGTTTAAAACGGAGCTGTTGTTCAGTGGGGGTTGTTTACACCAACTGGGTTGTTTAAAGAAAGTTGTTTAAAAAGGAGCTGTTGTTCAGTGGGGGTTGTTTACACCAACTGGGTTGTTTAAAGAAAGTTGTTTAAAAAGGAGCTGTTGTTAAATAATAATAATAATATTGGATTCTTATATAGCGCACGTATCGACCTTGCAAGGTCCTCAAGGCGCTCCAACATTACCCGGCTATGCTAGGCTGCCATAGGACATTAGTTCCGCGGCGGGACTCGAACCGTGGACCTTGTGATCGACAGTCCAGCGACGTTTCCACTCATCCACGACACGTCTACAGCTTGGTTGGCCATGATTTGAAACAAATCTTTTAGCCAACGCGCACTTTACTGGCACGTGACACATGACGTCATATGTAAACAACACTGTCTAAAAGCTCTCGTATAGTAAATAAAGCAGTCATTAAATTTTAAACAGCGAATGTTTAACAAAATTACTTTCGTTTCGAGCAACATTGTTTACAATTTGTTCAACTGTTGTTTAAGATAGTGTACAACTGTAAGTGAACATCACTTTTTTAAGCAGCGTTTTTACTGTGTAGGCTCACGATAACGTTTATTTTTTCTCAGATTTCTTGTTGGATTGTTTTCGGTGAACCAGTCACTACCAACTTCATCTTATCCGGATGTATTACTCCGTTTAAATGTAGAAATTCATTCTAAAACTAAATCGGATGGTTTGTATCTATTTTGACGTGTGCCTTATTCATTTAAGTTCGATATTTTTAGTGAAATAGAATTGATGCAACATAACGTCCGTGCCTAACGCAACACGCTAAAGACAACACGTTGATCATTTGTAAATGATAGTGGTTCGCCAATTATGTATTAACTTTTTTTTCTAGTTATAAGAGTAATGAAGTTTTTGTAGTGCTAATGTAGTTATTATGCCTTTCAGATGGTGAAGTTAAAGGTCGGTCCCCAGACGTAAATAATCATATCTGATTGATACACGTCTGTAAAAACCCAATTACACACACAGTAGTTATCTAGTTAATTAGTTTGTAAGACTATCAGATTGTGATTCAGCATGAATTCGGCTATTGTCCTAGTAATTGTTCCTCACATGCAGTGCATTTGCCGATTATTCTGGTAAGCGTTAATTATCTTGCCATACGTTTTTTTAATCAATAAATGCTATCCAATTTACTCTCAAAAATTGTCTTCTTGGTGTATTCTTTGGTTTATCCTTTGGCAACACATTAGTCTACATTTGCACCACATAATTATTTGAAAAACTAGAGCGCCATGATAAAATCCGTGCTTAAAATCCGACAGCATTGTCAATGTGACAGACGTGAGCGCTATACAAGAACCCGAGTTTATTATTATTGTTACTATTATTATTATTATTATTATTATTATCATTGTATTTACTGCTAATATCAATATCATTATTATGAGTATTGTTATTATTATTATTATTAGTTGTAGTAGTAGTATAGAAGTAGTAGTATTGTTGTTGTTATTGTTATCATTATTATTACTGTGATATCATTACCATTATAAACATTATTATTATTCACGTGAGAATGTACATGAATGTTAATTAAACTCTTAAATTATCATTCTTTATTATACGAGAGCTGATAATAACTTTAGAGATGCTTTATACCCCACTCACTTAGCAGCAGCCAATAATATTGTAGCGAAATCCCGGTTAATAGAAATCCCACCGCTGCCACCATTGTAGCGAATTCGTGAAACCGTGAAGGGGTGTTTAATAGAAATCCCCCCGCTGTCACCATTGTAGCGAATTCGTGAAACCGTGAAGGGGGTTGGTAATAGAAATCCCACCGCTGCCACCATTGTAGCGAATTCGTGAATCGGGGAATGGGGTGGTTAATAGAAATCCTACCGCTGTCACCATTGTAGCGAATTCGTTAATCGGGGAATGGGGTGGTTAATAGAAATCCCACCGCTGCCACCATTATAGTGAATTCGTGAAATCGGGGAAACAAGGGGTGGTTAAAAGAAATCCCACCATTGTAGCAAAATCATCCCCACCGCTTTATATAACTTTCTTCTGCCACATTGTAGCGAAATCTACCAATATAGGGAATACAAGCAAAACAGGTCTGGAAAGAAGACTACATTAATAACCACTTTTATGCCAGTCTCCTATGCCATGAGATACTTCATAATTATGACGGTTGCTGCCACCACCTAGTCAATAACTACACATAACTTCCATCCTTCAAGGTGAGTATTATTCTCACTGCCGATAATTAAATATCAATAAGTAGGAACTAATCATGTTTATGTCTCTCTAGTAAGTCTCACGCAATTTAGACCATAATCATGTCGCATTCGTTCGTTTCTGTGTATCAAGTCTTTCACTCAGTCACTCAGTAAATAACTTATTCCCTTTTACACTTCGAGCGATTTATAAGGCACGATGACCTGAGTCCGTTTGTCTGAAATATACAGACGAAGTCTTCGTGTTCTTGTTTAGAAATAGTAATATCCTCTTAAATTCTACAGTAGTTCCAAATCTACTCTACATTTCGTACACTATTATCAACAATGCATACTTAATTTACTAGGCAAACCAGACTAACAAGATTTATAACTTGCAATCAATTTAAAATTAAGTAAAGAATTTATTATTCAATAAGCCATTTCTAGGCAACTTTTCAACAATATATAGGAACCGTAAAAATCTCAACAAGGATAGAAATACTTTCATGAACTTTTCTTATGAGTGCTGCTAAATTTGTACACTAATTGATCATTGTAATAAGTGTTTACTGATTGTATAATTTATACAATATTTCATAGCTTTATAGTTACAAGATGTCAACACTTAATTTAAGTGTAGACTGCATGCATACTGTATTAAAGTCAATGTATAGACTTACTGAGCTTAAGTTAGAGGCTTTAGTATCGAACTTTACTAACTAATGGCTGTTAGACCAAAGTTAACTATTCTTTCCAACTCTTATATCAAGTAATCATATTCTGAAATGACTAAAGTCCTTCTTCAGTTTACTCCTACCCCTTGACACCCAATTATCTACCAACGCCTGACACCTTTTTGGCCATTGTGTCCCTCTATCGCCACCATTCAATAAGAATGAAACATTAATCTAATTCACCCTTCCAACTAGACTTTTCAACAGTCTTTCCACTCCTCTATGTAAACTAGCTAAGCTGTGTCGGTTAAGCATTGTACATCTTTAATCCATCATCTCTGTTATAATCTAGCCTCGAGTTATTAGCTCTTAATTACAATTCACTACACCAGAATATGACTTTCTAAATTCAAAGATAACCGGCATTCCATTGAATCCGTCCCTTACTGTCTTAAGTTCGCACCTCTAAGTTATGTAGCAAAGTAATAATTGCCTGATATTAAGTAGGCTCATAATATGTAACTATTTCATTAATTAATTCCAAATTTACATATGCAACTGTCCACTATTCAATGTAATTCTATTAATATACATGTCATGCTATATACAAGTACTGAGTGCAATACAATGGAATAAGGGGGAGAAGAGACACAAGTCCATTGTGTCGATGTCCAATTCTAAGGACACCATGTTCTTATCGAGACAAGCCCATTGTCTATACATATAATGTTCTATGTGTCCATTCCAGTTCCAAGGACACGATGTCCCGCACAAGACAGGACGAGTAAAAAAAACGGGGGGGGTAAGAGCACATTTTTTAATTTTGCTCCCGAATATTTGAAAATTGCGCCGGCCGCAAATTCGCTCAGTGGGGGGGGGGGGGGGGGGGGCACTCATTTTTTTATTTTTTTGCCGGGGGGGGGGGGGTTGGAGGGGGGGCACGTCCCTGTTTGTCAGTACATTTTTGGCGAATTTGGGGCTGATTTCAACATTTTTTTTGGCCGGGGGGCCACGTGGCCCTCTATACCCCCCGGATCCGCCTCTGGTTCTATGGAGAAATCGAGGCAACAAAATTTATCGCAATAAAATATTTCTTATCACTCATAGTTCAATTTTAAACTGGCGACAGAAATGAATTAGAAATGGCTAGATATGAGATATGACCGCATTTGGGATAGATGATCAGTGTGCCCAACGACCTGAGTCACACTCCATTTAATGTGTCCAAATTGATCAATATTAGGACACCAAAGAGCAATATCCTCTCTCTCAAAAAGTGGTTGACCATTTCTAGATTCATTCCTTAACAATGGCAAAATTATTTTTACAAAGAAGAAGATAATCACACAAAACATCACTCTCAAAGATACACTCACAAAAACAACCGTGCAGATAAACTAAAGAAAAGCCAAGGTGGTGTCATGATTCCAACTGATGGTCCACGATATCCTGTTGTTTTTCAGTATATAAAAGTTAAAATGACTGCTTTAATATTCGAGGCATAGTTGTTTTTATACGCTCTCGGGTAGGTTACATCGTGCTACCTTCGGCACGCCTCGGGGCAATAGCACGATGTAACCTCCCCTTGAGCGTATAAAAACAACAATTTGTCTCTCATAGCAGTCATTATTACTATAGTATGAACACCTTCAGATTATGAAAGTCAGGCCTGTCCGGCTACCAAATATGGTGGTAGTGACTTATGGTAAATATTGTACATTTGTTGCGGTCTATATAGAAAACAAGGGAAACGCTCTTAGCGGTCTCGCCTGCATTACGCAATTCGATATGATGACAAATTGAGGTTGGGACATTTTATAGGCAGGGTGGCCCATTAGCAGGCCCCCAAAAATGAAATCCTCTGAATACAATCAGCATTTCGAAGTAAATATTAACTAAGAATCAACACAAGAATTATTTACTATTATTTGTACCAAGATTGATAACTTTCATGAAATATGAACAAATAACAAAAACTGACTTATTAATTCTCATATTAAGTTGTGAAAACATAATCCAAGTCTATTGACCTAAAATGACCTTTCACCTTGACTTTGTGACATGGAATTTGAACAAATACTTTTGAAATTATGCTAAAAATTCAAAATCTTGATGTTGATGCCACAACAAAGTCTAAGTTTGCTGACCTGAAATGACTTTTGATCTTGACTTTGTGACCTGAAATTCTACTCATATGATTGGGGGATACTTGATAACCCTTTAGTCCAAGTTTCATTGAATAAGACCTTATACCTTCAAAATTATATCAAAAATTCAAAAACTTAACCTTAGTTTAAGTTTTTGATGTTGACGTCGCCGCCGGACAAGCTGCGCCTATGTTGTCGCTTTTGCTATGCAGGTGAGACAATACAAAAAATGAGAGGAACAGGTCAGGGAAAGTTTGAGCACATTACGATTAAAAATAAGAAAGTTATGATTTTGTTTAAGATGCGATCAATTAAACATATAGGCCCGAATTCACAAAGGAGGTTTGTCGACAAACCTCGGTTTGTCGACAAACCTCCTTTTGTTTCGACAAACCTCCTTTTGTTATTTACAAACCAGGTTTGTAAAAAACGCGTCAAAACGCGTCATATGACGTACATAAACCTCGGTTTGTCGACAAACCTCCTTTGTGAATTCGGGCCCGTATGTATCTTTCGAGGTGCTTTCGAATTTGCTCTGTACATGAGATTTCATAAACTTGTATTTTCTCGTTATTGATGACGGAATATATGTTTTTCATACAGGGGTTATATAGAAACATGATATATTTGAAATGACTCTATTTAGGTTGCATGTATGATTAAACATTTTCTTGAGGGAAAATGAAAATGTCTGTTTTTACAGTATAGAGAAATGGGAGGGACCTCGCAAGATACGTCACAGAGTTGCCAATTTGAGTTTGATTGATCGCAACTACAAAAATTCATATCTTTCTTATTTTGAATAGGAATTGCTCAAACTTTCACTGACCTGCGGGGTGTTTCATAAAGCTGTGCGTAAAGTTACGCCTGACTTTAAAAATGACTTCAATATGGAGATCCAAATGGGATGCCCACATTTTTTCCTGACATTTTAACAAAGTTTGACTGTATTTCCCATAATCTCAATTACATAGTAGCCCAAAATACACTTTGCATTAAAATGTTTTGTTAACAATGATAAGGTTAATCTACATCTGCATATTTTAACTTAAGCTTATGCAATTCAAAGGATTTGAGTATCCCATTTAGCTCTTCATAGTCAAGTCATTCGTAAAGTCACGCGTAACTTTACGCATAGCTTTATGAAACACCCCCTGTCCCTGTAATTTTGTCTACTGCTATTAAAACCAACTTAATATCAGGGCGGACTTCCCCTTTATTTAATGCAGTCAAAATGCAAGAAAATACACACATAATAACTACAATGTTTCACATACTTAAGTATTAACACCTTGTCCCATCTTAATTACTATGGAGTATTCATGGAGGATTGGGCACACCCTGAAATTCGGTTAGTTAGAGCAGGCGCGTACGCAACCCCCCCCCCCCCCCACTCAAATTTTTTTTTTGGGGTGTATTTTGGAGGAAAAACCGCCTTCAAATTATGCTAATGGGTGACCTAAAAACGGTGACCTTACCCCCCCCCCCTCCCCAACGGAACGAAATGTCGATCGGTGGATTTTTCAAATTTCGGATAAAAAATAAATTTAAAAAAAATGTGCCCCCCCCCCCCCCCCCCCCCCCCCCCCCCGCGAAATTTTTGGGACCAAAAACATATGTCGTTGCAAAATTTTTGGCGCGATTTTAAAGTTTTAAACCCCCCCCCCCCCTTCGAAAAAATCCTGCGTACGCGCCTGAGTTATGTCTAGGTCACATTTGACGCGGCGGCCGTGCGGTCTAAATTGTCTACAGGCAATAGCAATTATAGGGCCGCCGCAGATTCCCACGGTCACATACGTACCGGTCACATAATGTTAGGGTAGCCGCACGGCGTATTTTGAATTTGTGGAGACAGAAAATCTGCGACTGCCGTACGGCCTTTGAAGTGATGACGTACGGTCGCCTTAGGGCGTCCCTGCGGCGGCCGTATGTTTTTGACAAATACTAAGGCAGACGCAAGGTAGCCGCAAGGTTCCCGTAAGGCGGTCGAAGGGGGACCATACGGCGACCGTGCGGCCAGACTGATGCTACCGCTTCACTCCTGGGGTATATAAAACGCGACGCCACCGTACGCCCGACGTACGGTCGCCGTGGAACCGCTCTACGGCATGGCTACGGCGTGTCTAATCGCTACGGCGAACCTAGAAATGAAAACAGTTCAAACTCCGCGTTATCATCCGACGGCGACCTGTACGGCCTGTAAAGATAGGGACAGGGCCTACGCCCTGAGACCACAGCAGATTGTCTACGGCCGCCGAAAGTATCTCTCGATAGCCGTAGAGCGAATGTGACCTAGGCATAACTCTGCTACTCGGGGATTCTTAATTTTGAATCAATGGCGGGAGCCGAAAGCTACCAACGCGTATATGACACATACCAGCATACAAGCACTTAGAATAATACCAAAGACTCTCTCAATCGCAAGAGCAAGATGTTTCCACATAAAACTGTAATCCAGTTCTTCCTCGCTATCCGCTATCTCGTTTGTCTTCCCGTTGATACTGCCTTCTTTCAGTGAGGTCGATTCGGTAACCGCCTCGCACGATGATGGCGACTTGGAGGTAGACAGTTCGACGTCACGTGTACCTTTCAGTCTAGAATTCTCGTCGTAGAAAGCACTAAATTTGAAGAAGAACAAAAATAATCATTTAAAAATCATTGAAACAATCCCATGCATAGATGAGTGGTGTAAGCACTGGACTTGAAATGCAAATGCCGTGGGTTCGACCCCCGACACGGCACTAATGTCAGATAGCAAAGCAGTAATCTACATTTTGGTACTCCATGCCCAGGAATAAAATGAGGATCTTGTAAGATGACGAAAGCTTTTGTGTAAGTAATCTATTAAACAAGTAGGAGTGCTGGCCTGACGGCGGGACGGCTTTTGGTCGCCTCCCACCACGCCTCACTTTCCCTTTACAGACATCAATCAGTTTACTCAACATACGTTAAAAAAATATCTCAACAAAGATAGAAAGAACACTCTACCGACAAAATAAAGCACAATATAACATATTAAGTGGTGAGTTTATTAGGCAACTTTTCAAGCTCATCTGGCGCTGTTTATTGATGATCGTGTAATGGTTCAATGTTCTAATCATCGAAGGAATCGAAACCAGAATGAGGGAAGCGGGTAAACTTTGGGAAGAGCCGAAGAGGGAGCTTCATAAGCTCAACTTACCTCATCGTCTTTTCTACTTTTCGATTGATGAAGATGCGCAGAAGCATGAAGGCCCATGATGGCGGTAACGAATCGACGTTCGTGTGGTAGACACGGAGGACGATGACGGTTAAGATCACAGAGCAAGCACTCAGGGCAATCAGGATGAAGAAACACGTCACTATGGAATAATAAGAGCCAAACAAAAAGGTCCATCATTCATTTCAATTCCGCGTGCATTAACGGAGGTAAGATCGAGATAGCGAATCTGCCAATAAACCGTAACTGCCATTACTCACCAACTATAGACCTTGGCTCGCCAGTCGGTGGCATGAACTGAGCTACAAGCTGCTGGAAGAGAATTAGAGCCAGGAGATTGGTGACAGTCAAACTAATCTTCTCACCCGAGTCAGGATGGAGCCAGAAACTGATCAACATCAGAATGCTCAAGAACACGGAAGGCATTACGATCTGCGTGGTGAAGAATGCTGCCTCCCGGGCTAAGTCCAGCGTATAGACCACATGATCAAATGGATGTGGGCAACACTTGTAGGGGATACTCTCGTTTGCGGCTTGAAAATTTGTCAGGTCCCATACACCATTGCGGATGTACATCTGTTGATGGGCATCATCGTCGTCCTCTGCAAGAAGCCGCATCTTGGGACATACAACAATTAAAATACAAATATAAAATAGATCATTATGTATCAACACTAGGATTCATTAATAATTCTTTGAATATCTAACTAGAGCATGTGGTTGTTGCATATGCGTCATTTCGCCTTGCGTTTTTACCTGCGTCAGTCAAGCCGATGAAGAAAATCAGTACTTGCTCCAATTATTCAACACAATATTATTGTCCGTAGTTGACTACTCATTTTGTACGAATAATACGATTTAATTCTCGTATGGTGCGTCAAAGAGCCCGCTAGTGGCTGACGCAGTCTTACGACAAAAAAAATGACGCCTTGTGTGCAATGTACGGGCACAATGATATATGACATAGGCCTATATCGCCTCTAAACATGCACTTTTATATATAGGTTCACTGCCTTGGCTCTAAATGATGTTCTTTTAGCAAGTTGCATTTCAACAAACGGGATAATACTATGTACTTACTTTAGGTACTTACTTTAGGTACTAGGTATTTACTACAATAACGATCGGGCGAGGCAACTTACGATAAAATGCCTTGTCAAATTCACCAGGCCGAACTCGGAATGTGATTATAATTTTGGGGTCACTTTTCAACAAACTCTTGACCCCATTGGTCTATGAATGTCATGTTGACCGTGAAAATCCCCACGGTGGCCTCGTTGTTTGGCACTTCTTCTCATTTAAAAGCCGGTGCCCCCCCCCCTTCATTATCAATGCTCCTTCAATTACCTGACCCGCGCTACACCAGTGACAAGTCTGAATGACCTGAAATAATGTTTCAGGTGTGATCCGACAATTGCCTTGGGTTTTTTTTTCTTCAAAGGTACATGGTTAGGGTTATGGTTAGTTATAGAATTGGGTCCAGGGTTTAAATTTAGGGATTTATTAGTGTCGGACATTACCATAGTGATTTCTGACCTAGCCCGGATTAAATTACCGACTTTCTGAATCATTCATTCCACCTACCTGTGAATTGTCCAATGTCCACGGGTAGAAGGTCACATTGCATTGTTGAACGTCGTATGGAAAGTATACGATGTTGATTTTACAAGCAGTGGTCGTGATGACGGGAAATATCCACCTCACTGTGCCAGTATAATCAGCGATCACATAGGTGTCGGCGACGATAAAATGGACCCTCTCCACACTTCATGGTAAAATGAGAAAATAACCATTCATAAATCCTAAAAGTTCCGAATTCTAATCAAGTATGAAATATTAATACAGGAACAACAACAAAAACTGGATGGAAAGGCCTGTACTAAGGCATACTTAAAACAAGGTGACAAATCAAACGATAGAATCAGTAATGGCAGGTAATCATTATCTTGATTATAGAGGTATTAGATGCCGCTCTAAATATCGGCTTGCATGGTGATGTAGATATACAGTAGACTTGCGGGTGTACCATGTGTGAGAGAGAGAGGGGAGGATTGGAGTCATGAAAAGGACTCTCGGTAATCTTTCTTGAGGGTTTGTAGTCCTGAAAAGGACTGTTGGTATAGTCTTGAAAAAGAATGTTGGTTATCTTTCTTAGCATATAGTTCTAAGCAGGGGCGTAAATCCCGGGGTGGGGGGCTGCATCCCCCCTGGATTGAAGTAGGGGGGATGGCCTGTACAATCATCCCCCCTGATATTACAAAAAAAAGAGAGGAAAAAAAAGGAAGAAGAAGAAGAAGAAAAAAATGTGATTGTTTCAATTGCAGCATAATGCATGAGAAATTAGTTATTTTGTTTATGTATAGCCTACACGTATACAGTATGTCACGATAAGGGAACGTCAAGGCTTCCGCGCTTCGCGCGAGAGGGGGAAACTGAATTCAGATAAATAGGGCTTATTAAGAGTCGAAAACGGTGCAAGGAATCGTCTTCTTTCTATAATAATTAAATCAAACGTCTAAGCTTTTCGCGCTTCGCGCGGGAAGGGGAAACTGAATTCAGACGAGAATTAAGAGTCGAAAACAGTACACTCAATCGTCTGCTTTTTCTAATAGTTTAAGGAAACGTCAAGGCTTCCGCGCTTTGCGCGAGAGGGGGAAACTGAATGCAGATAAATAGGGCTTATTAAGAGTCGAAAACGGTGCAAAGAATCGTCTGCTTTCTCTAATAATTTAAGGAAACGTCAAGGCTTCCGCGCTTCGCGCGAGAGGGGGAAACTGAATTCAGATAAATAGGGATTATTAAGAGTCGAAAACAGTACACTCAATCGTCTGCTTTCTCTAATAGTTTAAGAAAACGTCAAAACTTCCGCGCTTTGCGCGAGAGGGGGAAACTGAATTCAGATAAATAGGGCTTATTAAGAGTCGAAAACGGTGCAACGAATCGTCTTCTTCCTATAATAATTAAATCAAACGTCTAAGCTTTTCGCGCTTCGCGCGGGAAGGGAAACTGAAGAGGGGGAAACTGAATTTAGATAAATAGGGCTTATTAAGAGTCGAAAACGGTGCAACGAATAGTCTTCTTCCTATAATAATTAAATCAAACGTCTAAGCTTTTCGCGTTTCGCGCGGGAAAGGGAAACTGAATTCAGACGGGAATTAAGAGTCGAGAACAGTACACCCAATCGTCTGCTTTCTCTAATAATTTAAGGAAACGTCAAGGCTTCCGCGCTTCGCGCGAGAGGGGGAAACTGAATTCAGATAAATAGGGCTTATCAAGAGTCGAAAACGGTGCAACGAATCGTCTTCTTTCTATAATAATTAAATCAAACGTCTAAGCTTTTCGCGCTTCGCGCGGGAGGGGAAACTGAATTCAGACGAGAATTAAGAGTCGAGAACAGCACACCCAATCGTCTGCTTTCTCTAATAATTTAAGGAAACGTCAAGGCTTCCGCGTTTCGCGCGAGAGGGGGAAACTGAATTCAGATAAATAGGGCTTATTAAGAGTCGTAAACGGTACAACGAATCGTCTGCTTTCTCTAATAATTTAATGAAACGTCAAAACTTCCGCGCTTTGCGCGGGAGGGGTAAACCGAATTCAGACTAAGATTAAGAGTCGAGCACGGTTTAACAAATCGTCTACTTTCTCTTATAATTTAATGAAACGCCAAAACTTCCGCGCGGGAGGGGGGGAGGGGGAACTGAATTCAGACAAGGATTTACAGTCGAGAACGGTACAGCAAATCGTCTCCTTTTTATAATAATTTAATGAAACGCCAAAGCTTTCGCGCTTCGCGCGGGAGGGGGGGGGGGATTCATTCAGACAAGGGTTAACAGTAGAGAACGGTACAATAAATCTTCTTCTTTTACTAATAATTTAAGGAAACGTCTAAGCTTCCGCGCTTCGCGCGGTAGGCCTATCACCCACACACCACTAATGAGCGAGCGCGCGTGTGTTTGTGTGTGTGTGTGTGTGTGTGTGTTGTGTGTTTGTGCGTGCGCGATCGCGCGCGCTTGCGTAAATTAGTGTGGGCGTGTGCTCCTCCTAGTATGTGATGGCTATCGCAGATCATCCCCCCCACTCCTCGGTACGGATTTACGCCCCTGGTTCTAAGGAGAATGTCGAAACGTCAAGCCACTCCCGCCACTCATCCTCTCCAAGCGCTATAGTTCTTCTTTTCAGGACTCCTCAATCCTCCCTCTCTCTCTCACATGGTGCACCCGAAAGTCTTCTGTATATAGAGGTATTGTTGTCCAGTGGACCTCAAGTTACGTGGTTCGAGTCCCTATAGCAGCACTAATGTTCTTTGCCAAGACATTAGTCTACATTTGCCACACTCAACCCAGGTAAGGTAACTGAAATCCCCATGTTTGTCCACCAAAACGTAAATCAACTAATTTCATTTTCTGAAGAAACGTTTCTTTCGATGTTACTTCGTCCTCTCTTGTAATAATACCCCTAAATTTTAGATTATTAAAATTCTAGTCAAGAAAACAAAAGAAAAAGAAAATCTGGAGAGAAATAAAAGAGAGAGAAAAGGTGAACCTGATAAAAAGAATATGAGTGACCCTTCTCGCACACTGGTGCTTGAGTATACCTCTGATCCCCATATTCCACCCGGTCCCGGATAAATATGACAAATTTAATTCATTTCCTCCTTCTAATACTCACTTCTGCTCCAAATCGAAGTCTGGTTTCCATATATCACTGGGACGAAGGGTTACTGAAGTGATGCCATCCCATTCACTTGGATCCCACTGTAGATACTCATCCCTCCAGGTCTTAAACAAAAATTATACATTTTTCGCCCATAATTTTTTATTTTTTAAAACACGTCATGTCGTTAGACTATATAAACCGGTTTTTTTAAATAGATTTCATCGCATTAGCGTAATACTGTCTGACAAGCAACAACTGCACTCATTCGAAGGCAATGGAAAAATGGCCTTAAATTTAACTTAAAAGATTCATCCAAAATAATGACGTTCTGGCATGCCTTATGATGACGCCGAAAAGCTTCAGATATAAAATATTAAAGAAGTGAAGATGTTTTTGACAAATTTAGTGGCTTGGGTTTTTTGCCTGCCAAAGCAAAAATAATGCAAATTCCAAGAAAGGACGAAATCAGTTATTTGTTCATGTATATTTATTTGAACATATTTCATCAGGATAACAAGATCAGAGAGGACTGGTTGCACATCCTAGTCCTGAATATCCAAAGCTTACTAATGAAGTCATGATAAAAATATTTAGCGACCACAATCTTGAGTAGAAACCAAGTAGAAATTACATATTTCCTTAAATATATAGAAACACAATAATGACACCAAATAATTAACTAAGCTATTTAAAATCGAATTCTATCACATTACAAATTAACCTTACATCATGAAATACTAAAATTAACTTAAATCAGAAAGAGCAGAAACAACGATCCTAATATTCATAATTAACAGAAATGGGTTTTCTTATACATGTTTTTAAAACAGTTGATGGATTGTGTATTATGTAGATTAAAGGGTAAGTTATTTCATAATTTGCCGTTTACGGATCTTAATCAAAATGTACTTACCATTTTCATGTTAGATCGTAGAGTTATATGTTGACTGTGCTCATTCTGTATTGAGATAAATGTTTACATAAAGAATGCTGATGGTTTAGGAGGGCCATACTATAGGGAAGAATCTTAATTTCGTTTCATTTGTTTATTACGAATAGATGTAGTAAACATTACGATGCAAGATGAACGCATTACATTTCTTTCTAAAGGTAGGTGTGGAGAGGCTTGAGAGCATGCCTAATGAATGTTGTGTATTATTATTATTATTATTAAATAATAATATATTGCTTGGCAAAATGTAATTGAAATTTCTCTTTGTAAAGTTTAATCTTAATCATTTCGCGACCATCATTACACGTTTTGTAGTTTCACTCAATAACTTGTGATTCAAAGACTTCAAAATATATGCCAGGTACAATGCTGGAAAAGGAAAAATATCTCAATCCATTTTTTGTTGCATGACTACATTGTGTTTAATGCTAGGAATTAAAAAAGAAAGAAAATAATCTTTAAAATCCTTAAATTGGCAATGCGTTAAATATTCAAAAATATTGTTTTGAATAACAATATGTGATCAGTTTAGCCCTAAAATAAATCCTCTCCAGTAAGAGCACATTTTGTTTGGGGGTCCAGTTCTTGAGGAAAAATTTCGCAACGACTCAGCCAGCCGCTTAATAAGCGGGGAGGGGGGGGGGGGGGGGGGGGGGGGTGGGAGAGCACATATTTCTTTTTTGCCCCCGGAAATTGGAAAATTACGTCGTCAGATATTTCGTTCAGTGCCTTGTGGTGGGGGAGGATTTTTTATTTTTTTTGGCCTCCTTGAGCATAAGAAAATTATTATTATTTTTTTTTAAGTCAACGTTTACTCACAAATGCAACGAGTTCGTATATAAGCATTCGTAGATAGACATACGTTGTCTGCCGGTAGTTGTAAACCGGTCGAACAGAGGTCTCGCCATATCCATCCGTCAATTTCTTTACTAGTGCCTTGGTAGTGCTGTTATTCGTCAAGCCTGATGGATTACGTGAACAAAGCAAACATAGAGAATATATATATTTATTTATTCATTTATTTATTCATGATTTCTTTCAACAGGGTAGTTTCATGAGCTCCACTGGAAGCCAGTGGAGCTGCTTTTCAGTAATAACAGTATAAAGTATAATAATGCAATAATAAAAAAATTGTACATACAATGTGAAATATCTTTATAAAATAACACTATTTGAATCAAACAATATATTTTTTATCAATTATTTTTTATAAAAAGATACTGAATTATTATACTATCAAAACCACGCCTAAAAAAATTAGAAATACTAGAATAATAAGTAATAGAGTGCTGGAGGCCTATTGCACTTTTGAAAGTTTACATAAATGTAAAAGAGTCACATGCATACAAAGACGGCATTGCTTTTTCACTGTAATGATTGATGTGCATGACTGAACAGAAAGTGGGAGTTTGTTACAGCAGCGGACCATAGTAGACAAAGCTACGTTTCCTATATTCAGTGAGTGCCTGGCGGACAAACCAGGGAGGTGAAGAAAGGAGGCGAAACTCTTGTAATTTATTCAAATGCATTCGTGAGTTCTAAAGCGTAACAGTGGGATTTGTAACATTCCACTTGGCTTTGAAGTTCCATGCTCCGAACCGCGCTTCTACTGCGGGGACTTTCGGAAGCCTTCTCTATCACGTCCCTGGACAAACAAAGAACTTTTAACCGCGTACCGCATAATCTAGGCAGTTTTCGCAACCGGCGACGGGGCCTTCTACAACGTTAATCTTAGCGGGGATCGCAATCAGAGCGAAAATTTCCGCGTAGCATTCAAAGCTACGACTATTCAGCGCAGGCGCCCCTTAAAAAAAAAAATTAAAAATTTTTGAAAAAAATGGTTGTAATAGGTGACCCCAAAAAGCTGATCTTGCCCTCCCCTCCACATTTTTTTCCTTTTTTTTTTGGTCTCGAAATTTGAAAATTTGACATTTTTTTGCTCCGGGGGGGGGGGGGGGGGGGGGGGTAAGGTCACCTTTTTTAGGTCAGCCATTGGTATAATTTTTTTTTTTTTTTTAAATTACCAAAGGGGGGGGGGGGTTCCTACAAAATACACACATAAAAAAATACCAAAGGGGTGGGTTTAACCCCCCCCCCCCCCCTGCGTACGCGCCTGTACACTTATGCTACGTTTCGAAACATGCATACGCTAATCTCTTTATAATTATACAGGCTAGACAATTTGATCGATTTGATCGATTTTTGTCTGGGATATACGGGTAGTGTGCATGATCCGTTCGCGAACTATTTGTCAGAGGTTTGTTACATAATTTCATGTAGACCGCAGGGCATTGTTTTACGACAAGTTCATTGCACATCCCATTCACGCGTTTCATATTGGTTGTCGTCGAAGTTGTCCTTGTGGCGGTTTCTTGAAAGCTGCGCTGATAGACGTACACGATTCAGTATATATACCCTTTTATGTAAATATTACCAGTTTGATGAAGCCTTATAATTATCATTGTCGGCACAAAATATTAGGAATGTTTTTATTTCAATTAAGACTTCATGTTCCCTCCCTTTTCAGCACCCCACCCCCATAAGCCCGGTGTGTAAAGTCAATACGGGCAGATCTTTTTCTTTGTTACGAGCCGGAGATTTTGGAACATGAATGCGGTCCCTCCGCTCCCGGAGTGGGTGGGGGGGGGGGGAAATATTATCTAACGATGAATGGCCTGCCTTTGTTTACTCCAATACAAAGTTGACCTTAGTCTTTGTGAAACACCCCTCAGATGTACAACAGGATTACATAATAAAGATATGTCACTATGGTCTATTGCACATGTGACAGTCCTTGAGACAGACTTATTGATTCCCCCTTATGTACATCTTCACACAGGTTTTGGCGGCATATTTTTAGCACGGGAGGGGCTGACGCCGTTTCCCAAATAGCAACTTTCCAGCTGGTTTCTAACTTTTGCGAGCGAGCGAAAATATGTTATTATGGTATTTTTTTTTACTTCGTCATCAAAATGAATTAGATTACATATTCGAACACCTCGTTTCCTGAATTTTGCGAGCGAGCCTATAGTGATCGATTAAAAAAAAAACATTGTAATGGTAAAAAACAAACAAATTACTGTTCATATTCAAAATACACTAGATTAAAATTGAGTTGGGGACTTTTTTCCTAAATATGAGATGAGGGTTCCCTGAATGTTCGTGGGCTGCGGCTCCCAGCCCCATCTTTCCGTACTCCTGTGATCTCCACCAATGTTAAGTTCAAATGGGGTTGAAAATTAACAACCAGTTGGCCCTACTGAAAATAAATATCATTATTGAAACCTCTAAATTTCTGTCAAAGTTTATAAATGTTTAAACCAATGCAAAGAGTGGTACACTTTATAGATGAGTGTATTTTGTACTCATTATAAAACTGTTTACTTCAATCCTCATTGTGTTACTTGCGCATCGCATCCTTCTAATTAACACGAACTATCATTATCATAGAGTAGTCAGGATTTTAAAATGTATCAATTTCAAGCAAGATTATAGTGATTTCATTTGACTTATCAATTGATTATCCTCTTCCCCAAAATCAACATTTTTTTAAACTTTCTAAGAGAAGGTGGAAATCTCAAAATACATTCAAATGATACATTATAAAAAGTCTGACACGTAAGTGAAAGAGAATTAACGGTATTTACCTGTATTTGACTGTCTGGACACACGTGTTGACACACTTGTTGACACACATGTTGACAAACAGATTAGACAAACAATCACGTATACGGTGTTTGAAGTTTCCATCATCGCTATCGACAACCTGAGGTACCTCCTGGAAGAAGAGAGATTATGAAATGCCTTTGATAATCAGCGAATCAGTGAATTCTACAAGGACTGTAAAAAATCAATATTTCATACAGTAGGCTTGCGGTAGCACCGTGTGAGAGAGAGAGGGAGGATTGGAGGAAGGAGGGAGGAATTCTCTATCTCCGATCCAGGCGCTTCCCGGGGGGGGGGGGGTTGGGAGGTTAAACCCATCTTTGGTATTTTTATGTGTGTAAACCCCCCCCCCCCCATCACCCCCCTAAAACCCCTCCCCCTTTGGATTTTTGTTTTTTTTTATAATTATTAAAAAAAAAAAATTATTCCCATGGCTGACCTAAAAGGTGACCTTACCCCCCCCCCCTTCCAACGGAGCCAAATGTCAAATTTTCAAATTTCGAGACAAAAAAAAAAAAAAAAAAAATGTGCCCTTACCCCCCCCCCCCTTCCCCGCTTATTCAGCGGTCGGCTGAGTCGTTGCGATTTTTTTGGGACCCCAAAAAAAAAGTGTCCTCTTACCCCTCCCCCCCCCCCCCCCCCCCCCCCCCCCCCCCCCCCCCCCCCCCCCCCCCCCCCCCCCCCCCCCCCAAACACAAACACATGAAAATATAATACAATGGGTTCTGCAACGCAAGGAGAATCACACTAAACAATATCATACAATTCATTCAAATTGCATGAGGATCTTGTGATATCTCTATAATTTACTAGAATAGAACATGAATATACTTTTAGGAAGGTGAGTGTTCGCTTACCTGTTAAGAAACAAAATCAAGGCAGGTCTTAAAAAGCTGCGACATAGTAACTTCTGGGGAAATTACATCACACGTTACATCACACGTCTATCTGCCTTGAAGTCTAAACTTGCTCTCAACGAAAAAAGCAGGCAAACAACCCCACCATTCCCTATCCCCAAGACAAAGGGGTACCAGCAAATGTATCCACTGGTCATTCATGAATTATGTTCTCTACGAATAAAGGAAGTGGTCTGGGTTTAAGACATAAACAAGGCATATAGAATAGGGGTCTCTTTGTTCCCATCTCTTTGTTTCACCAGTGGCATATACCAGAGAGGTGATCTTAATAGAAACATAGTTTAAAGGTACAATTTAAATAGGGGTTCAACAATTTAAAGTAATATAAGCTTACTCAAAAATAGAATATAGGTTTACTAAAAAATAGAATATACCTTGTTAATAAACAGGTTCTGACACTCTCCCCTCCTAGAATCATGGCGTCCCGGCATCTTTAATTACAAGTCAATACAATAATACATTTCCGCAGACTTTTAGAGGACAGAGAGAGATTGACCAATCTCCTACTTTCTTACCTAGATGGCAAGATGTAATTCTCTGTAGATGACCTCAACATTGGGTGCACCTCTTCAGTCAAACACCGCATCCAGCCGAATGATTCCTCCTGCCACTATGCTTCTTTCTTGGGTAGAATGAGCTTCACCCGAAAGGTGGTGGCAGTTAAGGATTTCATTGGTTTGGTGCTAGTACTTGTGAAAAAACTTGTAAAATAAAAATAACCAGTGCCAGCGTTGTCGTCTCTGACTGAACGCAAACCTAATTGTCAGTGTGGAAGTGCAGATGGGCCTCGATGTACCCAATGTATGGAACTTCTGATTCCACCTGCACCAAACACGAACAGGTCGTCATGGATTCCAAGTGACGATGCGCTAACTTCTTGTGATAACAATACGCAGATATGCATGTCACTTGGGACCGACCCAATAAGGCACTCACAGGGCACACACTCCGTCAACCTCAGCCCAGACAGTGGATTGGGTACCCACTAGTGCGGCGGGAGATCTATCAGATCGATGTGGCCTGATAAGATGGCTTCATCTGCAAACTCATAATTGCAGGTCGCCTTATGGGACTCTTGTCAGGTTTATCTTTGGCCACCTGTTCAGCCAGAAACTTCACTAGCTCTGCCTTAAGCTTAGGGTTAGAGTCAGACATCTTTGAAAAGATTATAAAGCTAAACTATACAAAATGGGGTAAACAAAACAGTTTAAGATATTGAGGTGACTAAACGTACCTTTATAAAACCAATCAAGATTCTAGAAAGTGCTAATTATTAAATAGAAGACAAAAATAATTACATGATGAGAATATCGAAATAGCAAAATAGAAACCACAGTAACAACTGAGCTTGACAAGCTACCCGGCTTGTTTACTGTTACGCCTGTTACGTGAATAAATACACGACGTGTCTACAGGAAGAAGAAAAAAAAACTTTTACAATAATATTGTTAAGCTCCTTTGAAGAGTTCCTTTACAATACAACCTTGGTTACTATAGTTGCGTATAAGCATCGATCTACAAACATTTCTATTCTTCGCCTCGGGATAGATAAAGATTATCTTTAATCAGTTTTAAGGGTCAGTTACAGTTCGAGTGCTCTATTTAGCCATCGGTCCGTACGAATTATCATCATAGCTTATACCCCAGTCTTTTTTGCTTCAATTAAAAGTGTTTTTATTATTTGCAAACAAATTTGCAAATAAAATTCACATTGCATATTAAATTGTCCAAAATACTGACGTTTCCGCTTTCTCACAGGCTCTAAAAAAAACTTTTGCTCAATTCCTCAATGACTGGCGTGTTTGTTCTGTGAGCAGTCTATCTGATTCTCAGAGCACCAGAGTTTGATGTTTGGGGGGCACATACATGTAATCGATCGAATTAAAAAAAGGGGTCTAAAAAATTTCAACCGATCTTGGAAATTTTAGGGGGGGCATGTGCCCAATAATCTCCTTTGAAAGAAAATCAAAGTACAAGCTACTCCATTATAATTATAGTGCGATGTTTCGCCCGCTTCATTTACATGTTTTCTGCATTTGTATTCTTTTTCTCCTCTTTAAATTTTATTTCTTTCTCTCGTTTTTGTTTCTTCCTTCTTTCCTTTCCTCTTTCTTTCTATATTTCTTTGTTTCGTTCTTTTGTTTTACATTCTTTCCCTCTTTTACCCATTTGATTTGTCTCATATACACCGTATGTCGATTTTTGTTGTTGCTCATTTTGCTCTCATTCGACTTAATCTCTCTCTCTCGAAGTATCGATCTAGCTCCTCCTTTTTTTCTCCAGTACCAATGTACTATTACGTCAATTCCATGGTACATGTAGGCCACGTATATAACACAGCATGTCATTCAAAATTGAGAGGAGACATATTTATTACATTATTTAATTTCCTGTTTATTTCAAAAAATATGTGCACTCTCACGTTTGTGCTTAATTTGTTCCTTCTTAGCTCATCGAAATCTATAATGTGTACACAGGGCCTCTCAGACGTGTCAGAAATACAGTATGTTACTGAGAGAAGTACGAGAGAAATATACATGATGAATACCGGTAGATTATAATTTGAATTTTGAATTCATTTATTTCATATGCTCGAATGTATACAGAAGAAAAACAAGGCTAGACTTGTATTCAGAGGAATTTTGTAGATTTAACACATTTAATATTTACCCCGTTCATGTTTATGTCACCAGAAAGAGTTTGTATTGAATTACTTAAAAACATAAATTGTCTTTCTTACGTTTGGAGATAATTTGTTATACAGCTATGAACATAAATGAGTTCTGAGTTCATTTTGTTTAGTAGAGTTATCGGATCACGATGGGAGAAAACGATATTAGAGTCATCACCAAACAAAATTAATGATGGCATGTTAGAAGATCTTTTAAAATCGTTTATATACTAAATGAATAGTAGGGGAACAAGTAGTGATCCTTGTGTTACGCCACATTGTGATCTCTTCCGTGCAAGATTCGCAGCTATTAAAGGTAATACAAAGTTTTGGTATGGGGTCATGAATTTGGTTCAAATGAACATATTGGAAGCATATGCGATCCTACAATATTCAGGTGAAGTGAATGGGTACCTGGTAGGAATTTATTCCTTGAAACGCAGCGCGCGTAACAGCTGCACTGCTAAAGCCAGGGTAATTATGCTGCATTATTGTAGAGCGCTTAGAGACTTCTGATAAAGTAAGTGTTAGGCGCTATATAAGCAAATATAATTATTTTTATTATTCAGTGATCGTTGTCGCGGTTGAAATCGAGTCTAAAGTTATAAAATTGTAAATAATACACTCTTTATGTTGTATAGCTCCCTCTCAAGGTCAAGATATCAATTAAGCTATAAAACAATGTTTCTTGACTAAAATCGACCAATTAGCTATTCCCGTTTGGAAACTATATAATTATATAGCACAACATATTCTGAGATTTTCATGGTCGCAGCTACCATTGTACGGCCGTAGGCGCTATTTGAAATTCATTGAAATTTACCGGGAGCACCGGTAAATTTTTATATTCAATTTTACTCAAAAGCAGAAGTGTTTCAGGAGCTAAAGTTTCTAGTGTTTATAATACATCCACATGGGCATCCAAATATATCAAAATTGTAAAGAATCACTATCCACTCAATTTTCAAAATTTCCCAAAACTTTGTATTACCTTTAACAAACGCATATTGTGTCCCTTCTGACATAGTCCCTTTACCACTCCTAGGCTCTTACTCTATACCATAATGAGACAATTGGTATAAAAGGATAATCATGATTTATCGTGTCAGAAGATGAACTATTATACAGGAATACTAAGATACAAAACAAAAATAATATATCAAATTCAGTTAGTGGGTCTTCAACTCTATAAATCACTCGGATATGAACTAAACGATAACGGTGGTGTCTCTAATCCTTCCCTGACAATCAAATCGTGGTACAATCTCAAAGATTTGTCCACCAATTTCCTGTCTTTCTTTGAGAATGGATCCAAGGTTTGATTTCTTTTTGGTCTATGATAGGTACCCTCTGCATTAGCTACTGCACATGCAAGCCTTTCTTCATCTATGGTTATATGCAAGTATTCCAGGATTCGTCGCAGTTCGTCCTTGAGATGCAGTTGGAGTTGCTCGTAATACACGATCAACGTCGACTTGCAGGTGTTGCCCGGATGATGACATTCGGAGATGAAAGCTCTATATAGCTTGATCCAATTACGAGCCTCCTCTTCGACATATGGATGCCACTCTATAGGAAAGTAGAAGTGAAGTGAAGAGTCATAATTATGATTGTTTATTGTAAAGGGAATTATCAATAAATCGTAAATATATTATTTTTAATAGCAAATAGTAGTAGTAGTAGAAGTGGTAGTAGTAATTGTTGTTGCGGTTGCTGTTGTATAGTAGTGTAGTAGTAGTAATAGTAGTAGAAGTAGTATATTAGTAGTAATAGTGTAGTAGTAGTAATCAGTGGCGTACGCAGGATTTTTTCAAGGGGGGGGGGGGGGGTTTTAAAATCGGGTCCAAAATTTCGCAACGACTCAGGAAAATTTGAAAATCGCGCCGGCAAAGTCGCTCAGTGGGGGGGGGGGGGGGGGGGGGGGGGGGGGGGGTAAACGGACACTTTTTTTGGGGGGGGGGGGGGAGTCCAAAAAAATCGCAACGACTCAGCCAGCCGAAAAGTCGCTCAGTGGGGGAGGGGGGGGGGGGGGAGGTAAGAGGACACTTTTTTTTTTTTTGGTCTCGAAATTTGAAAATTTGACATTTTGCTCCGTTGGGGGGGGGGGGTAAGGTCACCTTTCTTACGTCAGCCATGGGGGTAATTTTTTTTTTTTTTTAATAATTAAAAAAAAAAAAAAAAATCCAAAGGGGGGGGGGGGTTTTAGGGATTTTTTAGGGGGGTTTACACACATAAAAATACCAAAGGGGGGTTGAACCCCCCAAACACCCCCCCCCCCTTGCGTACGCGCCTGGTAGTAATAGTAGTAGAAGAAGTATATTAGTAGTAATGGGAGTAGCTGTAGTATTAGTAGCAGTAGTATAGCATCAGTTGTATTAGTAGCAGTAGTAGTCGTCGTAATCAGAGCTAATAGTAGAATATGGTTGTTATTTTGTTGTAAAGTAGTAATAGTAGTAGTTGCAGTAGTAAGTAGTAGTCTTACAGTAGTAGTAATATAGTAGTGGTAGTAGCAGTAGTAGGAAGAAGAGGAGGAGGAGGAGGGGGAGGAGGAGGAGGAGGAGGAGGGGGAGGAGGAGGAGGAGGAGGAGTAGTAGTAGTAGTAGTAGGAGTAGGAGTAGTAGTAGTAGTAGTAGTAGTAGTAGAAGTAGTAGTAGTAGTAGTAGTAGTAGTAGAAGTAGTAGTAGTGGTGGTGGTGGTGGTAGTAGTAGTAGTAGTAGTAGTAGTAGTAGTAGTAGTGGTGGTGGTGGTGGTAGTAGTAGTAGTAGTAGTAGTAGTAGTAGAAGTAGTAGTAGTGGTGGTGGTAGTAGTGGTGGTAGTAGTAGTAGTAGTAGTAGTAGTAGTAGTAGTAGTAGTAGTAGTAGTAGTAGTAGAAGTAGTAGCGGTAGTAGTACACGAATTACTTTCTGTTTTGAATTCTTTTTCAGGGGCATGTCCCGTCTGGCCAGCTTCCCGCCTGTTAAACTCAGCTACCATTGCTCGATAAGGATTGCGTAAAAGTAGAATAGCACCGACCATATTCTTCTGAAAGACGTGTGTCTTGATTGTCAGAGCCCTGCCTTCCAAATTTCCTTCTCCTCCTCCGGGAAAACCTGTCGTGAATTGGTTATAAAATGTGCGAAATTATTGGAAAGCATTTATTTTAAAAACATTAATGTATGCATTCTTTAAAGCAAATTTTGAGTAGTCTAGTAACGGAATCGCACTTCAAGAGAACTAGGCTTTTAAAACATTTCTCCGGTAGAAGGCTTGTTTGTTTGATGTTCTCCTTTCTAATTGTCATGCATTCGTTCAAAAAGAAAGTAACTCCTAATAAGCACAATTCAGGGGCGGCCGAGCGACTTCCAAAGTGGGGGGGGGGCACCAACAAAAAAGGGCACTTTCTGGAAAAAAGGGCACCTACAGTGGGAAATCTCAAAGCGAAAATATACAATTTTTTAGACATTGGTATATACCCCTACATTGTGATTACATTATCAGGGATGATTTCAATATTTGTTTCTCTTCATACATCATACAAGATATCGCTTAAGCATCATACTTTACAGTTGGGTGTGATGTCTGAATATGCATTTACGAGCGAGCGAAGCGAGCGAGAAAAATTTCAAAGATCTGTGAGGTCGCAGTGTGAAAAATTACATCTTATAGAGAGGAAAAAAGCCAATCGTGATGGGGTTATAAGCACATTCTCATAACGGAAGACTGAAAAGGCCTTTGATAAGTAACATAATTATATCATCTTTAAATGCGAGCGAGCGCAGCGAGCGAACTTTGGGGAAATTGCTCTTAGTCGCTTTAAATAAGGGGCACGTTTAATGATTACATGAAAAGGGGACAATTATCGAAAGGGATAAGACACTTATTAGAAAAGAAAAGGAGCACGTGTCATAGTACAAAGGATAATTATAAGGGTGAAAATGAGGCATTTTTTCACCTGAAAAGAGGCACTCACCAGTGATGAAAAAGAGGCGTTTACGAAAATGGGAAATAGGCATTTGTTGACGGAAAAGGGACACCCATCAGATTTTGATAGGGGCATTTATAAGAGGTGAAAAGGGGATAGGTCCCTTATTAGAAAGGAAAAGGGGCACGTATCATTATTAAAAGGGGAATTATCAGAGTTGAAAGGGGCACTGACCAGATATGAAAAGCGGCACTTATGAAAATGTAAAAGGGGCACTTATAATAAAGGAAAATGTGCATTTGGTGAATGAAAAGGGGGGGCACTGTTCAGATTTTTAAAAGGGGCAGTTATGAGAAGGGGAAGGAGCGCTTTCTTTTTAATGGGGGCAATTATCATAAGGAAAAGGGACACTTATTAGAAAGGGAAAGGGGTAGTTGTGAGAAGGGGAAGGAGCTCTCTCTTTTTAATGGGGGCACTTATCATAAGGAAAAGGGGCACTTATTCGAAAATAAGAGGGGCACATGTTAAAATGAAAGGTGTGCTCATCCGAGTTTAAAAAAGGGGTAGTTATTAAAAGGAGAAGGGGCACTTCTTACAAATGAAAAAAGGGGAAGTTGTCAAAGTAAAAGGAGCACCTCTCAGTTTTGAATAAGGCAATAATCAGAGGTGAAGGGGGCACTTATTAAAAGTGAAAAGGGGCACTTCTCGTACCTGAAAAGAGGCACTTACTTGAGATTAAAAAGGCCCTTATTCAAGATAATTTCAAGATTGATGAGAATGGAAAATGGACACTTATTGCAAAGGAAAATGGAAACATGTCGAAGGAAAAAGGGCACGTGTCAAAAATAAAAAGGGCACTCGTCAGAGGTGAAAATGGGAAGGGGCATTTTTACTAAGTAATAGGGGCACTTGTCAAAGTAAAAGGGGCACCTTTCCTATGTAAAAGGGGCACTTCTTACAAAATAAAAGGGGCACTTTTCCTATCTAAAAAGGGGCACTTTTGGGGTATCTGAAAAAGTGGGGAAGCACTGTGCCCCCCCCCCCCCTGCCTCCCCCGGGAGGGCCGCCTCTGGCACAATTCATCTCAATGAGGACAAAGGCGCGATTTGACACGTTCTTTAGACAATATTATTGCTCAGTCATTCATGATCGCATTTGGTTGAGAAACCTCATAAATTAAAGAAGATTGTTTTGTAAGATATCAGGTCTTGAATATGGGTCTCCTTGACTCACATTGGATTGTGTTTTCAAATAGTTAATTTCTTACAATTTGGGGGATCATCACACCACTGTTCTTAGGCCGACGGTCTCGTGTTACTCTCTGAAAAATAAAGAGGCCTACGAGACTGAATCATCTCATGGGCTGTTTGACGGGAGAGGGAAAAGCAGGTGTTATTCGTACCTCGCCTACGAAGTATTTCGCTTGCATACACACTTCCTGTGGCATAACCAGTTGAAGTCTTTATGAGATGTCTAACCCACGAATTACCCGACCGGGAAAGCTAGCCAGGGCTATAGGTGGGAATGTCCCTTCTGGCATCAGTCGTGTGTCATTGCAGAAAACCAAACCTGCCCCTGTGAAAAGATATGTCGCATATAAAGACAATAATGTTCATATATATTTATTTATTCATGTATTTTGTTATCTTTCATAAGCAGGGTATAGTTCCATGCAGTGCCACAGAAGGCCTGCTTCACAAAATATAATACAAAATAAAATATTAAATATAAAAACTACATGGTAAATAATGAAAAACCTAAGATATGTGATTAATACAAGGCAAAAGGAAAAGAAAAAAACTAAATAAATTAGAATAAAAAACGACTGAGAAGAAAGAGAAGAAGAAGACTCACATTTATTAAAATCAAGAGGTATATTGGAAATATCTTAGGTGGGTTTTAAAACTTTCTAGGAAAGGGGCTGTTTGAATAAACATTGATAGCGAGTTGTACAGTTTTTTTTTACAAAGTATGAGAAAGAATCTTTGTCATTTTCTTTCGATAACTATGATATTGTGACAATGTAACTTGTCATTTGATATTACAAAACGATATTCATATACGTAGATTTAAAATTAGAATGTACAGGGACTATTATATTACATTCAGTGCTTGGAGCATTTTTAACATTTCAACTTGTGTCATTTTCTCTCTACGAATCTCAATCTTTGCATGATTATAATTTCTGTCTAGATTCGTTTGTCTGGTCCTGCAATTCTATCGAATTGATTAATATTACTAACAAATTGATTTTGTTATATATTCGAATATCTAATTGAATTACCTGTCTCTGTTGCCTTTTTTGTTGTGTTTCGTGTTATAATCAGGTCGGTTTCAATCCTACGCCTCGGCCTATCTCTCAGGTGTTGGACTCTACGGAGAGCATCTCCTCCAATGTAGATAATGCAAAAGGTTGTTATTCCACACAATAACATGCGAAATAAAGGGGCCCTCCGGTACCAGACGCATCCCATGGTTATCTTCAGGATAATCTAAAGACAGATGCGGAAGAGACATAACAGTTGGTTAGACGAGAAATTAAAACTGCAGCAGGGGTTGAAAGGTTGAAATGTTGAAATGTTGAAAGGCTGAAAGGTTGAAAGGTTGAAAGGTTGAAAGGGTGAAAGGTTGAAAGGTTGAAAGGTTGAAAGGGTGAAAGGTTGAAAGGTTGAAAGGGTGAAAGGTTGAAAGGTTGAAAGGGTGAAAGGTTGAAAGGTTGAAAGGGTGATAGGTTGAAAGGTTGAAAGGGTGAAAGGTTTGTTTTATTTTCTTACAAGGCCCCACACGGGGCATGGAAGAAATACAAATATAATGGTACAAAGATATTTTACAACAAAGACATTGAAACAAAATTATAAAAAACACTAACGAATGGGTAGTATAGTAATGGTGATTTTAGCCTGGTTCATTTGATTTTCAGTGATTTGATTTATTCATTTTTCCACTCAAATATCCAAAAGTAAAATAACATATACAAATCATACAGTTTAACAATATATAATAGAACAAATTAGTTATACAAGTAACAAATAGTGATGAGTATCTACGAAACAAAATAAGTTTGAGAATAAGACAAAGTAATTTGTATTGCTTGATAGACCCGGCTATCCGGTAAAAATACAACTTGATATAAATGAAAAAACTAAATCAATGTAGAATACAAATATTCAAGTAGTTACCTTTTCATTATTTCACAAAAGCAAATTAAAACCTCATTTTAAAACCTCGAATTACTGGTCAACAGGGTAATGGGTGTATCAACTTGTCAAGCCACATATAGGCTTTACTGGTACACCTTATTTCATTTTCCAACAATTCATGTTTAAATGTTATTACTTTCTTTCACATATTTGAGTTGGTTTTTATATGTATATTTTAAATGATTATAACCTGTTTTTTGTGTTTTGTTACTGAATTTGAAATAAAATGGATCAATCAATCAATCAATCTTCTTATGAACATCTCTTTTTCGACGGCGCCTCCTTGACAACAGGGTCGCCCCTGATTGTGCAAAAGATCGAGGCCTGTTCTTCCTCTAGCAGAGCAAATTATACTTGGAGCATCCATCTTTATTTTGGAGAGCGCCAAAATTATGCATTTCCCGCCCCTTGATCGCATATGACTCATAGAAAACTCTTATCACTCGTAAGAAGATCTTGATAACTCGTTGGTAGATCGGTACAAGTCGTACACACGTCATCGCAACTCATACCGAGCTCGCGTGGCTCGTATCGTGCTCTGTTCACTCGTACATTCATCGTACGAAACTTAATGTTGCGTTGTAGAGACATGCAAATATCATAAATAGTAAATTTCTAGCGAGTTTACGCCACAACTGGAGGCTCCAACTCGGCTAAGTGAGAACTTTGCATTAGAGAATTTGAGTTGCACAAATCTGGTACGAATATAATTAAAGGATTAAATCATGCTACTGATAGAGAATAATTCAGATCTTATGATGATGATTTAACTCACCTCAACGAAGAAATACTAGCTAAGCTATTTGAGTGATGAACAGTGTTGAGATGAGCCAGGCTGCTCGTGGCATGGATTGAATCGAGCACGAATATCGAATGTTTACCATTCAGGCTGACCAATTACGAATAGGCCATGTTCGTAATGTAACCAAATTTAATGCATAAGTCTTTGTGAAGTGCCTCAATACAAATTATTTCATCCACCTGATAAGAATAATAGTATTTCAATAGACAATAGACAGAATCCGAACTGTATGCATTAGTTGTTGCCAGGTATGACCAACATTATGGCTTGACCTACCTAGCAACACTTAATATATACAGTTTGCATTCTGACTATTGAAGTACTATTATTCTTACCAGGTGAATGAAATCATTTGTATTGAGGCATTACACAAAGACTTATTCATTAAATTTGGTAACATATTACGAAAATGGCCTATTACGAATTACATTGAGTGCATGCGTTGCGTTGAATTAAAGAGATGCGAATGAGCCAATGAGATCGTTATGATTTGTGCATAAATAAGTCATTTAATTAGTGTTCATTGGGTGATCCAGCAGATGTGCCAGTATAGGCTCTTTTCAAAATCCGGTTGTAAAGAGATGATAATCTAGCGCTCTGAAAGGCTAGATGGTGGCAGCTTACCACCTCTACTAATAAACAGCTGAAGACGATAATTTCAGGCAATTCCTGTACAAATCAGACGATAGAAAGTACGAGATTTGCTGGATTTCCAACATTATATTAGCATATGTATAGCACGGTAAGCTCAATAGCATGAAAGTTATCGCCACTATTTGTGGCACCCGTTGCAATTAAAATGCCTATGCTCAGTGGGTGAACGTGATTCGTTCGTCTGCTCAAACCACGTGATGTGCAAGGTCGGCGATTTCTTGTTATGACCGGGCAGCGTCATTTTTTTTCTGCGGCACAGATTGGGGCTTGTTTTTTAAAAAGAGGTCTTGATTTAACCCTAACCCTAAACTTTCCCTTAGGCTCAACACGCACCTAACCCCAATCTGTGCCACAGAAAAAAATAACGCGACCGGGGCCGGACGAAATGCGAGAGAAAATCTGTATTCCGTACGTAATGAGCAAAAACGTTTTTGGGGGGAGAACAAAAAAATCAGCATCCCCACCACTCTTACGTGTTACATGCAGGCCCCGCTGGACTTTTTCCAAAGTGAGTGGGGGGGGGGGGGGGGGAGGGGACTTTTTGTCAACACTTCTTGTACTTTACATACAATAGATCAAATTTGAAATTCTTCTTTTATTTTCTTTCAAAGAAAGGACTTATGATGGCTGCATGTGCATTAAAACCCATTTGGAAGTGTATCGGTTGATGTTTTTTGCTTCTCTATTGAAATAAATTTTTACATTGTGAATTTTACATCAGAAGCGCGATTTGATTAATTTTAGATTGTTAACAACTCGGGTAATCCCTGTCGCACTACTTTTTTATCAACATGTTTTAACTAATTGAATCGTGATGTGCATAATTTTAATACTAGAATTAATGCCCTGAATTATCACCTCCCCAAAATTAGAACGACATGTAGGAAAATTTCATCCAAGGACCATTAATATGGAATAGTATATGTGTGTTTTAGGGGGTAAACTTTCATAATAAGGAATCTCTTCTTTTAGTCCGCCTATCCGAATGCTCTCATAAATTGCCATTGTTATTTGTTATCACTGTCTTGTTTTTTATCATTCCATTCTGTATTTGTATGTTTTAAATGTTTTTATGAATAGTGTTGAGTAAATTTTTGAAGTGTAATTTGAATATACAACATTAAATATGTCAGGGCCCAATTTTCTGGGTTCCCGCTTCTCAACCTTTTCTTTAAAAGCTTCCCCCCTGATGATGTTGTTGCTTTTTAAGTTTGATTCGATGCTGCACGCACGGTGACGTCACACACGCATCTCCATTCATTGCGCTATCAGTATTAAATTTCGTGGACTTCCTACGCTGACTGAGCTGAGGCCATCACTCAAACTTCATATGAGGAGTCATGCCCTTTTTTTAAAGGTGGGTTTGAAACTGTAGAGATTGAATGCAGCCTTTCTTTTAAATAAATACAGAAATCAGTAGATCTCAAGTTACAGTCTACGTCTGTAACTGAGTGCTAAACTCCTTGGATGGCGCGCCGCGCTGCCTGGATGCGATGGGAGGCTCCACGACCGGGATGTTTGGGCGATGTGCTCTGTCGAGTTCCCATGGCATGGCTTAAACTGGGCCGGGGGCTTGAACAGCTAACTTTAGAATAGACCTAGATCTACCCCACCTATACTAAAAATAGGACCGGGCCTAGATCTAGGGTTAATGTACATGAACGTCAAAGGCCTAGGGTTAGGGTTAGAGTTAGGATTAGGTTCAGTTTTACTTAAAAAGCTTAAAGGGATCCGGTAACTTTTTCTCAGATTCTGAAACAAAATTCTGGATTTAGCTCATGATGGAATGGTAATTAGAGTCTATAAACCTTTAGGTCAGTCAGGAACCCCATGACTTTTACAAGCCGATCGCCAGTCTGATTATCAAGATATTTATGATTGGAATTACAAATTTTGAAAACCGTTCGCCTGACGGTTTTCATAACACTAGACTCTACAGTCAATTGGGGAAAACGAGTATGGTAAAACCGGTCACTAAAAGATTTTTACTTTTTTGAGGCACTTCTTGATCATTTTGAAGCGCAATTTTTTTAGGGCTTCGATATTACACCATATCACAGACACTGATAACACGTAGGGCCGTGTATCTCAGATTTAACATTGTTAAACGATCCCTTTAAGTCTCGAGATTAAGCTTCATTGGTGAAGTTTTTGAATTTGGTACCCTACAAACGTTTGGTCAATTTTAGTGGTGGGTACTAGATCTAACTACTATTTGTTCCAGTAATACCTCGGCCATTTCGCAATTTCTGGTATTCAGCACAGACCTTTTTGTTTTATATGGCACTGAGGTTTTAATTACTGCAAGAAGAAACTGTGTGATACTTTGCCAGTCTTAAATTATTAAAATATTTATCATGCAAAGAACGCATTTAGACTTAGAGGTCTAGATCTAGTTGAAAATGAAAGTTAGATCAGATCTATAGACTAAGTTAGAAATTAGATTAGTAAGCAACTGTTTTAAGTAGTAAATGATATTGATACTGATAGTGTAGACCGAAAGCTTCAGTCTCTATAATCGTCGGTTGTTCCACTGAGACTACGTCTGGCTCCACTAGACCTCCGGTTATAGAGACTGAACGACTGCCTATGCCAGCCTGTGTTGAACTTATTCCGCTAGATTTTAGCCGCTAGGCCCCTCCCACAAACTTGCCACGGCCGTATTGTTATGCCCCCCAAATCCCCCAAAATGTCATTTTACCTCGTTCATTTCCAATTTTAAATTAGGCCTAGGCTATAATACATCGGTTCCACTTACTAACTTGATTGATATAATCCGTTTAATGGTCCCTTTTAAGGAAATTATCGGTCAAAATCGACATCCATGTTGAAAATCTTGCAAGCCGTGTTAAACTCTCGCTGCCGTCAATCTCATCCCTTCTAGTCTACGCCGAAGGCAAAATGATTATGAAGGAAAAACTGTGCGCCATCTACACGTTCGTAATGGCGTTATCACAGTTTTTCCTTCATAATCATTTTGCCTTCGGCGTAGACTAGAAGGGATGAGATTGACGGCAGCGAGAGTTTAACACGGCTTGCAAGATTTTCAACATGGATGTCGATTTTGACCGATAATTTCCTTAAAAGGGACCATTAAACGGATTATATCAATCAAGTTAGTAAATGGAACCGATGTATTATAGCCTAGGCCTAATTTAAAATTGGAAATGAACGAGGTAAAATGACATTTTGGGGGATTTGGGGGGCATAACAATACGGCCGTGGCAAGTTTGTGGGAGGGGCCTAGCGGCTAAAATCTAGCGGAATAAGTTCAACACAGGCTGGCATAGGCAGTCGTTCAGTCTCTATAACCGGAGGTCTAGTGGAGCCAGACGTAGTCTCAGTGGAACAACCGACGATTATAGAGACTGAAGCTTTCGGTCTACTGATAGTGATACTATAGTCTAGATCTCTATATAACTAAATTATTATTACTCGTATAATATTAGTGATATTACTTTACTACAAATACAATGTCTGCAGTCTGCCAAGTTGGGGAAATATGTGAATGGGTCATTTTACTATTTTTGGGAAAGTCTCTGGCTATGGGATGGAGCCTTGCCTAGCTTAGATATTGTACATGTATGCCTCTGGGCTTGGTTGTTAACTTGATGGGCCCACCTACGTATGCGACAACCAGATGCTGGTGATTGTACATCACGGACAGATACAGATACCTAACTGCCCTAACACTAGACCGAATTTTCCGTCTCTTTCGTTCGTTAGCCTCTTATTGGGGTAGGGTCGGCTCTCTCTTTAGAGACGGAAACCGTCTGTACACATTCCCTTGATAACGCCACGGCCATTTCAGGTCGTAGCGTTTTGCCCCCAAAATCCCCCAAAATGTCATTTTACCTCATGCATTGATTATTTAAAATTAGGAGAAGGTTATACTACATCGGTTCCACTTACCAACTTGACTGAAATAATCCGTTTAATGGTCCCTTTTAAGGAAATTATGGGTCAAAATCGACATCCATGTTGAAATCTTGCAAGCCGTGTTAAACTCTCGCTGCGCACGGAGTCATCTAAACCAATCTCATCCCTTCTAGTCTACGCCGAAGGCAAAACGATTATGAAGGAAAAACTGTGCGCCATCTACACGTTCGTAATGGCGTTATCAAGGGAATGTGTATAGACGGTTTCCGTCTCTAAAGAGAGAGCCGACCCTACCCCAATAAGAGGCTAACGAACGAAAGAGATGGAAAATTCGGTCTACCCTAACACTAACATTAACCTGAAACAATATTTTTGATTAGCTAAAAATTTTGATAAAATAGTCCTTTCGTTTTTATGTAGATCTAGGCCTATACTTCTAGATATTTCAGGCAAATTATGTAAAGCTTACTCTTATATTTTATTCATTGCAGAACCATGAATTTCGTACCAAGAGCCTTGGCAAAAAAGACAGCTAATACTAAGACTAAGAGCTGTGTGTCGGTGAAGAAAAAGGTCATAAACACAAATCAGGAAGGGAGCTCATGTGTGCTTTTACAAAATGTCTCTACCTCGGGCTCATCCAATGCCCAGAACCCCTCTCCATTTCCTATAAGTGCAGAGACGAGAGAACCTCCTGGAAGAGATGATAAAAACATTGGGATACCGTTGATCCATGAACTACAGAACAAGGGTAATTCAGAAGGCAAGAAGCGCCTGGATCAAGGGATATCCTTTGACCCCGCACCTAGTGATGTAGATGGCTCCAGGAAAGTTCAAACACATTCAAGTCAATCTTGTAGATCACCCCCTTTGCCGAAAGGTGATACATCAGAGAATGAAAATGAGGAAACATTTCATAGGAAGACTTCAGAGAGGACTCATACGCAATCACATGAAAATAAACTAGAAAGGCTTCAGCAGCTGAGTGATAGGATATCAAGTCAGGTTTCTGTCATGAAAGGGAACCAGAGTACAGGACATCGAGAATCCTTAACCCCTGCGAAACCTTCATCTGACCCAGTTGTGAACGATGAAAGTATGTCCTATCGGGACCAAGAAGATGTGCAACATGACGTTAAAGAGTCTGAGAACCCTGAGAGTGATGAAGAGCCACGGCCCATCGTATCCTTCAGCAAGAATCAGCGCTGGCCTGATGAGAATGAGCCAGTGTGTGTGGTCTGTGGGAAGTATGGAGAGTATATCTGCAGTCAAACCGAAGCAGATGTCTGCAGTCTGGAGTGTAAGGCTAAGAACTTGGTCAGGAGAGGAATTCAAACCACTGCTCCCAAGGTAAGTTCTACCTTTCCTCTCTAGACTATCTCCCTCTCTCTATCTCTCTCTCTCTCTCTCTCTCTCTCTCTCTCTTCTATTTTTTTTCTCTCTCGTTCCCCCCCCCCCCTCTCTCTCTCTCTCTATCTATTTTCATTCTCTATCTATCTCTTTTCCCTCTCTCTCTTTCTCATGTCAAATAAATCTTGTTATTTTCATCGAATTTCATCCTTATCACTTGATTCAAGAGTGAATATCATTTCCAAGAATTAAATTGAGGGGGGGGGGGCGACATCTCATCTCTAAATGAATTAAGATCTGCATGAAGAATCTAGGCACTGTCGTAGTGATTTTAAAGATGTACATGTATTCCAATTCTGTTTTCTCGCTACAATCAGACCAAGAAGCCAGCAGATGATACCATTGATGCATTATCTGGCCCGGGTGCTGCTGCTGATGATGCTGCTGCTGATGCTGCTGTCACTGTAGAGGAGGCTGATCAACTCTTCATTTACAGGGAGCACCCAGACATCGCTCAACTCGCCCCTGAACAGGTCCAAGATATCAGGAACGAGGCAAGTATTTCTTAATATGACGGTATACTTTCAAGTGGTAGTTGGCAGGGATCTTGCCGGTGTATTGTACCCCTGATGCTAATACCAAGTGTGGGGGACTTACCGGAAAAATTCCAGAGGGAACCCCCCCCCCCCAAGGGTGCTGACACTGGTAATAAATAATTACGGGTTGCATACTTTAAACCTCCAAAACTGTTTTAGTATTACCAAACCACCTCTATAGGACGACATAAGGCCATATTTTAGTAAGTTTGGACCAATGAATATTGTTGGTTCTTTCAACCTACAAAATTTGCTTGGTCAGGACTCTTAATTGATCCCCATGCTGCAAAATTTTATTTTTTTCAAATTGGATGAAGAAGCATTCCAGTCAGGATAAGTTAAGCTATGGTCACGAATCAGAGCAGCGACCGACCGATCAGTAGCCTGCTCGGTCGCTGCTGGAATTTAGCATTGCCCAGCAATTAGGTCGTTGCCCGGGCGGCGACCGCCCAGGCACCGAGCCTATTTTGGGCGGCGAGTGAAAAATGAGCAGGCGCCGCCCAAATTTTAAGTCCGCGCTGAAACTTCAGCCACGACCAAGCGATGCCCTAAAAACGAGCGATGCCTGGGCGGCCGCCGCTCGGTGCCCGGGCAGCCGACGGGCAGAATTGGTTAAAAACTCATCGCTCGGCCGCCGAGCAGGCTATTTTTGGGTAATGTGACCATAGCATAAGCCAAACGATTTTATGTGCAGTCTTTAACATTGCAGATGTAGTATACAGATCACTCATTCTTAGTTTACCCTATCAACATTCGCAACATAAATATCATTACACCCATAGTAACCATCATATCTAAAACTGTCACTCTTTCAAAAGAGCAAAATATACATTATTTTGGGTTTAACCTGCTGACCTACTACTACTAGCACAAAGAGATGGCTTCTATTTCATGGTATTTTCACAATACTTTTGTTGTGACATCGAAAATGTACCACAAGAAATGTATAGGTAACAATGTTTGAATGTACATCAGACATTTTAAACCTGATCAAAATTAATCATATAAATCTCACGTCCTGCCCTAACCTTAAAGGTAATACAAAGTTTTGGTATGGGGTCATGAATTTGGTTCAAATGAATGTATTGGAAGCATATGCGATCCTACAATATTCAGTAATCGTCGTTGCGGTTGAAATCAAGTCTAAAAATATGCAAAATTTTGTAAATGATAAACTCTTTATGTTGTATAGCTCCCTCTCAAGGTCAAGATATTAATTAAGCTATAAAAAAATGTTTCTTGACTAAAATCCTCCGATTAGCTATTCCCGTTTGGAAATTATATATCTCATCTGCATATTCTGAGATTTGTATGGTCACAGCTACCATTGTACGGTCATAGGCGCTATTTGAAATTTATCAACATTTAACAGGAGCACCGGTAAATTTTTATATTCAATTTTTCTTGAAAGCAGAAGTGTTTTAGAAGCTAAATTTTCTAGTGCTTATAATACATCCACAGGGGCATCTAAACATTTCAAAATTTTAAAGAATCACTATCCACCCAATTTTCAAAATTTCCCAAAACTTTGGATTATCTGTAACTTACTGTAGCCCGGGGTTTAAAAAAACAGAGATTAAACTATAAAAGAGAGAAAGAAAAAAAAACCTATGGCTATCTTACCTTTCTCTAACAGACGTGCTAGTATGCGTGCAGTGGAAGGCTAGAATAACTCTTCTCATATACGACACCCTTCTTATGCATCTTCCCCTTTTCACATTTAATTTAACTGCCACGTACGCAGCGTAATTCAAGAATTCCGTCTCCCGTGCCTGAATACAATTAGTGTTCTCACTTATTGCCATATGAACAACATTTGCCAGCTATACATGTACTTGTAACTGTGGCAAATACATAAATTTCCTTCATTCAATTTGATATTCATGAACGAATATGAATAAATGACCTTTTATTTAAACATCTAAATACAGATTCAGCTTAACAGAGATGCACGGGTCGAGGGTTTGCACTTGGTACTCTCCACCCAGGTCTTAAATGGGTACCCAGTAGGATGCGATCGTCATTGTTGGTCAAATAGTTGTTTGAGCGTTGAATAAAGCCTGGCTGGAATGATCCCCAAGGAGTGGAGATTGTGCACACAGTGTGTGTGGGCAAGTATTGAATCCAATGACAGGGTTAAAAGTATATCTGTAAAGAGCTTAGTAGAGACATCATAGATGTCACTATGAACATGACAGACAAAGAAAGCGGAAAAAATATACAGTTCCTCAGGTAGACAAAGGAACATCCCTTCACTGCTATTATGTAAAAATGTGTAGAACAGGTGTCACATGCACATTCACCATTTTACATAATAGCAGTGAAGGGATATTCCTTTGTCTACCTGAGGAACTGTATATTTTGTCCGCTTTCTTTGTCTGTCATGTTCATAGTGTGTATTAAGTGCTATATAAAAGTGGAATTATTATTATTTATTAATTTTGTATTATTCTTTAAACTCTCTTTTGTCAGGTTCAGATTTTTGTTGAAGGGATAAATATTCAGAGACCTATCTTGGAGTTTGAGCAGCTTTGTCTTCCAGCTAAGAGTAAGTCAAAAAGTGTACATTAGTAGAAATGTTCAGTATCTAAAGATAGCTGTGTAGAAGTTATTTGTATAAAAAGTATTAAAATATCAGCTGTGCATAATGTTCAATTGTTCGTATTCTAGTATTAAGGAGACTACACATGAATGTAACTCTAAAATATTCTACACCATCTACCCTATGCATGCCTTTTGAATTTTCGCAATGTAGGAATCATTTTATTTTTGAAATACCCGGTAATCCTTTTTTTCTCAATTCTCTCTTCCTTTTTCTCTCATTCTCACTCCCAAACCTCTATTTCTGTACCCCCTTCCTCTCTCTATCTCTGTACCCCCTTCCCCTCTCTATCTCTCTCTCTGTATCCCCCTCTCCCCTCTTTTTCTCACCTTGAAACCCCTATATGTTTGTCCCTCTCTCTGTCTTCTTTCCCTTTCCACTCTCTTTCTTTGTATGTGTTCCAATGTAATATGGGAAGTTGTGGAACATCAATAATAATAATAATAATAATAATAATTCCCCTTTTATATAGCGCTTTATACATCTATGATGTCTCTAAGCGCTTTACAGTTAAATTATTACCCCGGTCATTGGATTCAATACTTGCCCGCATATTTATTATTATTTTGTGAATCTATATGCTAATCATTTGTTTATATCTTGTTATGTACATGTTTGCAGTACATAGTAATCTCCAATCCTCTGGATACATTACTCCTACACCGATCCAGATGCAAGCCATCCCAATATCCCTTGCTTTGAGAGACCTTATGATATGTGCTCAGACCAGCTCAGGAAAAAGTGAGTTTTAATAATGATAATAATAGTCTGTTGTTGTCATGATGTAAAAATCTGGATTTATATAGCGTTTAAGAACATTGGATTAATTCAAGCACAATGTGCACCATCTCCACTCCCTGGGAAGTATTCCTACCATATGGTCACCATGATTGAATATGGCAATTACTAACACCAAGGTTTTTGATTGTTGTAAAGACATTTTTTAGTGGTTCCAATATTTTGTGTGTGACTTGTTTTCAACTACAGGATCGAGCATGTGATCTTTATTTACTGGGAGCAAAGCAAAATGTCTTTACAACAATTGAAACTTCTCCCAGGTAGCCTAACATCTAAAACAGGTTTTTGTTACCCTACCAGCCCAGGTGCCCATTTTTCTCCCGAGAATGGAGTATGGACAAATGTATAATTAATGCCTTGCCAAAGGACATTAGTGCTATATCGGGATCAAACCCACGTCATGTCAAGTTCTTAAACCACTCAACTACAACACCTGAGTTTTCATTGTAATTATTTCTTTGTTTGTACTTTTTTATTCAATTTGTAAGTTGTTTTTTTAAAGGCTAATGAAAATTATTGTTTTAAAAATGTTATTACTTGTATATGATGATTTTACGTGCACCATACATAGAAATCAAGTAAGTGTAGTTGTTGTTTTTTCCCTGTTTTTGTTTCAGCCCTATCATTCCTTGTTCCTGCTGTGATGACCATATATAACCAAGTACTAACAGGGGTAGGAAGCAAAGATCCGCATGTCCTCATCTTCACTCCTACAAGAGAACTGGCTATGCAGATAGAAGAACAGGCTAAACAACTCATGAAAGGTACAATGAGTGATTTCAAGTTGGGTGTTAGGGCGGTGTTAGTGTTTAAAAAACACTAACACCAGCCCGAACACCGAAATGGAAACCAGCTGGTGTTAAGACTTTGACCTCAGAATATCGTCAACATCCGGTAGCTAATGTTATCAATTTTGCAAAATTGTTGTCTGCTGAACCGACCTTTGTGGCTGGTGTTCATATTTCATGTACAGATGTCCTATTTCCAGCAAATGTCCAGAAAGGTGTCAACTGTGAATACAAATGTGAGCACAAATGTCTATGACCCAATCATGATAAATAAGGGTTTTCACCGAGTTGGTTAGCCCGTTCTTCTATTTATAATATATCACTTTTAAATTTACTGTCATTGTAGGAATGTTGAGTATGAAGACAGCACTTTTAGTTGGAGGGCTCCCTCTACCACCACAATTGCACAGGTTACGACAAGGCATTCAGGTGAGTTCAAGGTGTAGTAATGTCTTTCAAAGATGCCAATTTTCATTTAGATTAAAGATAAACTTGAGTTCTGGTAAAAAATGAAAATGAATTCTCACAGAATCAAACAAAACTTACACTGAATGTTCAAGAGTACAAATAAATGTCATTTGCCGAACAATTTTGGTAGAAAATGTATACTGGCTGAGTATTGAGCATAGAAAAATAAGAAAATCAAGGTTAGTAGCCCTGACACCATTTGTGTAGTCCCATATACCTCTTTCTGTGTACAGTACTTGTTACTTTACCAAGACTGGGTCAAATTTATCGTGATTTTGATGGCTCCAGAACCTTGCAGTACACACCAATACTTACATGCTACAGGATCAACTTTTTCTGATCCATTCCACACCTTTTCTTTCACAATGCAATTGCATGACCAGAACTCTGCAACTTTATCTTTAATTCAAGACCCTGTCAAGTGTCATATCTCTGTGGCAGGTGCTAAGTTGTTCAAAACACATATGGACAGATATTATTTAGAATTTGTTTGATGGTTTATTTTACCGGAAAGCTTGTGTATGCTTGTAAGTAAGCAGACAGGGGATCGACGGCTTTAAGTCCTCTCAGAGGAACTTGGTAGTGAGGTTTGATGCCTTTCTAAAGGGTACTAGCGCATTGCCTTGGTTTCGAACCCAGGAACTCCCGGTTAATCTTAGTGTATAACCCTAAAAACATTGGTATTTTCCCATTGAATCTTTATTTCCATAACCCATGGTTTAAAATCAGCCGAAAATAAGCGCAACACAGTCAGAGGTCCAATATTAGACGCCTGCAAGGCAAGGTAGGCTTAATTTGCGCTAATTTTAAACCATGGGTTATTTGAATGAGGGTTTAAAACCTGGGTTAAATTTTAACCTCCTTTGTGAATTCGGATACAAAGGGTTAAAACCTTGAGTGTGGAGTCAAAGCTCTGTGATATGTAATTTAATGGATGATCATCATATTCTCTTCAGTTATTTACACAATTTAACTCTATTGTTGCCAGTCAGCTTAAAGCTATGAAGTGAGCTGTACTTTGTTTTATATCTTAGTTTATTGTAGGTACACCTGGCAGGATCATGGAGATCATCAAACAAGAAGGTAAGAATGCCAAAAGTATTGTGCATATTTATGTATTTTGATAGTGATCCTACATTTTCTTCAGCAAAAGAAACTTTAAGTTTTATTCTGTCCTCAGGCCCATTTTCTCATCCCAAACAACATTTTAAGAAATCATCGATTTTGGGGTATGTCATTTGCACTACTGGAAAAACCCACACAAAAATGTTGAAGCTTGCTCATACCAAATTTTTAATGAGTAGTGTGCATCCGCAACTTGTCGCTACCCTGCGTGCAATAGCACAGAAGTAAGGAGAGTCCTGTGACGAAAAACCGGAATCACGCTGAATTTTTTATTTATGCTTCACAAATGGGTGAAAATTTGGCAGGCGTTTCCAAAGATCAAACTCCAGAGGTGGATTTTCAATTTTAGTTTTGGAATTTGAGAAAAATCAATGATTTTGCTTGCAGTGTAAATGCAGCTATTATTTAGTAACAGTTTCATTCCAAGAAGTCATGTACATGCATTTTAAGCAATGTAGGATATTTATATAATATTGACTGGCCTTGAGGGGTATATCAGAAATATTGACCAAGCTCAGATCATATTGCCCCGAGTCGAAAGACGAGGGCAATATGGTCTTAGCGCGGTCAATATTTCTGATATCCCCCGAAAGTAAAGCCAGTCAATATTTTTATTGTTATCCAAATCAGACATCTAGAGCAAATACAGACATCCACCATGACAATCTCAAGAACTGAACAAACTTTGTCAAACCAACACTGTGCATCCAGTGCTTGACAAAATTTTCGATACACTGCAAACAGTGTGTATTTGGTGTGATTATTACGTCACAATAGAGTGCGCGCAAGGTGCGCAGGTTCTCGTACGCATAATAGATGCGCAATGAAAATGCGACGCGGTCAATACAAGATGCCGGGATGCGAGACCGTGGAAAATACCAAGGTATATTTTCACTCGTCTCTACACGCAAAGTCAATACGCGCAGGGAGACCAAGGAAAATACAAAGAATATACCCCTCCGTTCCCACTGCTAGTGAAAACTAGGGCAATACGGTTTTGTAAATGACCAGCTCAGATGTCTGATACGGGTAATAATTGTTATTAATGTAATGCTTCCTGGGAGAAATTTCAACTATTTAAACATATTTGTGGCTTACACCCAGTAAAATACAGATCGATCAATTGATCTTATTTACTGGGTTTAAGCCACAAATATGTTTAAATGTAGGAATTGTGTTGCTTTAATAAACACCACATGAGCAATCAACAGACATTGAGTGTGGAAGAATATTAAATAAAAAATGTTCCATGAAAAGCATGGCTCAATCTTCAAATGCATTAATATTCTAAATATGGCAATGTAACAGCATTAAAATCAGGACATATTTTTATGCTACATGTTCGTATAGTCCCATATACATCTTTCCGTGCAGTGTTTGCTACTTTACCAAGACTAGGACAATTTTTTCATCATTTTGATGACTCCAGAATCTTCCAGTACACACCAATGCTTATATGCTAGATGATCAACCTTTTCTGATCGATTCCACAACGTTTCTTTCACTATCTTATTGTTTCCCTATCTTATTGACTTGCTAAATTCACAGTTATGATCATGCACTTTGTCCACATTTGTATAGAATTATAAATATAATTATTTTATTTTATGTGAAATAGTATATAACTTTTTAACTAAGACGATTGTACAACCTTGATAATTGATTAATGAAAATGATAATATAATACGGTAAATCAAGTTTACCATTGTTAACTTTTGTAATGATTGAAACATACTTACCACATATTTATTACAAGAAAAATCTCAAAATTACCATATTTCATGTCTCTCATCTGATTGCATACCTACCGATCAATTTACAATATATGTTATCCATAACTCACCAATGAAAATGTAAAATGTAATTTATTAATTTTTACAACCAGTATTCTCTCTGTCGAAATTGTACTTTTTACCTTATTTTCGATATGTCTGATATACACTCTCATCCTCAGCATCATTTATTATATATATATATATATATATATATATCTCTATCTCTCGCCTTGTCTCTCTTTCTCTCTCCCTCTATCCCTTTGTCTCTTTCTCTCCCTCTCTGTCTGTCTCTATATCACACTTTTCCTGGATCTCCTGTGCTGTCTGCACTATTATCCTCCCTACCTCTCTTCTATATTTCCCTCCAGCCCTATGATGATTGTGGAATAGAATGTTAAGCGAATTTTATGAATTGTATTAATTTGTATATATATATGTGTACACTGATTTATTTAAAATTCAATCACTGCGTGATATGTCTCAATACGTTTTATGTTTGTATAAATATTTATGTTTTTACAATGTACAAAGTTCTGCAATTCAACCATCTGGCTGCAAATGAATTTTTAATAAAACCATTACCATTACATTACCATTACTATGCAATCACTTGACCAGGGGCCCGTTGCATAAAAATTACCATTGACACTGACCCTGTCAAAGAAAAGATTTCCCTGACGTCCCCCCCATCTACAAATTAATACACCCTACCCGCACCCTTAGTTAAAACTCAGACGAGTATTTTGGAGGACCAACCAACCAAGAACCAAGAGAACTTTGCCATCAATGGCAACTACCATGGTAACAGGGCTCAACAGCCAATCAAAATTAAGGTTCCCATGGTAGTTACCATTGTAAGTTTTGTGCGACGGGCCCAGAACTCCACTTTATCTTTAGTACAGGATCCACCTGGTTCCTGTATTAAATGGGTTAACATGTATTTGCAAATAAGATTCAGACAAACTATCTCTGGTTTAGTTTTTTACAGATCAATGTTCTTAATTACTGTCTTCTTTTATTGATTCAAGGTGTTTGTCTGAGTGAAATAAAGCTGGTTGCGATTGATGAAGTAGACACCATGCTACAGCTTGGATTCCAGCAGCAGGTATGAATCATTACCTCTACGTGGCAGAAATTATCTGGTAAAGCAAGTTTTTAACTTTTTCTGTTACATGGCATCTGTTACAGGCATCGTTTAACAATGTTAAATCTGAGATGCACGGCCCTACGTGTTATCAGTGTCTGTGATATGGTGTAATATTGATGCCCTAAAAAAATTGCGCTTCAAAAAGATCATCAAGAAGTGCCTCAAAAAATTAAAAAATCTTTGAGTTACAGGATTTACCATACTCGTTTTTCCCCAATAGACTGTAGTGTTGGAAAAACCGTTTGGCAAACGGTTTTTAAAATTTGTAATTCCAATCATAAATATCTTGATAATCAGACAGGCGAGCGGCATGTAAAAATCATGGAGTTCCTGACTGACCTAAAGGTTTATAATTATGATTACAGCATGACCTAAATCCAGGATTTTGTTCAGGATCTGAGGCAATGTTACCAAGTCACTTTAAGTTGCAGGAATTCTCTGGTATTGCAAGTGTTTAACTTTTCCGTTACATGTTTTAATTATTGAAGATATACTTTTTTATGATAAATAATGATTGTACTGATAAGATGTAATTGTGTAGAAGGGGGAAACAGGAAAATTGATTTTATTCAATATATTTTAGAATAACATATATAGATTCCAGTCTAAATACATTTTAGTGCCACGGCCGTTTGCCATTTTAAATGAAGAGTGACAAAAGATGTGCTTTCTCTCTCCAGTAACTTACAAGTAACAAAGGATAACAAGTTTAGATTTGTTTGGGACAAAAGAGAGCAAATTACTGTTGTGACTGATTTTATGATACAGCTTATGACCCCTGTTATCGAAAGTTTACGCAAAAAATAAATCACTCATCACTAATCAAAAAAGTTAGCCATATCCCATCTTGCAATCTCATATAACTACTGATGGTATCAAACCCAAAGAATGCTATTTATGAAGTATGTTAAGATGTTTAAAATGGACTTTCTTTGTTTGATTTAGGTATATGACATCATGACTCACTTACCGGATAACCATCAAACCATCTTTACCTCGGCAACCATTCCATCATCCATAGAGAAGATGGCATCCTCTCTACTCAGCAATCCTGTCTTCATCTCGGTCGGAACGGTGAGGATCTTTCCCCCCCCCCCTAACTTCCCACTGCGTTAGCTCTTTATTAACAACCTCACGATGTGATGGATCAAAGGTTCATCGTGATATAGCAATTAATGATGTTGATGATGATGATGACAAGGATGATGAGGGAGAAGATGATGATGGTGTAGATAACAATGGTGATGATTAGGATGATGATGATGATGGGCAGTAAACCAGTAGTCATAGTGGTGATGGTTGAGATGATGGTGGTGGTGGTGGTGGTGATGATGATGATGATGATGATGATGATGATGATGATGATGATGATGATGATGATGAGATGATGACGACGACGACGATGATGATGATGATGATGATGATGATGATGATGATGATGATTATGATTATGACGATGATGACGATGATGATGATGATGATGATGATGATGACGATGATGATGATGATGATGATGATGATGTCGATGAGGAGGAGGAAGATGATGATGGTGAAGATGATGCTCAGTTTTAAGACGACAGTGGTCATTGAAGGTTGTAATTCTGGTTCAAAACTAAGCCATGGAGTACAAGAATCAGGCCTATGGGTTTTACAACTCTGTCCCTAATTTTGATTTTATTTGTTGAACACATTCCCCAAGATAACTTGGGGTTACAGCAATTAAAGATGCTGAGTTAAATGAAAATGTGATTGTCTCCAAAGTTGTAAGTCACATGGATAGTTACATACAAGCCTGTAGTTGCTTTCTAAGTATTTTATGTAACAGATGAATCAATTGATGAATCAATTATTCTACAGCCTAGTACACCCTGTACATCAGTGAAACAGACCATCTTATGGGTAGAGGAACCGTCCAAGAAAAAGAAACTCTTTGCAGTACTACAGGATCCCAAACATTTCAGGTATTTACACTTGTGACTCTCTACAATGTTTTTTAAATCACTCTGTATATACTTGTATGCATGCAATCTGTTTCCCAAACTTGTTAATTGAATTTGCTTGTGTACACTTGCATACATATATGTCTGCTCTATTCTCTGCAAAAGTTGTGATTTGTCCTGTGCCTTTGTTTTATTTTGCTATGCACCTGAAGAAGCACAACATTTATGCTTGAACAATTTTCATAATGCTGACTTTTGTTAATGTCATAGTTGTTATTTATTTAATATTGTTGCTCATTTTCAAGATAGTTGAATGAGATGCTGTTTAAATGTTTAATACCAACAATTGTTTACATTGCTGTCTATATCATTCATTAAAAATTCAGATAGGCTAGTTTTGGACCAAATTATAATCAGTTACATGCTAGTTTTTTTTTACCAAGAATCAATCAACCTACTTTGCCGGAACCGTTGATATTTGAAGTGTTTCCTTGGGATCAAAGGTCAAAAGGGGTAACATAGAATGACTTATTGTTTCTTTGACAGGCCACCAGCCATAGTCTTTGTGGATTCCAAACTTGGAGCAGATTTATTGGCACAAGCAGTTGAAAAGGTATGCTTTACAGAGCATTAACATGTGAAGTAGAGAGTGTGAATGATGAAAGAGGGGAAGATGGAATGAGAGATTGTGGCTAGAGGAGTGAGAGGTAGAAAAGGTATTTGAGAGTGACATAATGAGACTACAAAGATAGGTGTAGTGAATAAGATAGAGGGAGAGAGAGGAGGGTGTAGAGATTGGGAGAATCACAATAATAGGATAGCTTTTTTTTGACGAAACTAGCTGGTAATAGGACTCTGAGTCAGGTTGTCCTGTCTGCCTGCACATGCATTTGGCTACAGCATCATGCCTTTACAGTCTTGCCCTTTGAATAGTACATAGGATACTCTTACCATTTCATGTCACAGAATTATGAAGTTGTCAAATCATATATTTGTTTGAAAACACAGCATGAAGTGAGAAAGAGGCAAGTATTAAACAAGATGTATTGAAAAATAGAGAAGTAAGACTGGGAAGTACATTTAAAAGCATACCAGCCCTTACAATACACATGAGCTGCAGAGAAAAGAAATATCAAGAAGAGAAGTTCAGAATGAACTATTGTCCTTGAGAATATCTTTACTTCTTACCCTGCTCCAAATATATCCTTGAATATTTCAGAGCAGTACGACTTGTAGGTTGCCAGTATGTATGTATAAGGACAGAGCCTAGGCATACCAAACATGCCTTGGTAACATGATACATGTCAGTCTCTGGACCTAGGTGTATGGTGGCTGTACACCTTGTATCTTAATCCACGTGATATTTGGTTTGGGATGAATATCAGAAGACCAAGTAGCTGAGGGGACATGGTATGCTTTATCGACAAGTTCAACTTGGGTGTAATGGGAAAAAAGATGATGCATTTAAAGGGCAACCCAACCCTTGTATAAATGAGTTCAATTGTATGAAAGCAGAAAAGTAAAATTAACAGAATGGTGGAATTTTGAAATAATCAGACCAATAATAAGAGAATTATGAATGTTTGAAATATGAGATCACTACATAAGTGCCAAACTCAAACTGACAATTTGGTCCATGGATTGTGAAGTAGAGTCGGACACAGACAAGTCTCCTGCTTGTCGTGCACAAAAATATCAATAATTTCTGTTTTTGTCCAAAGAGCCTTCTCCCTTGGGGCACTACTCAAAATATAATGTAGATAGCATATTAATTTAGGTCACTGAAGAGAAAAGACACTCCTGATCCATACGTCTTTGACATTTTAGTCATTTTGTGTGTTTGAACAAATGGGAAAATTGTCAGCCACTATGTATATCATAGAGACTTTACTGATTTAACCAATATGAAGAGCCCATACCATAGTGATTACAAATTGCAAAAATCATAACTTTCTCATCTGTTTGTGCAATTTTATTCAAAATTTAACCAGTTTGCCTCTCAGGTATTTCTCCTTTCTTCTAGAGAAGTTTACTAACAAGGTTTAAATTCTCTTTAATATAGAGTATGGATATTCTTGTAATAAGTTACTCTTTACACTCACATACCATGTTCATTGAAATTTGGATTTAAATGTTAATTGATGCAGGAAGAAGAGATTTCAAAGAATAATTTAGGCATGCATGGCATTGAATGTTATACCAACTGTTGTTAACTGATTGAGAAAATTTTTTAGCTGTACATTCTAAAAATTCTTAGATTATTACAGTCAGACATTATAAAACCCTAGTTACTGATGTTAGAATGTGAAGATTTGTCCAATTTCACCCGAGTCCTGATGCAATAATTCATTTTGAACGTTTCTCTTTTGATGTAGGCTTGATACAGGTACTACCATGCTCCATAGACAAGAGTTAATGTTAATTTGTAACTTAGTTAGTTATCACTTTTCCTCACATATGAACATTATTAACTAGAAATTAATTGGTTTTTCCATGTTGTTATTTATATGTTAGAGCTGTGGTGTAGCCGTAGCATCATTACATGGAGACAAGCCTCAGATTCAACGTAATGGTATCCTGCAGAGGTTCAGAGATGGTGCATATGATGTCTTGGTCAGTACCGCTGTCCTGGGGCGGGGTATTGACCTCCCAGGGGTCAAGATGGTCATCAACTTTGACATGCCAGGGACCGTAGAGGAGTATATACATCAGGTCAGGTCAGGTCATTCATTTTATACAAAAAGTAACATTTTTTATGGACATTATTCGCATGACCGAAATTTGGTAACCATTGCAACATTTTCTGTGAGGGTACATTTTTTACTTTTGTGAAATGCTTTGAAAAGCAGCTTTATTTAATATTGTTATATGTAGAAAATTTTGAATTAAGAAGTTACTTTGATAGAAAAGTGTACTAGACAATGTGGGACCTTAAATCCACAAGCCTTGCTTTCAATCAAGGTCACCTCATCTTTTTGTTGTACCGCCTTACTCTGTTCACTTGTTATATTCATGTCATATTTGTAATGTGTGTTATGAAAGAAAGATAAATAAAACTTGAAACTTGAACTTGAATGCCATATCAAAGTCAAACAAAAAAAATTAGCATAACATGTGTGTTGATGGTGAATGTTACCACTCATCCTACTTTGCATATGTTAAATTGCCCACACTTCGTTAAATGCTTTCTCAAGATACATGTATACTTTGATATAGAATAATTTCTTTTTGTTTTGTTTTTCTTTCAAATTTCGCGTTTCTATTGTATCCTTTGAAACTTCCCATTCATCTTTGCACCATCTTTCTCTCATCTCATTTCTTTTTAGATCGGGAGAACAGGGCGCTTGGGAACAAACGGAACTGCCATGACCTTCATTAACAACAGCAGCAAAAATATCCTTTTCAGCATTTGATATCTTCAACTATAAGATGATGATATGTCATTTGAATAGGCCATTTTCGCAATGTAACAAAATTTGTGCATACGCCAATGTGAAGTGCCTCGGTACAAATTATTTGATTCACCTGTTACAAATAAATGTAGCTCAATAGTCAGAATAGTCATTAGTTGATGCTACATGGGACAAACATGGCTTTTCCTACCTAGCAGCATGTAACATATGCAATTTCCATTCTGACTATTGAAATTTAATTATTTGTAACCTGTGAATAAAATAAATTTGTATTAAAACACTTCAAAAAGGTGTATGCATAAGTTTGGTTACATTATGAATATGGCCCATTAATACTCCAGTTAGGCCTATAAAAAAATATGATGTATTGCCCTTTAGGTGCCAAAACATGGTTTGGTAGGTCGGCATACTTTTCTTTTTAAACTTTAAAAAAAACTTTTTCCTCTTTGTGCTGATATTTCTCAGTTTTGAATGCTTTTTTCTCTAAAGCAGAGCGTAGATTTCAAGATTTTTGGGTCAGTTGCAAAGGGCAATACAACATCTTTTTTGTTAGGCCTTATCTCATACAGTGTACATACACTGTTTGAAGTCTGATGAGCACTATGAGTCAAGTTGTGTAGTTAAGTAAACTTGATCTTGCTCTTCCCAATTTAGAAACTAAACTAAGGTCCTTTTTGTATCAGTTATTTCCAGTAATTATCACGTTCTTGTTTGTGTATAGTCTTAGATTATGGGATGTGGAACTAATTTATGATTTTACATCATCCTGTCACACAAGATTATTTCCATGTTTATGATTCCTTGACAGACTGAATTTATTCACAGAGTCTATTTTTTCAACTTATGGAAGCTAGTGGAGCCTGACCAAACAAACCAAGACGATGTCAAAACAAGCCGAAAATGATGTCAAAACAAGCGACTGTCCATACATGTTTGGCTTGAGGAGTAGTCCGCTTCAAGTCATTGCTGAACGACTTAGGGTCAGATATCCAATATACTTAGCACAATAGTACACAAAATCTCCTGGACATATACGCCACAACAACTACCCTTACTAGGACAATTCAACTCCACCCCCCCCCCACCCCCGAAAGACTAACCCTAGGTTTAATAACGTACGAGGTAGTTGTCTGATGATAATCAGAAATTTGTAAAGGGGGCGCTGATCATTGTTATGGTGCAATTGTTCGCAGGGGGTAGTCAGTCAGACACAACTTCAGAAACTGAGTACAGGCAAATACCCAGAATATTAGTGAATATAGAACCCTCAATGTTCAATGCCAGGCAGTGTTTACAAAAGACATGGGGAAAACCTTTCAAAGTCAACCTAACGACGCTATAGATTTTTATACGAAATAATGCTGTGGGTCGATTATTTTCAAAATCCCTGAGAAATAGGTCCTGTTAAAATACCTTCAAGTTCTATGGCAAACATAAAATAAATGAATCAACAGCAAGTTTAAAGTGAAAAGAAATACCAACAACAGGTCGACCATGGAAGATTTTCCCCATGCCTTTGAACACACATTAAACATTGAAAACACCATATTCATTGTACGCTATTCTCCGTTTTCTGAGTATTTAGCTGTACATGTACTCTATTTTCTGAAGTTGTGTCTGACTGGTATAATGTATACAAAGTAACAAAGGCCTAATTGAAGAGCATGGTAAGAAAGGGAAGAAAGCATTAATCACCGGAGCAGTAGCAGCATGTGTCTGGTAATGCTGCTTACAAAATGAGAAAACAAAATGGCTATAGGCATGAAATTAATTTTTTATGATTTAAAAAAAATAATATTTAAAGCCCCACTATACTATACTTACATCTACTTGCGCCCCTTTTATAGTCGGTGCCTGTTGGTCCCCCATGATCCCCTTTTTCTTATGTTAATTGAGAGCTGATTCAATGTGATAACCACCTGTTATTGACCTTGCAGGGAGGTCTAATCCCCCCTGGCCAAACTAGTGCAGACAGGCTTTGAGGGTTGCACCTTTCTAGATAAAGGTAACTTATCAAAGGGCTTTACTGTGTTTATATAGTCCTGTGGAGTGGAATACATGAAACAGGATTTGGCTTTATATTCGTGATGTGAGAGAAAAGAAAAACAGATGCTGTCTGTAGATCACGTTTCCTTGACCATAAGATATCATTGCACAGCTCTTCCTGCAGTTCACCGGTACCCTGAAACCCCTGGGTGTGATCCTGCCTCCCGAGCTGATCAACTCTCCTCATCTTAGCTACCACAGACAGCAGCATCGCTCAAGAGACAGGCGGGTGGATGCCTCCTCACATCGCGGCATGCCTGGAGGCAGTGGTTACCATGACAACAAGAGGAGTAGAGACAGGTGGGTATCTTTCAATTTGAAACAAGCCATTTTGTGAGAAATGATTTGTTTTGTAAACTCCAGTCATTAGCCAAGAGTTTCTTTGAGTTGTACCTTGGACTCTTTGTTATCATCTTGTTATCATCTTGTTATCATCTTGTTATTTGTGTTCTTGGAATTAAGAACTAAATCTTTGTTTAAGAATCGAAATTGTTAAATTGAGGATTATAAAAATTGTAAGAATTAAAACCTCTTAATGACTTACAGTTGAGCTCCATTAGGAAGAACACTGTCGCAACAAACTAGTCATAAAGCAGCTTTTTCTTTCTGGGCTCCCTTCTTTGTATTCCTATTGTTTTGTAACCCTGAGATAAACAAAAGTTTTGATATAGTAAGATGATTTCCATTGCCCCAAGGAGTTTGTTGTAACAAGGTGACACTATAAGATAACCTCCTTGTACCTTATTAGATGATTCAACTCTGAGTAATCAGCGATATACTCGTGTGTATCTTTTTATCTTTCCCAAACTTCTACAGAGAAAGTGTGACTGATATCTTGAAGAAAAGGAAAAGAAAATTCAAGCCTTGAAGTTCTGCCGAGGACTGTTGCAGCACGAGACTCGACTCGTCTTTCAGATGGCTGCTTCAAGTTTTAGGGAAGACCGAGCTAACATAATGGTAGATAGCGATCAAATTGATATACCACATCTGTGTGCGCAACAAGTGGACTATTAATATTCACTGATTCAGTGAGGAAATTTCAGCTCCGATTACCCATGCAAATCTTCCATAAGGGGATTCCGTCTTCAATTCAATCTACTGGAAACTGGGCTTGCTTTAGGAGTTGATGGGGTTTGCTTTGTGATTGTTTCGTAAATTGGAATAAATGGAGAATAAAGCACAAGAATCCAGTCACCATAGTATCAAAAGTTGCAAGGGTATCTCAGCAAAATGAACGATAATATAAAGAGAGATAAAAGTCCATTCCAGTTTTGATACATGCATTTCATGATTATATGCTCTCATGGCAGGATAGATTTCTATGTTCACGGTATTCAGATAAGCAATGATCTTGAAGAAAGCCATGTTAAAACAGAATTTATGTACGGTCAACTATGCTGAACACAAAGTTGCAGAAGTTGAATCATTTTTTTAATTTTTACCAAACTGTGCAAAACTTGTGTAAACTTGTCTTATTTTACCTTTCCAAAGTCAAATTTGGGTTGGTCAAATTATTTTTGCAGTCTCAACAGATTTGACTATGCCAGAGTAAACTATACATCTACATGTAATGTCGATGGCAATACGATTTCAGATCATACATGTAGATTGTGATTTTCAGTTTGCTTATTTCTATCAGACTTCGTCATATGAACATCTTTGACAAATGATTGTGAAATTTCTTTTTTCTGTTATATCAAGTAAACAGCCTATTTATATACCAGTAAATAACTTTACTTCAAAAACATACTTTTCTACTTTATGTATCATTTGTGTCCTCTCTAGTTCTGTAGCATGTGCATATTAAAATTAAACCAGAAAATATTATCCTTTGACATAAGAACATAACTCATTACCGTATGTAACAGTTGGTCAAAGACATGTATGGTAAAGTCTCGTTCAGATATGGCGCAGTAGAAAAAAAAGGACTGGTGCTTATTTACCAAGCTCTGTCTAATAAGAAATGTATTACACTTCATGTCATCAAAAAACAGCACTGCGGTTTTTCGGATAGAAATAAACTTCTCATATAGCAGAATGTGAGAAGCAATCATAAGATAAAGGAGACAGAGACACAGAGAGAGAAAGAGAGATGAGAGAACCAGAGCTGCACAACAGAACTTGATAAGCAGAAATAAAGTATAGGTATGAAAGTGAGAGGAGATGGGGTACAGAGCAGAATAAAACTTGAGTCTAAATTCCATTTTTTTTTTAAAGAAGAAATCTTTATTCCTAGTCCACTGATGGAATTTGTCACCCTATTTTGCTCTATAAAAGGGCATATATTTCATGACACCATTTTTTGTTGACGAGTTTCTGGCAATCACTGAAATGAAGTGCTAGACCCACAGGCAAACTAAATATATCTATTAATGCTACAATGGCAACATCACTGAACAGCCAATTGAATACCGGTAAAGGTTTCCATAGAAGCTACTATTAATGGCAAAGTTACCATCAATGGTCACTTGTATGCAACAGAGCCCTGAACATAAGCCTTTTAAGCACCACTGTCCTACTTGTTGCTACTTGTTCCCTCTATATAGAAAACTTTCCCAATCGGTGCCTGTTGGTCCCCCATGATCCTCTTTTTCTCATGTTAGTTGAGAGCCAAGTTAATGAGATAGCCACCTGTCAGTGACCTCGCTGTGTGGTCTAATCCCTTCTGGCCCAGTATTATTGACGGTCTTTGATCTAATCCTTCAGCAATAATAACTTTGTCTCTCCTGTTCCTTGTACTTTTCTTTTTTCTCTCGTCCTTTATCATACTTTCTTTCAGTCTTTTATACTGTACATGCTTATCAATTATACAAAATACACACTTTTTTAACTCTTGTTACTTTTCTGTATCAAATCTTTCTCACTTCTCTCTGTATCTCTTACCCTCCTTGCTATATTCAATACTTTTTCATTCATTTCTATTTTTTCCATCAGCTTGACATTTACAACATCCACCTCTCAGTATTTCTTAATCTCTCTTCAGTTCACTCTCTTATATTTTAATTCTTACTTCTCTTAACAACAAAAAATCCATTCCAAAAACTTTTTTCTTCAACATTATATTTAAATCTTGTACTCTTTCTCTATCTTCTAATCTGCTTCTCTCACCTAAAGTCGTTCATATACACAACTTGTCGAAAATGACACCAAACTATGTAAAATTCTTTTCTCATCAATAAATCTCTTTATTAGGTGAACCTGCTCACATAACACGGCTCAAACATTTCCACACTACATCCTTGCGCTTTCTATCTGCAACTGTGCAAAGAAGACGGGCACAACAGTACATAATTTACCTTGCAAATATTTCTGAAACGGCCACGCAGAAGGAATACATGGACAGAAATATGACCTACCCAATCTAATCATTAAATATAATCTTCATCTCCGTTGGATTCTTCTTGGTCTGGTACAAGTAGAATATATGCAATTCACTTGCAGTACAGTTAATTTGGGATTTCAGGTGACTTTTTGAAAAAGACACTTTCTTTCTTCATTTCGAAATATAAAAATGTGAAGAATTAATACACAGCAACATAAAAAGAGAATTTTGGATTCCGCAAATGTAGCGTGCTACTGTAATACAAGAAATGAGATCCATCTAACTTTTAAAGTTCCATCATGGAATCAATCTGCAATTCATATCATAAATCTCATTTTCAATGGTAGGTCTTTTTATACATACAATAATAAATCTGATCAAATTCCACAAGAGACATCACTCATCATTCTGTTGATCACCTCATGCGGCATTTGATTTTGGTTATGAAGTGGTCCCCCTCCAGGAGGAAGGAGCAGAGAAGAAGTGGTCCTTTAACCTTCGAAGGTATCCAGGAACTTGAGAACGACATCCTTGAGCGTTGCTTCGGTCTGTGGGCTGAGCTGACCTTCAGTACGGATGGTGTCCAGGAGAGCTTGGTGGCTGGAGCGGATGTGAGCAAGGAACTGTTCCTCAAACTTGGTCACCTTGGCAGGGTCGATCTTGTCCAGATGGCCACGGACACCAGCGAAGAGCACAGCGACTTGGTCCTCTACGGCCATGGGAGCTGAAACACAATTAAAGAATAAAGAAATACATATGCAGCATATTCAATAATCAACAAAGCTAACTTGTTGGACTGGTTCTACAACACATATTTAGGTGACAATTGCTCTACAATTAACTTACTACACTAACAAATGTTTAAGTTCATACTTGGAACAAAACATTGAGCTGACCCTAAACCTGCCCTTAAACTAAACAGCAACCCTGTAGGCTCATTCAGATATGTCAGGGTAAACCACTACCAAGAAAGAATTTATTTTTATTTTTAAATACAGCTTTTTTCCATGTAAGTGAATGCCAGCTGCATGTGTGAAAGATCCTGCACGTATTCACTGGGCTCTTTGTTACAACATACAGAAATATGGCGCACATGGCACTTTACGTTGTCGTACATCGTCATATCTGAACTCGGTCTAACCCTCTACCTTTGACAAAGAACATCTTCATAAGACGAGGGTAGATAAGAATATAACTTACTGTACTGTCCTTGTTTGAGGAGCTCAGTGAGACGGACTCCACGGTTGAGCAGGTTCTGTGTGGATGCATCCAAATCAGAACCAAACTGGGCGAAGGCAGCTACCTCACGGTACTGGGCCAGATCAAGCTTCATGGAACCAGCAACCTGTAAATTAATGAGGACATACATGTAGTCAAAGTATTAAACAACATTGGCTACACTTGCCCTACTCAATACCCTGCATCAAATAATGATTTTACCTTAGGCAAGGGAGAGGAAATATGATGTGCCTATGCCTTGAACACATGATACACCTGGGCCCTGTCTTACAAAGAGTTGCGATTGATCCAAAGTCCTCAAATCAATCGCAAGTTTGCAGTCTCCTATCTCTTATGTACATAGTTGCGAAATAAGTTGCGATTAATATTCAACTCTTTGTAAGACAGGGTCTTGGTGTAGTGAATTCATTTTTATTCATGAGCACAAAGTGGACTACAAGGCCATTGTATTTATTTTCTTACAATGGTGACACTTCACATGAAATCATAATATATAAACATACATGAATCAAATAATAGAACAATGAAAAGCCATTTATCAATGCTTTTTATCAGGACACTTCCATAATTATATGTGTTGCTTGTTCCGAAGCAACAAATGTGGGCTGGAATATTAACAGGGACAGCAACATTGTCCACTAGCATATACATGTATCACTATACAATGTGCTTGAGGTTGGGAAGAATGAGATGCTCACCTGCTTCATGGCCTTCACCTGAGCAGCGGATCCTACACGGCTCACAGAGAGACCTACGTTGATGGCTGGGCGGATACCCTTGTAAAACAACTCGGTCTCCAAGAAGATCTGCAGGATTACAAAGAGGAACAGCCATGATAGGGGAAAATTATCAATGTTAATATTTAAAATTATCTCGTCAAGGCAAGAACTTTTTTTTCTTTGTCAATCAGATGCCCCATCTCCCTGGTTTACATCTGTTGAATACATTTCATAAATCATGCTGACTAGAGTTTGATAAGAGTCCAACAAAAAATTTCATGCCAAATGCAAAGTTTAAAACTATATTTTGAATGATTACAAATATTTCATATAAATCTTACTAAACCATTCCATCTTTTCAGATATACTATTTTTCTTTTCTTTTTAAACTTATGTAAACTCTCTGAAGAACCCATTCCAGTTTGTCGAAAACAAATATCAGGTGAATGAAATGCCCAGTACATCTTTGATAATAAGGAGCGAGAGTGTACTGTCTATACCTGTCCGTCAGTGATGGAGATGACGTTGGTTGGGATGTAAGCAGACACATCACCAGCCTGGGTCTCAATGACAGGCAAAGCAGTCAGGGATCCACCACCAAAGTCTGGGTTCATCTTGGCGGCTCTCTCCAGCAGACGGGAGTGAAGGTAGAACACATCACCAGGGTAGGCCTCACGACCAGGGGGACGACGCAGTAGCAGTGACATCTGACGGTAGGCTACAGCCTGTTACACACAAACACACAGAGAAGTGAGGAGTTTCAAATTGATTGCTCATTGCAGTGATGTATAGCCCAATAGAAGTGATGTTCAAATCACAGTTTATTCAGCATGCATAAGTGTATAAAACTACAGCAAATGTACATAATCTGATTTGACCATGAATTGAATATCTAAATCTGGCATTTTAGCAATGTGTTAATAATATATGTGAATATTTTTCTACAATCCTAAGAAAGAAGACAGGTGATCATCATAGAGATCAAATAAATCATGAAGGAAGATATAAATCCCTCTGCCAGCATGATTAACAATGATATCTTATCTGCAACGGCTACTATTAAGACAAACTGTGTGTTGGGTGCTATTTCTCATTACAACAAATAGGACAAAATGGCCCTTTTCTCAGTCATGGAGCTTTTTCGACCTCATCTCTATTTCCTTTCACTGCTGACAGGTGTGTATCGCCCTATCCCTCCCTCCCACCACTTCCAACAAGAGGATGAGTGACATACCTGTTTGGAAAGATCGTCATAGATGATGAGGGCATGCTTGCCGTTGTCCCTGAAGAATTCTCCCATGGCACATCCTGAGTAGGGGGCCAGGTACTGTAGAGGGGCAGCATCAGATGCAGTGGCAGAAACAATGATGGTGTATTTCAACGCATCTGTTTAATAACAAAGTACATCAATTCAGTTAGACTCATCTGATGGGTAACTTAATTATGCATTCAAATTTTCATTCAACATTGTTTAAAAACAACATATAGGGGATTAATCAATATTTTGAGAGATTTTATTGTTGCTAGGTCAATTAAAACTTTCATGGTTGCCTGGAGGAACTTTTCTTGCACATTTTGAAAATACAGTATGCACACAATTTACATGATTCAAAGAAAACCACAAAGTCAGTCATGAAAACAAAGGTAACGGCAAAGGAAGGTGTCATAAAGAAACATTTAATAAATTGATTTATTTTATCCCACAGACTGAATTCATGTATCATTTCTTCATAAAAAACCTCTGTAGCATTCTCAACTTGTTCATCACTTCTTTTCTCACATCCACAACAATCCATCCACCCCTTTTCAATCCTGAAACAACATACCAGAGTCATGTAGCCTCTTGACGATCTGTGCTACTGTTGACCTCTTCTGTCCGATGGCAACATAGATACAGTAGAGCTTGTTCTTCTCCTCGGCTCCATCATTGAACCTCTTCTGGTTGATGATGGTGTCAATGGCTACAGCAGTTTTTCTACAACAACAATATGACAAATGAGATTATCATACAATATATATAAACATTCACAAAGTTGCACTCCCTAATATTTTACAGCTAATACAATGCAATAATGTTTTTGTTTTTTTTGCTTTACATTATGCTACGAATGATTTGGAAACTACGCTTGTACAAGGCCTCAGGGATTTATTTATGTAGTTCCCAATTTCACTTTCTAAATTTGCTTATGAACTATTGAGTATCTTTTGTATCAATGTCATTTTTAACCGAGAATGGAATAAATGAGAATTGAATAGAATTGAATAGAATTGAATATCAATTTGCGCTAATTTTCAGCCCCATTCATTTTTAAAGGGGTTTAATGAAATAAAATCACTTTTACTTCAAATGTCCTCAAACCATCAGGTAAATGACCAAAAATGTCTTTATAACTTGAAATCCCTTGGAACTAACACACACACATAGCCAGCCAGCTTTCTAGCTTACCCTGTCTGCCTGTCACCGATGATGAGTTCTCTCTGTCCTCTGCCGATGGGTACCAGACTGTCTACAGCCTTGATACCGGTCTGCATGGGCTCACGTACAGAGATACGGGGGATGATACCAGGGGCCTTGGTACCTACACGGGCACGGTGTTCTGTGCCGAGTGGACCCTGTAAGTTCACAAGAAAATAATGATGACTTGTTGAACTTCATAGGTCTTAGACCAGAATAGATTTTTGTTCATGTTGTAGATGATTGGTAATTTCCCAATGCTTTCCTTGTGTTATGAATACGAAGTACAATTTGACAATGAAATATATACTTCTGTTAAAAGTTCAAAGCAAAATGGTAATGTACTGTGGTAAGATATAGAACTGCTTGCAATACCCCCCCCCCCCCCCCCCCTGAGCATGTTACCTTGAGCTGTTACACATGTATGCTGATGATGCAATATCAAAAGTAATTTTCAAATTATAACACCAGCACAATTGATTTGAATCACCTTGTCAAGGCTTGTAGGTCAAGCAAGTCCACATTATCATAAGTCCCAGTAATTTAATTGATCAAATGTTAACCACAATTAGGTTGAGAAGCTATTAGGCTGAAAAGATGTAAAAGGCAGAAACTAAGAGGAAGCTGTGGCCTAGGACACTTACCTTGCCATCGATGGGTGTGCCCAGAGCGTCAACTACTCTGCCTAGGATCGACTCACCGACGGGAACGTCTACGATAGCTCCTGACCTCTTGACAACATCACCTTCTTTGATGAGTTTGTCGTTACCGAACACTACAACACCAACATTGTCAGGTTCCAAGTTCAATGCCATACCCTGTAACAAACAAACAAAACATTACTCATCATAATCAACTGATCATTCTCTTGAAAAACAACACATCTCCCTCAACAGAGATGTCTAGTTAGGATTGTTGTTGGTGTAGTTGTGGATAACATTTCCATCAATACCCCATTCCTCTTGGGTTGCCATCCAATGCTTCCACAATCCACTAAGAATCTATTTCAATCAAATTCTTCTGTTAAATTATCCCTGTATTGAGGCCTAATGATGTACTAATTTAGAGGTGTAAATTATTCATCTTGTGTTACCTTTCTATAAACAAAGAAAGGCTCAATATTACAGAAATTTGTTTCCCCCTTTTTTTTCAACTTCTTCAACTTCTTAGAAATTCAGTTTCCTTGATGAGAAATTACCTTGAGACCACTGGAGAATTCTACCATTTCTTCTGCCTGAATGTTCTTCAGGCCATATACACGAGCGATACCATCTCCAATTGATAGTACGCGACCCGTTTCTTCAAGGTTTTCTTTGGGTGTGTGACCAAGAATTCTTTCTTCCAAGATGCTGGACACCTCAGCTGTGCCTGGGAAAATAAAAGACAAAAATTACTTACAACTGTTTTGGCAAATAACAAATGGCCGTACTTTGTAGCAGTAGTTGCATGTGGTCACTTTGATCCACAAACATTTCAAATAACTCTTTCCAATGAAATGGCTAGGACTTTCAAAATGTTATATTGTTGTACTGTATTTCATGTATGCTTCCTTCCCTGCTCATTTTGAGAGGAATATACAGTAGCATTTCAGAACACAAAAATATAATTTTTCTTTCTAAATAACAAAGCTTTCTACTCACTTGGTCTTGGTGCTGATGTTGTGACATTTCTGTGGGATACATATGCGGCACCTATACATCTTTTGGCGACCTGAAATAAAAATCATTCAAAAAATGGGAAATCCCTGAATACAATGCAATCATTACAAAAAGTTCAATTAATCAAATTAGAGACAGGAAAGGTCTATCAGTATAAACTAATGAACTTTGTAAAAGATACAAGTTATGAGCTTTCTATTTTTCAGATTCATAAATATATGTTTTATTTTCATTATCTTTTTCCAGGGTCACAGAAAGCATGACAAACAGACTAAACTATGTTTGCTCCACCAGGAATTCCAGATGTCGACAAACTCTGTGACATCATATGATTTTCATTCTGTATACATGTAGACTTTGTGGTGGACTGGTCATGGGCCTACTTTAGGCTGAATTTGATTTCAAAAGCATCATCACAATTATAGTCACACAATTGATTTTGCAGCAGTACAGGACAGTATATTTGAACTATTCGATTAGCTTACAGGGGGCCGTTTCTCGAAACCAACTCCATGACAGTCATATCTTTGTCGCCGACCTACGGAGATGTCATGAAGCGGATAAACCGTTTCACAAAGCCATGACAGACATGATATCGATATATCGCGATACTAGCAGCTCAAGAACATAGTCTTTGTCACGATCCATTTGATTTATGAAAAATAACCCAAAACAAGTTTTGGGGCTAAAATTGTTCAAAAAGAAATATATACATATAAATTCTCCTAAAATAAATAATAAATAGTGTCATTATCATATTTACATCATCAAATGATTTGCATATTTCTGTAAAGATTCTTAAATTGAAGAAAAACCGATGAGTGTTTTTTTTCGACAGTCGAATCAAAAGTTAGTTGAAGGATACCGTAATGTGATAGTTTATCAATACGTACTTTTTTGTTTATTGTGACGAGAAATTTTAGGCAAAATGTCTTTTCTCAGCCAGTTTTTATTCCAGAGTCTCATAAATACTCGTTATATAATTGATTTGATATTGAAAATATAATTTGGAAGAAGTAATTAGAGAGGGAATAATAATGCACATAGGCCCCAAAGGTATGACGGTATCCTAAGAAAAGACTATGTATCGACTATGGAAAACGGTGTGTAACATTCTTACCTCTCTTATTTATATGTTATAGTTTAATGATTTGTGATTTAATGTTTATATTCAGCTTTTTAAAGTTTCTGTATAATTTGTATTCTCACTTTTGTATATTTGTATTTCGCATCCCAGAGAATTACGTACCGAACTCGTCTATATTTTTCTCAAAATGATAGTGAAACTAATCGTCCATTTCGCGGCCCATGGAATGGCAACAAATTGACTTGTGATGGCGCTTTACAGCGATTAAAAAGATATGACAGGTTCGGAGCAGTGACAACTCGCTTGTCGCGGAAGTTGTCGCTCATCTTGGCAAAGACGGCTTCGTGAAACACTTAGCTGACAAGTTGCGCGACAGTGGCGAGATGTCGTTGATCTTGTAGTTATGACGGTTTCGAGAAACGGCCCCCAGCTGATTAGTACTCGAAAACTACTTTTTACACTATCCAAATATTAGACCATCAACTAAAATTGATTTCAATATATTCAAATAATTCTCAAGCTTCTTAATAATAATAACAAAGTTCCAAAATGTTCTACAATTTGTGGTATTAAAAGAGTCTCAGGGTAAGATCACTAGCAACACCTGGCTGCTACCATTCTTAATTGAATATATTCAAACTACTTGAATACTTTTAAATAGGAAAATTGGTATTAGTCCTAAACCTGGTATGTAAAAACAGTTACTAAACAGAAAATTTCGAACATTTCAAGAGGTTTTATTCTGTAAAACCTGAAATTTAAGGTTTAGTGGTCCATTGTGTAGCTGGCACTGTCACTTTGGAAACCCTATTACAGTACGAGGCCGAATTGGCCCGAGTGCCAACTTAGCCAGATCCTGTTGTAGAAATGGTTAGTTTCATAAACTAAAGACTCTAAATAAGCAGTAGGCCTAGGGTCCGAAAATGTGGAATTAGGATCATCATCATTTTCGTAGATGTTTTTTCAATCAGAGCTCTGCGGATTCTTGAACTGCGCGCTGGCGATGCGAAAAACGGATTCTGCATAAGAAAACAACCCGTTCACCGTCTATTTTTATGGGTTGTTCGTCTTCCCGAGGATTTATCGCTTATAACATGAAAGCATCTGTACAAAGTTAATGTAAAATGCATCAGGAAAATCATCGTCAAATACGTTTTTCGCAACGGCAACGCGCTAATTGGAAACAGCTGCGAAAATGTGGGTTTCTTTTTTTTGCGGACGTGTCTGTCAGCGTTTTCAAAGACGATCCTTGTATAGACTCTATGCGGACAATCCTTATTCCCAGACCAGAGCCCCTGTTGATGAGGATTGTCCACATTTTCGCAGACGATTCTTGGTATCTACCATTCCGCACGTTGGCGATGCGAAGAACGGATTCCGCAATGATGATGCATGTGCACTTACGCAGCACAGAGACTTTCACGTCAATATGACAGTCGACAATGAACTGGGGGTATTTTATGACGTGCGGATCGGGAAACCCGCAGAGCGCCGTAAAAAAAAAAACATCTGCAAAATTAACGATCTTTATGGACACTCCTCATTCTCGGACCAGCGACCCTGGCCGTACTGAGAATGTAAAATAAAATTCACATTAACAAAAATGCTTGGACTAGCCAATCAAAACTCAAGACAAAAGTCAATTAAAAAGTTAAAGAGTGTTTCGCCTTAGGCTCAGGCATGCTTAGGCTTAGCTCAGGGGCTCTACTTTGAAAGTTGCATGCATGCCTTGGAAATTGGAAAGGTGAAGGCATGAATAGGCCTTATCGCAAATAGCCTCACGCAAGGGACGATGGGATTGAAAAGGGAGCAAGAGCGCCGCAAACGTCTGATCGCGACGATGCGAAACGCTAGCAGCCGACGCACTCTGTGTATAGTACACACCTACGTACTATACTACGTACATCGAACGTTTGCTTATTCTACTTTCAGCTCCTATACCGATCAAACATCTCGTGATATTTTGTCTTGCAAACTCACCGATTACATTGATTCTACATGATGGGTGGTGGAGACAGATGTGCTGTCTATGGATGCAACAATAACCGAAGATATCCAGAGAGATAAGAATGATTTTGATGTTTTACTTTCGAGTTTTGTGATGACACAGTGGGAGGCACTGCATGCCTCTAAATCTAATAGAAACAGTGTTACGAGCGAGTGGCGAAGGGAATCGTGTCGAGACAGCTACGGCGTTGTTGCCAATAACAGGCGCTAAAGCTGACCTTGTCATTCTTAATGCTTTTCATCTACCTGGTAACCTGGTTTAATTTATTTGATTGCCCCTGTGATTTTCCTTTTTTGAAAGAAAATTGCCTTATCAATACATTGAAATCAATCATCAACATTTTTGTCTGGAATTCGGAATAGGGGAAGTTGCAAAAATTAGTTGAACGAAATGAGAAAATAAGTTCAATTGACAATTTTAAATCGTATACATGATGATTGAGATGATTGTTGATCTAATTTGTGTCTTCTTTTTCTTCTCCCCACAGATATGTTGTGAAGAACCATGTTAACAACTAAGGTTTCACAAGTGCACAGATCCTCGGAACTATACGCCCAGTGGACCAGGCGTTTTTTTTCTCAATCCTATAATATTTTTTTCATAGCGAAGACATCCAAATACATGCGATTGAACCTAAATATTTTGTGTGTCTTTTTATTTAGACTTGAGATTTGCAGACATGGAAAAAGATAAGAGAATAAGTCATTTACACAAGGGCGAATGTCTGAAGAGTGCGAAAGAAGAGCTGGCAAAATATAAAAAGAATAAAAGAAACAAATGCTACATTACAAGCAGTATATGTATGAGATAGAGGATAAAAATGTGAAAGGGAATGTGATTAAATATTCGGAGATAAAAAGTTGTGTAAACGATGACCCAGCTAGCAATGTTGTAGCCAAAGTGAATGAGGGGGGTGGGTGAGCTGTGGCATTCCCATAAGTTTTCTTGGCAATATATATCTCTTCCTCCTCACTACTTTTCTCAACAAGTACATCTCTTCACTCCTCTTCTCAACACGTACATCTCTTCACTCCTCTATACTTTTCTCAAAAAGTACCTCTTTTCCTCCTCTCTTCTATACTTTTCTCAACAATAACGTCTCTTCACTCCTCTATAGTAGCTCAACACTTACATCTCTTCCCTCTTTATATTCATTACTAAACAAGCAGCTATATCTGAATCAATTTTTTTTTTAATCGTCGCTCATTGTGATGGCTTCATTAATGTTGGAGTCGCTATTAACCCTTACAAAAAAGTACAATTGAGTAATCAAGATATTTTCTCTCATTTTATCTCTTCCATAAATTACAAAACTGTCCATACACAGTAGAAATGAATAGATACAAGCCCATGAAAGATAGTTGTCTTATATTGAACATTTACTTTATTTCTCATATGTATACATTATAAAAGGCAATCAGTATCATGTAAACAAATTTACAGATCATAAAAACTAAGGACATGTATTTGCTTCATACGAGATAACAAACTTCCAATTCATTTTCGGAAATGGAGATTTAAATTATGAATATTGTTGATTTCTGGGACTACCCATCTTCCATCATCAAGTATCAACTTTTCCTGCTGACACTTTAAAATCTCAGTGCTCAGCTTTATCATCAATCAAGCTTTTCTGTCCAAATGGCTTTTTCAGCAAGTTCAGCGTGCTTTTCACCATTGACTGGTACGCGCCTATCCCTCAAAAACTTCTTGAGTTCAGTGGCTGAAAACTGTAAAAACCTACAAGCTCCGTCTGCCATAATTGCAGTTAAGTACCACAAAACAAAGATTAGTTCTTTAACTCTGGGTACAAGTATCAAATTGTTTACAAACTGCGGCTGAAAGAGCATTAAATTTGATTAAAAATAGCTTCGACTTCGAGTAGTACTATACAAAACGTGTGACGTTGTATGGCTTCCCGAAAGCCGAGATCGTGTTTGCTCCCTTTTCTATCCCAGAGGCCTTTGCGCGAAGGGCGCCACCCAGCGACAAAGGCTATTTGCGATAAGGCCTATCATGAATGGTAGCACTGCACTGTACAGTTAGCGGCTGCAGGGCCAGGGTCCCATTTGTTACACATTGAAGATCGACATGTGTCTAGAATTTATTCTTATAGTTTCCAACAGCACAATGAAATTACTTCGTATGTATTGCATCAGATAAATGAGAAAGCATATAGTTACCTGGGGAGCTTGCCGGGACAAACTCCTGGCTGCAGCCGCTGCTAAACGGACAGAAACCTGGGCCATTTTTTGGATCTGTACTATTGCAAAAATGGCTAGTGGAGAAACTCGCCGACTTCACCGGTACGTGCTGCAAAGAAAACTGTGAAACCCGTCACTGAAATATTTCCCAATCGGATGGATATTAGACATTAATGATTACAGTTTAAAATGTTATTATCAAATTATCCTTTTTTAAATATTAAAAAAAAGATATAAAATTATATTTAACTATTTTTAATAACCAAAAAAACTATTTAAAAATGTTTTTATTCATTTATTAAGGATATTTCAGGAACGAGACAAACATGGCAGCGCACATAGTACAATGTTTTTAAGCGTATCTTCGAAAAATTTCTACTTACATATCCATACGTTTGCAAGAAGAACAGTTAGCAGGTAACAAGCCAGAAAAATTGTAATGAAAAATACAATCAAATTCTTTGAGTCGTTTATGTAACCTTATGACTGATAACCACTAAATAGACACGTATTTTTTAAACGTATCGTTTTCATGGCCCGATACGTTGAAATGTGTGTAATGTCGTGCACAGCCTATAATAACACGCATATGCCATATCACATGCGTAGCCTGCATAGCCATAGGAAAACGATTCAAACAGCGGGTTTGGGCACATTTTTTTAAATGTAAAGAATCTAGTAATTACAATTTTGACTTATTGTTTAACAAGAGAGAAGAGAAAGTAGGGGTCTATGCATGCACAGACACGGACGGCTGCTCAGCTCATATTGCATTTACAAAAAATACAAGGATATCCTCTTTTGGACATGATTTTGACCTTGGATTATCTATATCTTTTTCTAGTGCTTTGTGAGCCCCTTGTGGTTGATGTACCTTTCGACCACTCTTTTCCACCGGTATGAGTAAGAAATCCTGTAGCTCTGGATGATATTATTATTAAATTAACCAGTTTTGAAGTGCTTAATTACCCTTTTCATCTAAATGTTTGAACTAAATTAGTTTTGTTTGCTTTGTATTTAATACATATCACTGTGTAACATTGTATTTTTTTAATATCTTTATATCAAGGTGACCTCTGAAGGATATTCTCAATCTTATTTTTTTGTAAAAATGGCGAACAGTGGGAGCAGATCACGCAGCAAGAGAGAGGTAAAGTTATATTAATATAAAAAACTTTTTTTTAAAAACAAAAACAACATATTTTGTGAATAGTTTTATGTATTTCTTAACTTTAAATTGCTTAGACATGAATAATTTTGAATAAAGCTTAACATTGTAGTTAGTGTTCTAAAACTCGAAGCCTCCAGATGATATAGTTTTGTCAATATTAAGGACATCAAAATAAATGTGCTCCTAGATTTTGAATGATTTTCTTTTTATCTTGCATTCTTTATTGACAGAACTCAAAAATCTTGCAAAGTTTGATGTTCAAAAACCCTGGCAAGAAGGTAGCAGAGTTTGCCAACTTCAAACCAGAAGAAAGTGAGCGAGAAAAGAGAAAATTACGTCGATTACAGGAAGAAGAACACCAACGTCATTTGCAGTAAGTGTATTTCTAATGGCCTATAATCATTTCTTTTTTTAACCAAACAGAAACGGTGCCACATGTACCATGGTATGTTTTGTTCTCATGAAAAATATTAGAAATTTCTGTTTCATCATTAATCATTATTCATTTTGTTTATGAATTATGTTCATTTAATGGAATCTTAAAAGGTAAATGGACATTCATTCTCACTATTATCATTTATAAGAATTAAGTTTTTCAATTTGCTGTTTCATTTTGTTGAAAATCAGGATTATGTACCGGTAAATTGTTCATTTAGAAAGGAAAAGTATGCTACAGTGTACATGCATGGACAGAATATTGGCAACTACAATATGTTCATACATTTGTTGATTGTAATTTTAGATTTCAAAATATTGTGAAACATCGATATGTACATGCAATATACATTGGATCTATTCAATAACTGAACTGCATGTTGTTCCTCTCTGTATCAATATGTAAATTTTTTTCAGGTATTTAACAATTTTAATCGATATACAGTGTACATTCAATTGTCCGAATTGTACCCAAAATTATTACTTGAGCTGCTTGGAAAATATATAAAATACAAAGTTTCTGGCAAAAATAACGTGTTAGTCATAAATAAAGAGAAAAAAATGCCTCTTATACATTTCCTTCATATACGATTGGGTTTTGTTTGTAGACAGGAATGTACATACATGTACATGTATGTGGAAGAAAAATGTTAAAAAATATCTTTACACCTGATTTTCAAAAAATATATATCTGGATATACTTCAGTATTCCAAATAGTATTAATCGTTAAGCTATAGTGTACAGGTGTTCAAGAATAACCCAAATGTTTGTAAGTTTACATCTGATGGTCTCTGAGAATTTGATTTTCCTCTTTGGTACTCACAGGAATCGCACCATGTATGATGCCAATGGTCATTTATCATCCACTGGTCAAGATCTGTGCGATTGTTTGGGGAAAGACTGCCCAGGATGTCACTATCCATGCAAGGACTGTGGGTCAATCAAATGCGGACCGGTCTGCAGATGTAAACGGAAATGGGTCTTTGACCTAATCGAAGACGAGGGACAAACCTACTGTGTGAGATACTGAATCATTAGTGAAAAGTGAAAGTGGATTAAACACCAGTATGATAGACATGCCGAAGGAGTCCTAGTACTGTCAAGACTCAAAAGGATGCATGTTTGTACTCGATGGAAGACAAGAGAAAGATTGGAATTCATTCATTGGAGCGAAATGCCTCTTGCTTGGACATTCATTGCTGTGGAGGGACTCTGCATGCATTTATGAGATACTGTGAAGTCTGTGATTAAAATAATACTGAATGGAATATTGAATCTGTCAAAAGACAACAGCAGAGAACACGATCAAACTGTCTTATGTTTATTCACAGCACCTGCAGGTACATTGCTTGTGTGGTCAATGTAGTAGTAATTGTAGTCATATTTCTGAAGGTTGATTTTTTTCAAACATTAATATCTCTGAATGTTCGTTGAGCCATAAGTTGATTTGCCCAGACGTTTATACATGTAAAGATTTGTACTTCCAAGGATTTGTTGTAACAAAAGTTTGTAATACTAAAGTGAAATAGGGTTCCTTTCCCCAAAAATGCAATGGGCCTGTAATTTCAAAAAAGAAATATGGTAGTGTTTTCAATTATGAATCCCATATTTCATTATGGTCTTTTAGAATACAAACATTGAGGAAAATTGAAATGTATTGTTTTGGGTTTTCTTTTTCTTGAGACCTTATGTGTATCTACCTAAGTTGTAGCTTAACAAATATGTCTTTTATATTATAATACAAGTTGCTTATTACTCATACCACTTTTCTAAACAAAAGCCCTGAATGCCTCACAGAAAATCAAAGAATGGTTTTTGGAGAAAACAGAAATAAATGGAAAGATACGTGTACATGATAGAAAATGTCAAATTATCGTTAACATGGTTTTTTGTTGAAAACCCTAACATAATTGTGTTTTTTTATGAACATGTTTGATATGACCTAGATTATTGACAGTGCCAGGTTCTACTTGTACTTGAACATTTAAAATGTGTTTTATTGTAAGCTGCAAATTTGCCTTTTTGATGTCAGTTCACAATATTCCCATGATTGTACATATATTTTATCTTTGTTTATTTTGTTAATAAAACATGAATGCTAACATGAAAAATGTTTTCAAAAAAGATGCTACTGTATCGCCTGTTTATGATCATTGAAAAGTGATAATATCAAAATGGATACTTCCATTTCAGAACTAGTGAATAAGTATATACATGTAAATATGATTTGGGGGAATTAAGGCTGTCGCCATTTCTTTACCTTTAAAAAAAAAATTAAATCTTACAATTAATTATTTGTTTGGAATTATGGAAATGACTAATATGTATATTAAAATGCTGCTTTAATGATCATTATTAGCAATACTGGAATGCTTGTCAGAAGAGCTAAGGAGAAGCCACATATTGACAAATGTACACATACACAAGTCATGACAAAACGGACAATTGGTCTATAATCTGTATCCATTTCAAAAGGTACATATATTTAATATGTCGTATAAACTGGTATAAAAATGCAGTTTCCAAGAACAAAGTACAGAATTAGGGGTCATATCATTGGATCCATGATAATGGCAAAACAGAAAATACAATACACTGTATTAAAGCACCAAAATTGTGCTGAGCTTCATATGAACACATTTCTTTGTCACAGATGAATGCATATTGAATTTCAATACAGTAGTACCTTGTAAAATCTCCTTAGGAACCAAGGAAATTACCTTGTTATATATGGGGACTATCATAATTATCTTATTATATATACATGTATAAGTGTTTTGTTACACGAATCACATTGTTCTTTTTATTAAAAGGAGGTTCCATTGTGTTATCCCACCTCTAGCTGAGCTGTAATAAACATGTTTAGCAGAATTCAAGAAAAGTCTTCTCAACAGATACCTTTTTAATATTCTTTGATCAAAAGAAATCACATGATAACACAGTACATACCTAAGTTTTATTAAGTACTGAGCTGTGAATAAATTCTTTAATAATACATTGAAAGTCAAGTGAAGAACATAAACATTACAAAAAATACATTCTAAGAATTTTGTCGATTTTAATAGTCACAAACGACAGAAAATGTGTAACTTTCATATCAATGAATAAGTACAGTGTGGCTTTACTGCCTTGCAAAAATGGATGAGTATGAGTTCATACTTAACTTTCAAAAAGGGGAATGGACTTGACCCAACTGCTATCATGACAAGTTTGGTATTAGCATATCGGGTACATGCTAGCTGGCTCATTAAAAGTCTTAACCTACTGAATGGTGAAATCTTTAATTTCTTGGGCAGGTTCTGTAACAGTGGGCCAAACCTTATCAAGAATTGGCTGACACCAGCTGAGTCTAGTTTACTTTTGCTTTTTGCTTTTCTCCTTGTTGAATAAATTCTAAAAGTCATTACCTCTTTTCATGTAAATACATTTCTGATAACAATATAGATAATAGATATATAATTTTATTGAAAAACAAAATGCTTTTTAAATGATTATTGATCACATGTAGTTTACAAAATACACAATACAGGTAATTAATTATCCACACACACAATACAGATACCTATCTCTAGATGTACAATAAATATGAGTTAAAACATAAACACAAGTGTATACATAGACTTGTTAATGGAAAGAAGTAAAAGCTAAGACTAAGTCTACTGTTCACTGATTGTTTTGGAATATTTGATTGCATCCTCTTCATCATAATTTCAAGGAAGAAAAAAAATCCCCCCCCCCCCAAAAAAAAAAATCATTAAAAAAAACATGACTGACAAAGAAAGCGGACAAAATTACAGTTCCTCAGGTAGACAAAGGAACATCCCTCCACTGCTATTATGTAAAAATGTGTAGAACAGGTGTCACATGCATATTCACCTTTTTACATGATAGCAGTGAAGGGATGTTCCTTTGTCTACCTGAGGAACTGTATATGTTGTCCGCTTTCTTTGTCTGTCATGTTCATAGTGTATACTGGCCTCATCTTAAACTTTTCAACAACAACAAAATTTTCACAGTGAAATAAAGATAACTAAAGCCTGTTCACATATAACATTTTTAACCACAACTGTGTTTATGATGATATAAGTGCAATTGATGCGATTTTTATATCTTTTAACAAACAGATGAGTGAGCATGCATAGGACCTATGTTGTGCACAACTACATGTACTTTTCAAATCCCAACTTGTCATTCATTCACACTTGAAAAGAAAACAACAACACTACGGTTTCAAGCATAAATGTGAACGAGCCTTTATCATACAAGTATCATGATGCCTGGTCTTGCGTTCTCCCTCGTCTAGTCCTCAGGTTAGATTTATCTTCTGTAGGAGGATCCGTACTGGTACCTGTGCTGGCTGATGTTGGTTTTCTTTTTGATGCTGGTTCCGTATCAGAAGCTAATAAATGACAAAAGAGATTAAAGGAGAGTTACACTTTGTTCAGACATGACTCAAAAGAAATGTCACGGTTCTGCAGAATCATGTACAGGTATAGGATACAGATATATAACAAAAAGGTCAATATCACATATGCACACAAAAATATGGACATAGAATAAAGACACAAGCATATTAAAATGTTTACAAGGAAGTGATCTAGGGCCCCATGTCACAAAACTTTGTATCAATTGATGCAAACTATGACTGATATAAGTTTCTGAAATCATTGCATTTGATGTGTCATTCTTAAGTATGCTACAGCACTGTGAGAGTTCAAGTTTCCATAAACCAAAAGAGCACTGAATATGTGGCTAAAAGTTTCATACTTGCTGCTACGTGGAAATCATACAAACAGTAGACTTCACCATCAATCAACGTTTTTTTAGCTTGCAGTGTAAATGCAGCTTGTATCATTATTTCTTATTTTGCCCTGTTCATACCTTTTACATCTGGTTTTTTTAATCTTTTATTTTTATACCATCTAAGTTACTTCAATCATCCCCCCTCCTCTTTCTCTCTCTCTCTCTCTTCTTTCACTTATCCTCCACCTTCATCCCTTCTGTCATCCATGATCTTCCATCATCCCGTCTCTCCTGACCTATTCTATGCATACCGCAGTCCACTCACTCCGACCTTTTCCCTCTCTAGCTCTCAGTTCTACTTCGTCTACAAACATTCTCATCCCTCGTCATGCCTCTTGACGTAACTTACTGAACGGAAATAATGGATCGGGAGCTTGAAGTCTTTGGTCTCTGTCCTTTTCAAGCATACTGATGTAATTCTTGGCGAGTTCAATCCCACAGTAACCCCATGCCGAGAACAAGATGACTTTCAGGAATATATTCTGGAAGTGATCAATAAGTACCAGTTGTCATTTCATTTAAAAAAATCACTACTTGTGCAAGAGCTGTAGCTACATGGACAAGTACAAGACGCCAAGGGGTCATAGCAGGATGTAACGTCTCCTTGAGCCTATAGAAACAGCAATGCGTCTCATAGCAGTCAATACATATATACTATTAAAGTGTGCTGAGATACTCCTCTGAATTATGAAAAGCCCAGTTTCAATATCTTCATAGTTTTCAAATTATCGTAAATCTGTAACTAAAATAATTCAAACATGTTCATCTGTTGTGTTGTTACTCGTTCTCCCTCTTTAACTCAGCCTTGCTTTAAAGATAATCAAATTATCATTTGCTATGAAAAAAAGTTAAAATGGGTCTGAATGGGTCTATGTATTGGGAAGTAGTGAAAATATACACTATATTCTACATACATCTAGAATTGGAAAGAAGAAAAAAAATCAGATTTAGAAAATAATCCAATCCAGTTAAAGGTATAGACCAGTTTTGGAAATGCCCCCTCTCAAAAAAATGAAATGTAAGCTCTTATTACCAATCATGTGAAAGAATATGTTTTGACTAATACGTGATGATACAAATTTTGCCAGGAATCCGTCTACTAATTGATATATTTGGTAAATTATCATATCTATCCGGCCTGGATAGATATCGCGTAATTATACATCTTTCTGTGTACAGTGCTTGTAACTTTACCAAGACTGGGCCAAATTTCTGATCATTTTGATGATTCCAGAACCTTGCAGTACACACCGATACTTATATACCGGTACTAGATGATCAACTTTTTCTGATCGATTCCACAGCGTTTCTTTCACAATGCAATCGCATGACCAAAACTGGTCTATACCTTTAAAATTATTTTCATCAAGATCGCCAGGAGAAAATAGATGATTTTCTTTGCCATTTTACCCTGACTGCATGTACATGTATGTATACAGATATTTGTTACACCGCATAATATGATGAGCATGGCAAATGTGGGGCTTGATGCGACTTACCTTTACAAGTGGGTTTGGGAGCAAATAGTCGTTAGCTGCGAGAGCAAGAGCTCCTACCAAACATCCTAGGAAGAAACCTTTTACAAGCCTGCCTCGATTATCTGTAAGAAATAATGAGGGCAAAATGAGTGATATGGTGTCAAGACTAAGTTCGGAACACAATTTTGCTCCATTTAATTTATAAGTACATTTAAAATGGGGAAAGTGTAAGAATAACCCTCCTAAAACTAACCCTAACCCTAACCAAAACACTGATTCTAAAGCCTCCTTTTTTTTTAATACCTTTGTTTTTCTTTACTTTAGTTTTTACTTTTACTCTTTACTTTAGTTTTCTCCTTCACATTCCCTTCACAAAATTTTTCAGTTGTTCTAACAATTAAGTTCTTCATTTATAGCTTCTTACTGAGTAATAATTATATCATTCAACTTTCCTCTAATAAAGATAAGATCAACAAATCAAATCTTTCAATACAGTGTCATTTTTTCACCCCATGCCATACAAACAGAAACTCCAAGTATTCTTGGTTTTAGTGCCCAATGACTGATTTTCACATTGCTATATTCATGTCTTTGACCTTATGGGTATGATTTTTTGTTTTCTTCTTCAGTTTCAAAGAAACATATATAACATACAGGTAAGTGTTTTTCCTCATTCTACAGATAAATGCAGGTTGGATGCTTGAGTGGTATTAATCGGACACTGCTATGCTGAAGGTTGTAGTAATCCTCGTTTGAACTAAACTGATTAGAGAAAAATAAACAGTTTAATTACATGAAAACTGAGAAAAACTCACTAATTCTGTGGGCAAATCTTGCTCTGTTTGCTTGATGTAAAGCTTTGATCAAAGCTTCATCTGGCTCATACTGTAATCCATCCTATAAACCAAACATAAAGAGAATCATTAGAGTTTGAAAATAAAACTGATAACAACATAAGTATAAATCAGGAAATATACCATCGACTGATTTATTTGCTAAATAAGATATTAAGCTTTTTCTTTTGCTAATTAATAGCAATACTGTTGCCTTTTATTCAAACATGATTTATAGAATTCAATAAAGAACAAAACATACATGTTGGGTAATGGTCACAGTGGCAAAAATTACTAGCATGTTGATAACCTAATGAAAGGAAGATTACCCTTACCCCCCCCCCCCTTAAAAAAATGCTTAGAAAACTTCATCAACCTTTCTGTATAGAACTGATGAGTTTAGAAAGTCACAATCATTTATGATGTACTGTTTGTCCTACATAGTTTAAGAGATTAAAGATATTAATATAAATTTTACACTAAGTATACATGTAATTAAATAATCTTAAAACCATTGGTATACCTGTTACCTTTACGAGAAATGCAACATCCCATAGGGAGATTATTTGCAGGGTACTTAAAAAGTCAAGCATGTCGTTTAAAAAATTGAAAATATCTAAAACAAATGACAAGATTCACCATTTGTCTTGCTCATTGAATATTTGCAAGGTCAATAAAATGCTATGTAAAGTGATGTTTAGGTGATAGTAGGACCAATTATTTCTACACATATAACTGGCAAACTTCTGTTTGTAACACACCAGCTCACCTGACTAAATGTTCTCTTGATTTCAGAGAGACAAGTATTCTTACCTCAAATGATTCTATTGCTTCCTTGAAGTGTTCTGCACCAACCTCAGCAAGACCCTTGTAATAATAACCCTGGAAAAAACAGAGAAGAGAACAATTAGTTTTAGAACTGAGAGTCTACTTGTTTTCACAATCATCACCATTATCACTATCATCATCATCACTATTATCATCACCATCATCACTATCATCATCACTATTATCATCATCACTATCATCATCAGCACTATTATCACTATCATCCTCTCTATTATCATCATCACCATCATCACTATCATCATTACCATCATCACCACCATCATCACCATTGTCACTATCATCAGCACCATTATCACCATCATCATCATCACTATCATCACCATCATCACTATCATCATCATTATCATCACTATCATCATCACCACCATCATCACCATTATCACTATCATCATCATCACTATTATCACTATCATCATCATCACCATCACCATCATCACTATCATCATCACTATAATATCATCTCCATCATCATCACTATTATCATCACCATCACCATCATCATCACCATCATCACCATTATCATTATCATCACTATTATCATCACCATCATCACCATCATCACCACCATCATCACCATTATCACTATCATCACTATTAATATCACCATCATCATCACCATGGGGAAGGAGGAGCCCTTTTGTCTGGTAGTTGAGGTTGCCATAGTTACCTTGTACCAGTCAGGTCTAAGAACGATGACCTTCTCTGCATCCCTGTATGCATGGTAATGTTGTTGAATGATCCTGAAGCATTCTGATCGTTGAGCGTAAAGCAGAGCATTGTCTGGATCCACCTTGATCTCTTTGGTGAGATCTATTATGGAAGCCACTCCTCCTGGGCCAGTGCGGTGCGACTCTTCCTCCATCTTCTCACTGCTCAGTCAAAATGAATTGGAGCTAGGGAATGGAATCAAGAAAATGTCATTATTCTTCCAGATGACAGGAATACCGAGAGGAGAGGAAGGAATGGATCGAGTCAATATGATTCTTCTGCCAAGTCAAACTACTCAAGAAGGATTAGAGATGGGGAATCTTAAAAAGAGAGATGGCAGGAATGATGAGTATAAATCGGAAAACTAATAAGAAAGTTATGCTTTTTTTTAAAGTACCAGTATGAAAAACTATGGAACTTAGAAAATCACTACACAAATTGCCTATTTGGTTATCAGTTTATGATGTCATTGCCTCACTATTTATCAATTGATTTTTATAATTTTTATCCCATTTATTTCCCTTTTTATCCCCCAAAACTCGATTTCCTTTGCCCACGGGGAAAATTGGAAATTTATATTATCAATTTAAAGAAAACAATTGGTGGACAGTGAGGCAATGACGTCACAGACTCATGAGTGAGTTGCCAATTTGTCTTGTGATTTTTAAAGTTTTTCATGTCATTAAAAATGTATAACTTTCTTATTAGTTATCCGATTTTGCTCAAAAATTGTTTGATTGGTTTGTCTGATTTTTGTGCTTCTATTAGAGGCAAGTTATTTTTGTAGTGGACTTGCCCTTTAAGGTACAACTAAAGGAAGAGGAGAAGCAGGCCCGTGACTAAGGGGCCTGCCCCCCCCTCCTCTAGGGACAATATCGAGGTCTGCTAAAAAAATTATAGGGCCTATATATTATTTTGGTTTTTTAAATTGTACCTAAAAGTAAACTTGATTTTCACTTTCAGACAGAAAATTGCCAAATTTTTCCCTACCCTTTCCATTTGCAGGGGGTTGTCCTCCTCCCCCCCCCCCCCCCCCCACTTTAGCGCTTCGCACCTTCGAAAGGGTATAAGGTACTCAAACACCATTGTGACTCAAGCACCGGTCAAGGAGCTCTACATCCGCATCCCTTGCCTGCTTTACCGTTGTGGCTCGAGATCGAGTCGATTGCCAAAGAACAAATTCCATGTTGTTCCATGCATGAAAACCAAACATGAAAAGATACATTGTGGGACCACACTAAATAACACTGACTCATCATCACGACACTGTTCTTCTAATATTCTTATCTTCCACTGAATATAATTGGTAATAATAGTACAGCTTTCATATTCAACAATGTTATATGGATTCTCATGTATTGTCATCCACTTAACTAAAGTAAAATGTGAAATTCTTACCAAAATCAATTCTTAACTTGCTTCGCGATCGCGTCTGGACACGGGCTAATGAATATTCATACGTAACTCCAAAAAGGGGCGGATCATAATCTCCGCAGCTGGCGGCGTGGTATGGTGGGGATGGGTGGGGGTAGGGGGGCAGGGGGAGAATGGGCACAATTAAGTCTGAAATTGCATGACAACTGAAGGAAAAAAGGGAGAGAAAGAGTTCATCACGTTTGATGCCTTACGATATTATTGGAGTACATTTTGTTTTAAATGTGTATCATCATATTTCTGTTGCCTAACAGCCCGTCTTTTTCATGGTTGCCTGAACAGGCTGAAGATATTTCGAAACTTTGTGTTTCATATACGGGCCTTACAAGTTTACCTTAATCATTTTGATCTATAATCCATTAATGATAATTTGATCACAGAAAGGCATAAAAACATGGCTCAGAGCAGTGCACTGGATCCTTTTTTGCAAAGTAGATAATATTAGCATGTGGTTGGATGAACAAACTTTGTGTTTGATTTTGGGACTAAAGAAACTTTGTACTTTTGGACTATCGACCCCCGTGATCTTGAAATATTTAACTAGGCAACTTCCGATAATGAAGACACAATGACCTTTTTTGCAGCATGAAAAAGAAGGCTTTACTGAGTGACAGTCCTGTATGCATCTCTCTGTATAGAGCTTCGTATAAACCAATGTAGGTATGCCATTTTAAAACAAGATGAATTCCAATTAATTATGGACCTACCGTGTTTATATTTCCTTAGAAATTATATTACTATCTTGATCATAGACGCCTATATTATTTCGCATACTAGCATTGTAACATATGTGCAGCCCCTGTTTTCGATTAATTCATTGACGCTAAACATGCGCATAAAAAAGTGTACCAAACTTTCGTAGCTCCTAATACAAATTCATAACCAATATGACTTTTGTGATGAAGAGTAACTTATTTTCTGTCCAATTATACCATATTCATAATATTTCTGCCACGGGTGACTGAGCACCAGGCTCTTTAAAGTCAGTGTTGCCAAAAACGCCAAGTTTGGGCTGATGGAACGAATGTGGGTCAGGTCATTATGCATCCCGGATGTTATGTGCTTCTTTGGTCTCAGTGCTTCATTGTTTAAAATTATGCAATGTTTTTTAGGCTTTCCGATAGGAGCTTGTTTCATACTATTGTGAGCAACCTATACTAATTTCTTGTCTCAGGATTATCTATTAAGTTCTTTCTGCTCACCCATTTACCTCAAAGGATTAGTGCCGCGGCGGGACTCGAACCGTGGACCTTGTGATCGACAGTCCGGTGACGTATCCACTCGACCACAACACCTCTACAAGCTGCTTATCTTGAATAGCCGATGAAAACCCAAAGCTTACTTAACCCAAATGCAAGAAAGAATACATTATGATGATAAGTATCAAAGAAATTGATAGTAGGCTTCCACAATAAGATAACATCCCAAATAAACTTTATCCATTTTGTATCACTCAATGAGAAGGGTTAGCTCAAAGAAGGGGTGCGAATGAAGTCAAGATAGTAGGCGCTCATCATAAGACAATATCATGAATTTTGCTTGTACTAAGCATTTCCTTGAGTTTGAGTTGATATTAACACCTTTTCTTTTCAACCGCCTAATAGTAAAATGTAAATAGGTGAGCAATTGTTCTGGAAAGAGATAAAACACAAAATGGCTTTTGACCCACATTCATTGCTTTAGAGGATTTTGACAATACTTTTTTTTCTCAAAAGCCTGCTGCTCAGTCATCCATGACAGCACAATTATGAATATTATATCACTAGACAGGATATTAGTTACCCTTTACTATGATATATAACTTTTTTTTATTAAAAAGCTACCGGTTCTAGGACAATTACCCCCCTGGGAATCCATCCCCGGCCAAATTTACCAGCGGGACAATTACCCCTCAGGACAATTACCCCCAGATAATTACCCCCCCCCCCCCTCCGCCCCGAGGACATCTACCCCAGTAGGACAATAATTACCACCCGTGGACATTACCCCCCCCCCCGCCCCATGAACAAAATTCTTCTTTTATTAAAACCAACTTATTATCAGAGTGGACTTTCCCTTTAATGACGGGTAATTTTCGAGGGGTGTGGTAATTATCCAAGGGGCTAACTTTCGGGGGGTATAGTTTTCCGGGTTGTAATCTTCCGGGGGTGATTTTACAGGGGCCCAATTGTCCTGATAAGTTAATTACTTATTGCTATATCGGAGACTAATAATCAGACTGTATGTAGGCCCTAATAAGTAACTATTTTGCAGAGGCATGCATACAATAAAAGGCATCAACTTGCTGGCCGAAGGTGAAGTAATCAATAATGAAGATAGCTATAGGCCTTTTTGTAAGGGTAAGACAAAATAGAGAGCTGCAATGTTGATAAATCAAAACAAATGACAGTTTGATTCCTCAAGTTGAATTAAATTCTGAGGAACCCGTCTTCTAACTTAATTTCTTGTTCTGTATTGCATTTTCCCACCCATCCAATATGTATTCCGATTTTCTTTAAAGAGCCATCGCCATTTTATTGAATTTTTAAATGTGTGCCTGCAAATTTTTATTTTAACAGCAATAATATGATTTACTGAATACTAAAGTGACAGTATTAAAGTGTTAAAATCATATAATGATTATAGGAACTTCAGGGGATAAACTGCTAGGCTATAGGCCTATCTTGGAAAAGCAATTAAGAGAGATCATTTTATCAGATACATTGAAGTTGAAGAGAGGGAGAGGGAGAGGGAGAGAGGGGGGAGAGGGGGAGAGGGAGAAACTCAAATTAAAAACTATAATAATACGTAATTTTTATATAATGTCTCTTAAGCGCTTTACAAATATACTATTACCCCGGTCATTGGATTCAGTGCTTGCCCGCACCCCCGCACACACTGTGTGCACAATCTCCACTCTGTAAAGACTCTTCTTCTTCTTAAAAAGATGATAAAGGAAAAGGAAAAACTAAAGGATAAGGATTGTTATAAGGAGCCGGGGGGCTCGGAGAGATGAGGAGGCGGTGGTATATAGGGGGTATGGGAGGTCAGAGGAAATGCCTGTGTGGTGCGATATTTAGTGGAGTAGGAGGTAAAAAATAGTTGGGGTAGCTCTATCAAATTAATATTTTTCAATCCAAATAAACACACATATGACGTGGTAGAACGATAACAGGTATAAACGTATTAATTACCACGTTATTCCGATCCATATATCGCCATCTCTCAATGTGATATTGGAATTATTATACACTGAAATTCGAACCGAGCGATCGTATGGAGAGTCTCTGTCGAGCTGCCGAGATGGAAGCGAGGTAAATTTACCCTTTTTCACATTCTGTTAACCAAGTTAGGTTAACTTGATTTCAAAATCAAAGTATATATTATACTATTCGAATGGACCTTATTGCCTATAATGCCCATTAATGTGAAATTGTATCTCTATTACAAGGCTAAAGATCCAGTAAACTTTAAGTATTGTCCCATGTATTGAGAAACATGTGCTGTATTCCGTGTAGTGTCACACTCGTAGTCTGGAAGTTAGATGTGGGGACACGGCAAAAGTAATGCAACATTGTGAAAGTATTGTGATCCATTTGGATGAAAATTAGTTTTATAACTTCTCTTTTGTGAATAATGATAATGCTTCCAAATAACACAAAATCTAGATAAGAGTAATGAAGGGGGTTTTCGGCCACTTATTCTTAAGACAAAATCCTATTTTTTGGACCCTTTACTTCTGTAGAGATATGAGTGTGAGGTATTGTGAATGGATATTTGAAAGTGTGTTCACTCGTCACACAACATAACTCTTATTTTTATTTTAGCTACGAGGAAGCAAGGTTGCACTGACAATAAAATACATGAAAGAAAGTATTCCCTTTTCGTTATGTTTATTGGGTACTGATGAGGCTGGCCGTACACTAGACAGCAATAACCATCTGATTTGGGTCATTTCTTTAATAAAACTGACATTTGTTGTCATTCCCCAATACAGATGGCAACCCAGAGATCTCGTACCGTGGGGGTAGCTATAGCCCACAATGGCAGCTTTTTGTGTCAAAACATTTTCTCCCCGATTTTCTTTATTTAGATCTAATTTTCTGATGTCTAAATCAGATGTAAATTAGGTCGGTATGTCATTTGTCCTAATTACAGTTATCAAAATTTGATAACTTAATATTAAATACGTAATTTACGGACTTACTTATATGAATTATCCAATTTGTATCTCAGATCCGCGAAGCAGTACGTTCATGCATTCGAAATATTACCCGGCGGCCGATATATTTCCGGGTCCACCTACCAAAACATAGCCAAATGGCCAATCAGAGCACTCGTTTCGTGGGAGTTCGTTGGTCAAGCTGGGCCGACTCGTACGTAGCTACGGTAGCTATTGGACGTTCGAAAAGAAAAAATGAATATTCATCAACTAAAACCAAGACGGATAATGTTGACGATGAGACTTTCTCGGATTAATCATTAATTTAGGATCTAAATGAGCAAGCTATCGTAAGTCAAATAAGCTATATATATGTTATTTTTAATTTGTGTTGTAATTGCAGCAGTTATGAGGATGTAAAGAGTGAAAATCTCGTTGCATATCTCATTCATCGCGGTCCGGTCGAACCGAACCATTTGTTCCGTACAGTGCCTCACAGAAAGAGGTCCCCATACTTCAGTCTCTATAATCGGAGGTCTAGTGGAGCCAGACGTAGTCTCAGTGGAACAACCGACGATTAGAGAGACTGAAGTTTTCGGTCTAGCCGTACACTTGCAAAGTGTAGCCAAGCACAAGCCGGAGAATCGGAATGAAAATGCATAAATGGTAAATGTGAATATTGCACGGCGATTACATAATGATCAATGATGATAATGAACATGAATAAATGCGATGTACATAATGAACATGAATAAATGCGATGTACATAATGAACATGAATAAATGCGATGTACATAATGAACATGAATAAATGCGATGTACATAAATAGAGCTTACGACAATAGTAGAAATGAAGTCGAAAGTCCAATGAAGATGAAGAGAGTTGAGAACGAAGGAAGGGGCTCACGCGATGATGTGTGCGGAGGCTTGAAGGCGGAGATGCAGCTTCGTGTTTGTGGCTGAAGAGCGGTGACGGATCTCGACGCTGACGCTCGTGATAAAGATGATGAAGAAACTCTCAGGCGAGAAGAGAAGAGAAGAAAGTGACGCTCGACGATGAAACAGTGAGTCGTTGATGTCGGAGGCCAAGGTAGAAAATGCAGACATCAAAGCCGGCAGTGGTGCTGAGCAGTGAGTCGCTCGATTGATGCGCCAAACTTTGATGATGAATGTTTAGATGAGCTGCGGTGAGTCGAGCTCATGTGGGGTGAAGAAATCTACCGGAGCAAAGATACTGGCAGCTCCCAGCGGAGAACCAAGGGGCCATGTCGGGTCTTGATTTAAACTGTTCCACTGGAAGACTGCCAGCCCGCTGAGAAAGTTGACGTGCCATGCAAGAGGTGATAGGCACGGTAGAATAAGCCTGGAGAGAAAATCATGGAGCGTGTGACTCAACTGAAGATGGATTTAGGAGTGAAGTGCGTTTCCGCGCTGATCTATAGTACTATCAGGCGGAGCAGGTATCCCACGCCAGAGCTCCCCGGAGCTTGCCAGGCCGAAAACAAGTACTGCGGTGATCGGAAATTGGAATCTGAATTAGACAGAGATATCGTGTGTGCGTTGCGGTGTCCGGTTGCATTGATTTAATACATGCGGTGAGATACTTTTGAGCTTGCGACTAGCACAAAATCGGGCTCTTAATCTGAAAAATACTTGAAATAAAGCTCATTTTATGGTACCCATATTTCTTACAGACACGCGTAAGATACTCGATTTTTCAGATTCGGGTAGCAGGACCGCCGATTACATCGCTAAAATGTGATATTTTAGGATATATTTTTCATTGCAAATGTGGTTGTTCAGTGACTCTGGCATGGTATGGTATGTGTGGGATATGTGATATGCTATTATGCGATGTATTTTAAAGGGATTTTACCATGCATCTAACCAATCGGCCAAAAACTGAAGCTGGTCGATTACCCCCTCCTTTACTCTATACTTAAGATATAAGATTAGACTTGAAAGGGAATGTAATTTGTAATGACTTAATTTATTCTTGTCCACTTCTTAATCAGTCGAGAAGGCATCCTGCCATCAGACCCGTTTGATGATCATGATGGCTGCAGTGCATTTTCACATCATCTGCCAAGTAAGTACATAATCAATATTCCTTACAACTAGAATGGATTGTAAATCTTAGTAGCAGGAAATACAGTAGACCGAATTTTTCTGTCTCTTTCGTTCGTTAGCCTCTGATTTGGGTAGGGTTGGCTCTCTCTTTAGAGACAGAACAGCGCTATACGCTTTAGTGTTCACGCTTTGTGTAAAGAAACGTTACACCAAACTTGGCAAAACTACCGGCCAAATTCCAAAATGATTATAACTGAAAAACTGCGCATGTCATTACAAACTTGTAGCTTGTGCACAGTTTTTCCGTTATAATCATTATGCCTTCGGCGTAGACTAGAGGGGATGAGATTTAGATGATGTCTTGGGCAGCGAGAGTTTTAAACCACCGCTGCAAGATTTTTATCATGGATGTCGATTTTGACCCATAATTTCCTAAAAAGAGACCATTAAACGGATTATTTCAGTCAAGTTGGTAAGTGGAACCAAAGTAGTTAAGCCTAGACCTGCAGTGTAATTGTCAAAATGAAATGCATCGGATATGCATCCTGTGAAATATGGAATTTGGCTGGTAGTTTTGCCAAGTTTGGTGTAACGTTTCTTTACACAAAGCGTGAACACTAAAGCGTATAGGGCTGTTCTGTCTCTAAAGAGAGAGCCGACCCTACCCAAATCAGAGGCTAACGAACGAAAGAGACAGAAAAATTCGGTCTAGAAATACAGAGGACGAGGAGAGAGAATAAAGGATAAAGAGAGATAGATAGACTAGACAGACAGACAGGGGGGAGAGAGAGAGATGGGAGAGAAAAGAGGAGAGGATGAATATGAGTCATATAATGATAATGAGTGAGGGAAATATTTGTGTATTGATCAAACATTTGACAATGACAATCTTTTGGGAAATTGAGTGACAGCATCATATCCGAGCTTGTTCAGTGAAATTCTTTTTTTATAGAATAAATCATAGAGAAATGTACTTTGTAGCCCAACTTCCATTTAAGAAAGAAATGTAGATCATGTCTGTGCATGGGTTGCATTTCACTCTGGTATTGGTAATCAAATATGTTTAATGAAATTGATGTTTTTTTTATATAAATCTATTAATGCAGTTTATGCTAGAATAAAGAATTATAAATGTTATTCTCTTGCTGTCAAAAGGTAGGAATATTCCCAGGAACTGGAAAAACATCACAGAAGAGTTTAATGAATCTGCCTCGCACCTTAAGCTTGGAGAGCTTCTACATGACTCCATGTAAGTATTACAAAGATGTTGCTAGGTGAGAAGCATGTATGAGTGAAAGACAACTGCACATGTGTGATGCATCAGGATATGCTCAGCAAGTTTCAAGATTGAAAGCACAACAAAATGGATGCTGATTTGATTTTTTTTTTTAGAGAAAGAAAATTATTGCCTGATTTTTTTCTTCTTTGAATCGCTGATTAAAATCCCAATTGTTAAAGTTATTCTCAATTGAATAAGTGTACTTTAAGAAAGAGCTAAACCTGGTAATTATTTTAAACATACGATCCTTGCCTCTAGGAACTCTGTTTTATGGAGACAGTCTTGAATAGTGTAAAGGACAGTAAATGCTGTAATGTATTTTTGTATTTTTGTATTTTTTTTTGTACAAGTTTCTTGGAACTTTTTAAGATATTTCATCCAGCTAGTCGGAAATTTGAATGCATTACTATATCAATGTTAAAACTCACCACTCTCTGTTCCCATCTCCATCAGTTTTGGTTTGTTTGAGGCCATGTCTGCCATTGAGATGATGGATCCTAAGATGGATGCAGGTATGATGTGTAACCAGTCTGGTCATAAGGTACTCAATCTGCAGCAGAGTATCGAGGCGGGGAGATTGAAGACATCAGATTTGACCAACCATGAACTCATTGGCATCATGGATACAACATTCGCATGCTTGGTGAGTAAATTACTCTATTGTCCCTCTGCTATGACATGCAGAAAGGAAATTCAGATATCTGTCAAGCTGAATTTGCCATACTCAACCCAGGTGATGTAAATGGGTACCTAGCAGGAATTAATTCCTTGAAATGCTAGAGCGCCGTAATGGTAGCACAGCTAAAGCCAGGGTTATAATTCCTAAATTCGTTAAGGCGTCTTGAGCATCCCTTGGGGTGGATATGTGTGCATTATAAATGTTATTAATATTATTATTAATTCTGTATAAATATGAGAACCTCAGAGTCTAAAGTTTAGGGATGAGGTAGCTATGGAAGGTCCACCTCTCTGTGTAGGTGCGATAAATATATGATATATCAATAATGCCCAGCTCTTATCTAACAGGACCTTCATTGCATATCAAATCAGTTCAGTTTCCTTCCAACAAGTTAACCTCTGAAAAATATCTAATATGATATTTTGATCTCATTTTTATAGAGCATTTTACATACACATACAGTCAAACCTGCTTTAGTGACCACCTGTCTACAAAGACCACATTTTTTGTTTCCCTTGAAAATGGTTTCTCATTGAAACATGTACTAAAGTAACCTGTCTACAAAGACCACTTTTTGTGTTTTTCCTTGGGTGGTTGCTACAGACAGGTTTGACTGAACAAGGAAATATTTTCAGGTAATGCTGATGCTCCTTATCATTATCATAATTGTTAGTGTCTTTACAACAACAACAAAAAATTATCTGTCATATCGATGCTTTTGAATATTGAAGCAAATATCAACATCATCTTTATAATTCTTAAAATGTTTTCTTCTGCTTGGTAGGCAACTTGGTTGGAGGGTCATTCGTTAGCTCAGACGGTCTTTACCAACCTGTACGCTCATAATCCAGACCTGATTGATGACCGCTGTCTCAGAGCATTCTCCCTGGTCATCCTCAAGATGGTGGACACCATCAAGGACAAGGTCATGAGGGCAGGAGTCTATGAAGAGGTCAGTCAGAGTAACATCAAAACATGTTGGCCCTTATTTTACCAAGATCTAAACCTGACGCTGAGCTTAAGCTTTGTTTCAAATTAAATTTAACAAAGGGAATTATTCTGGGGCCGGTTTCTTGAAACCGTCATAAGAGACATCCCATACAGATGCATTTTAATTCTATAACACATGTTTCAATGGGATGTCCAAGAAGTTGGACTTCTGACAGTTTCAAGAAAATGGCCCCCTAGGATCTAAGATCTAGGTTTTACTGTATTAGAAGAATATGAACCATGATGAAAATAATGATACTTCTGATTTTGGCAGGAGTCTAGTCTGTCAGAAAAGTGTCCAAACATGCATGTATATCATGTAAGGTAATGAATACAGGAGTCTTTCAAAATGTCAGTTGAAACTGTTCTATTGTGCAAAGTTTATAATTATGAAATCAATCCCATTCAAAACAAAGTTATATTTTATCCAAAGTTGGAAGGGACAGGGATGTTGTCACACTCACAGATTTACATTAAGATGGGGCCTCCCAAAAATGTCAACCCCAATCTCCGTTCCCCTGCACACAGTTGTGAACATTTCAGGCCAGACCCCCCTTTGAAAAGGGTTGGTGTGGAGCCCTTTCATATGGTTTTCAAAGGTGACTGAAATTATCTTTACCCTTCAAAAATACTTTTTAGATCCTTTTATGACAAAGCCAAGATGCATTTCAACAGATTTTATATGATATTCCAGGTCTGTCTTCTCTCATTAAAACACTCATGAGTATTCTTGTTAAAGTGCGGGTTTGAGCAGATGTCGGTTGAACAAAAATGTTCAGAGTTATCAGAAATTGATGTTGAGTTCAGTTTAATCTAATCTGTACCATGTATATTCTGTTTTTATCTCCTGGTAATTATAGGAGGATTTCCAGTCGATGACCTATGGTTTCAAGCTAGCCCACAACGTCACTGAGTTAAGAGTTGTTGGTATGCTGAAAGAAATAGAAGAGGACTATAACAGAAGAGTCAGAGTAAGATATCCATTTAGTTTAATTACATTGGCAGGGACCTTGCTTTGGCAATAGCCTAGGTTGCCAAAACATATTTTAGTGTTTCTTTGCTGTTCAGTGCAACACTTTTACATGAAATAATATTGATGTTTTTGTCAGTTGATATGCTTAAAACTCTTCAGGTGGAAACTTTAATTGGTACTAGGGCCTCTATCATTTTGTTTATCCTATAATGTACCTCTTTGAGTCTGTTCCACCTGTCGAAATATGAGCACTGTTTCATTTTGCTTTTACTGTATTTTGTCTAATTTGTACAGTTTATGTTTAAAGCGAGTAGAACTATTGCTACAAATGTTTAATATAACATATACATTCATTATTCAGAAGTGGGAGACATTTAATGGTGTTCTTCTGGCCAAGACTAGGACAGATACGCAGCAATGCTTATCCACACTGTTGCGGGAAAAATATGAGATGTGCCATGTTTGTGTTTCATTTGTTACAGAACACAAGAGCAAGGCAGGGAGAAGACAGAGATACCGCTACAGAACTTGAGGTGAGATTATTATGTCTCTGTTAACTGTTTGTATGTCTTTTATATCAAGTAATTGTTATTCCTTTTTTTGGACAGAATTTCGTCAGTGACATGGCATTGAAATTGTTATAAATACTTATTTCTAAAAACCTTGACCAAATCATGCTTTCAGATTGATACTTTAATGATCCATTGTATTCTTTTTCATATTTAATGAATGTGTTCATTTTGCACTCATTTCCTTAAATCCCCACTGTACTACTTGTAGCTACCTGCTCCCTCTATATAGAAAACAAAGCCTAATCGGTGACCATTGGTCCCCCATGATCCTCTTTTTCTTATGTTAATTGAGAGCTGAATTGATGAGATAGCCACCTGTCAGTGACCACGCTCGGTAGTCTAATCCCCCATGGCCGAACTAGTACAGACAGCCTTTAAAATGTTCTGTTTTCCTATCTGTTTCTATCCCCAGCATGAGCAGTGTATAGCAGTAGTATCAAGGATCAAGTTCTGCAGGATGTTTTATTCAGCTCTGCTTGCATTCACAAAGAAAGAGGTAAGTTGTGTGGAATCAGTCCACAATGCTCTAGGTGTACAGGAGAAAGGAATGTTTATATGGAATGGAGAAGTGCACTTAAAAATTAAAAAAAATGATCATTACTATTATTATTATTATTATTATTATTATTATTATTATTATTATTGTTGTTGTTGTTGTTGTTATTATTATTATTATTGATGTTGATGTTGCTTCTGGTGCTGTTGCTGTTGTTGTTGTTATGATGATGATGATAATGATGATGGTGAACCGATGATGAAATGATGCGGTGAAAAAAATTGTGATAGGTTTTTATAGGGAATCATTACGGGCATCACATGACATTGAGCTCACCCTTCACTCTTTGCAAGTCCAGAAGCCATGGGGAGCTTTGCAATTTTGCAGTTGTACAGTATCTCACTAAAATCAAAAACCTTTTACAAAACAGGTCTATACTTAAATGGAAATTTTCACATGGTAAAATCAGTTTTCTTTTGTAAGCAAATCTGTACCCCCATCCCTAGTTACGTATATTTGCAGTTCAGCTGCTCATGACTTCACACTGTGTTTTTAAATACATGTGTTTGCAAGGTGTGTAGGCAATTCGAGAGGCACATGTAATCTCATTCTTAAAAGAGAAACAAACTGACTGAATTTAATTTTGAACTTTCAGGTTCTGTACATGTAGGTAAACTGAGAGGCTGTTCACACCGGCAGAGATAGCGCGCGCTAGACCGCGCTATCTCTGCGGTTTGGAAGGTACAACGTCGTTTCGGTCCGCCCAACAGCGAGCCACGGCGAGCCAAAACGGCGTGCCACTGGAGCACCTCTTGGGGGTGGTCCACGAGAGTGAGCGCGGTCTAGCGCGCGCTAGAAAAAAGGGGGTGCTACGATAGACCGCGCTATCTCATTGCGGTGTGAACAGCCTCTGAAACTCTATTGTTGGTTTCTTCTCCATAGATCAAGCAGTCAGTAGAGGAAGCCAAGAAATTACTACTCCTTGCGTTAGACCTGCTCCCAGCCATACAGAAGACAGTAGAGTTAGGTGATCCACAAGTCATATCAGACGATGAGACATCACCAGCCATGCCAGGTACTACAGGTTATTACCCAAGTAACCTATCTTTTCTTGTGATGCCTACATGTATGCCAGGTTTCATTTCATTTCATTTCATTTCATTTCAACACAGAAACCCTTGTTACAGTTCTCAGGAAGTCCTTTTTAAATTTAAAAAAAAAAAAAAAAAAATCATATTTAAGTACTTAGATTATCAATTGTTAATTCATTTGACATGTGAGGGAATATTGATCTCATCAATTATATAACAAGATGTTTGATAGAACTACCAATTTCTGACATTGTTCTTCCTTCTGACATTTTTTGCAGACTACCCAAATGTGATGGGCTTTGAGCCGTTAGTAAATCAACGTTTGCTGCCCCCTACCTTCCCAAGGTATGCCAAGATAATCAGTAGGAGAGATGCTATCTCATATCTAGAGGGTCTGATGGCCAGACTAAGAACAGTGTGTGAGGTCACCAGCTTGACACCCTTTCACCCTATAGTGGTAAGTTGGAAAGCATTATTTTGTTTACCATTCAAAGCACTGTTTGATATTGTGGTATGTTTTTTAATGTGGTAGAATTGTCTATGAATTTATGTTTGTATGTAACAAATTGTGTTTGAAATCTTCCAGTAGTATACCCAAACGTGCACATTTCCCTCCTCTAGAAAGATTCATATGCATGTATTCAAACTGATTCAGCCGAGGACGCAGGTTCGAAACTGAGTCACGTCTTTCGGATGGTGACGTTTAAAGGTCGGTCCCCAGACGTAAATAATCATATCTGATTGATACATGTCTGCAAAAACCCAATACACACACACACGTATCTCTTGACAGGATTTCTTTGCTGAGTTCTGAGGTCATCAAGCAGCATCCCTGTGTCCTTCCAAGATTTATCCATAAACAGCTGGTTTAGAAGTCTATTAACCCTCACACTGTATTTGTTTTATACAGGATTTCTTTGCCGAGTTCAGCAAGCAGTGCCCCTGTGTGCTCTCTAGATCGGTCCTACAGCAGATCTTCCTGCCGTATAACAACAAGAAAGTGTTTGGTGTGGAGCTCGTCCAGGAATGTTTGAGGGACACGTTAAGGGGGTTTGTTTGCCCCCCTGTTCTAGCTCAAAGGTCACCCATCTATAACAATGCCCAGGCCAAGGAGATGGCTGACTCTATGCTGATGCACTCAATCAGGGTAAGGAAAGGAGAGATTATTATCCAGGCTTAGACAGATGATGTACATGTATGTAAGAAAGAAGCCCTTGCAAAATACTTGGGTAAGGACAAAATAAGCTGTTTCTCTGAGTGTTAAATGTGGGTTAGTGATACAAAACATAAGGATGTAATGGTGGAAATTGAGATACTAGGTTTCATACAATTGATGATAATGATAATGAATAGCTTTTCTTCAGGGGACACAGGGGTATTTCGCACTCGCCTTGAAAATATTCCACTCAACAAATCAATTTTATATAAATATTTTAGTATCCATAACAATTATTTGGTGTCACAGGTACCGGAGAAAACAAAAGGTGTTCGTTCTTATTCACTTCTCATACAGTGTATCTCTCCTTCCATGCAGTGTAAATTATTAAAGAAGACATTTTATCCCATTTGCTGTACTCTTGTTTATTGGCATAATAAATCATGACTGGATGGGGTGCTTCATTTAAGAGCGATCCGTAGTGTTGGTCAAGTTATAGATTTAAAAATTTAGATTCTCTGTTCATTACTTGATACCTGTCCTTTTGATTAAACATTTTCAGCATATATTGCTCATCTGGGCCTCATTTTGTTAAAAAATCTGTTTGTTATCAATCTCACCTTGACTTATATACCATTCACAACCCTCAACCTTGTAAATAGACAGTAGGCCATCATTGCTCTGTGACTGATTAACGGAGTTGCTATCTACTGGGACTTGTTGCAGCTCTTTACAGCGGCATAAGGCCCTAGTTTTATTTCCTGTTCCGTTCCACATTTTTTGCATTGTAGGGAAACAATTCCAATTAATTCCCCTCGTTTTTTTTCTTTTCAACAGCCGATGTGCTCCTTGATGCAGATCCATGGTCACAACCGAGCCAGACAGAGGGATAAGTTTGGGCAGCTCCTGGAGGAGTTGGCCGGTCTCCAGGACCAAGCTGAAAAGGTGGATGCTAACCTCCATACAATCATGTCCAAAGCAGAGGTCAAGAAGACGTACGAAGCATCGTTCAGCTGCTGGGTTATGTATCATACTCTACGCACCATGATACAGTATGTCCAGTCGGGCTTTGAGCTGGAGCTCTATGGCATTCACGAATACCATTATATATTCTGGTAAGCTGAAAGAGTCAAATGGTCGCTTTGTGTATCAATGAATACAGTCAAACCTGCTTTAGCGACCACCTGTATAGAAAGACCACATTTTCCGTTTCCCTTGAAAATGGTTTCTCATTGAAACATGTACTAAAGGAACCTGTACATAAGGCCACCTGCCTATAAAGACCACTTTTGTGTTTCCTTTGGGCGGTTGCTATAGGCAGGTTTGACTGTACTTGGTTATTAAGAGTGAACATCTTTCTTGGGTAGTTAAGAACGAACATCGAAATATCAATCTAAGTCTGATAAAGAGAAGGTTTTCTAAAGGAACACTCGTACTACTACAAATATTGTGAATCAGTTCAAGTTCTAGTACGAATTCTATAGTTTTAAAGATTCTTTCTCCCGTATGTGTATTGTGTTGTGTGTATATGTTTGTCATGTTTTCTTTTTTAATGAATTTTTTTTACCAGTAAATCATTTGAATCTTGGATTAAATGAAGCGCCAAATAATCAGATGATGTAAGTTTAATGGAAGGTCATTTTGAATTTTGGCGTTATGCAGTTTATAGTATAAATATAATGACTGCTATGAGAGGAATAGTTGTTTTATAGGCTCACGGGTACGTTAAACGTCCTGATATCACTAAGTTTTAACATGTAACCTAATGGGGATCGCAGCAAAATATTACTATTTTCCTGGAAACCGGAATCTTGCGGGAATCTCACTCCTGGATTGTTGAGCGGTACTGGCATTGTTCGTTTCTTTACGGGAGTGGCTCATGAAATCATGACTCCAATTTTGACCAATCAGATGGCTAGATTTCTAAAGAGAGGTATATAACAGTGTTTGAAACATTTGATTGGTCTGTCTACTGTAGGTACCTATCTGACTTCCTCTATGCATGGTTCATCTCTACATTGAGTCAAGCAGACAGCATGCTAGGTGACCATGAAACACAGTATGCTGAACCTCAGGGCAAAGGTCGCAGTAACAAGAAGAAGGCCAAGAGGAAGAGGCCGCGACCTCTGGAGCGAGAGCTCGCCCTCTGTAAGGCGCAGCAGGCACTCTGTTCAGGCTTCTACAAGGTAGGAATCTAATGTTTGACAAATTTGCTCTCAGCCAATCAAATGCCACGATTTCAGTAGCTTACGACAGTAAAACTTGTTATTGATAAACATGAAATGGGGTCCTGATCAGATTAAAGGCTGGGTATAGGCCATATGTTATATATCATATATCTAGAAAGCAAAAAAATGTTGATGATAATTTATATCAAGTACCTATGCCATATGCCAACTTCACAAATGAAGGAATGAATAAATGATTGCCAGCATTATAAAATCAGCTGAAATGATTATGGTAAAATAAAATATTTAAATTCTGAATTTGCATTCAATTTGTGTTATGTAATCCTTGATACTCCAATCTGTAAAATTACAGTGCTCTTTAAAGTGACTCAGATTCTGAAACAAAATCCTGGATTTAGCTCATGATGCTACCATAACTATAAACCTTTAGGTGAGTCAGGAATCCCATGATTTTTACAAGCTGATCACCTGTCTGATTATCAAGATATTTATGATTGGAAATCGAAATTTCATTTCACAGTTTTTATAACACTACAGTCTTTTGGGAGAAATGAGTATGGTAAAACCAGTCACCCAAAGATTTTTACTTTTTTGAGGCAATTTTTTTAGGACTTCAATATTACACCATATCACAGACATTGATATCGCGTAGAGCCATTCACCTCAGATTTAACATTGTTAAACGATGCCTTTAAGAAAACAAATGTATGTATACAAATTTGTTATCTGTCCACCTGTGTCTTGATCTTTCTTTATCACTCCCCTCTTCATTTTTCCTTGTATCTTTCACCCCCTTACTCTATTTCAATGTCTGTATATCTATCTGTTCGTCTTTATTGTCTGTCTGCAGGCGGTGATGGGTTTCAGACTCGACACCAAGATCAAGCAGCCCAACTCTGAGTTTGACAACGAGAAGGTACGCTTTGAGCATCGTTTCAGCGCCTTTTCCACCGTCCCGACCCCGCCCCTGGTGCAATACGATCAGTTCTGTGAGATCACTACCCCTAAGATGAGCCCTGTCGCTCTCTATGGGACGTCGTCTGAACTCTTCTCTCATGCTGCCGAACTCCTTGACAAAGTCCCAAATCCCAATCCTGAGGTAAGAAATCCTCCAAATTCATCTCCTTCTTTATAAAGTATTAAAAGTGGTAAGAACTGTTTAAAAGTAAATGATCTTCATTTCTTTTATTATGCCTCCGCTACAAAGTAGCCGGAGGCATTATGTTTTCTGGTTGTCCGTCCGTACGTCCGTACGTCCCGTTCTCGTGATCGCGTTATCTCAAGAACCGATTGATGGATTACCGCCAAACTTAAATCATGCATGTATCTTGCAGAGCCAATGAACTGATTAGATTTTGGGGTCACGAGGTCAAAGTCAAAGGTTACAGGGCTCATTATGTATGCAAAAAAGCTTGTGATCGCGTTCTCTCTAGAACCGATTGATGGATCCCTGCCAAACTTGAATCGTGCATGTATCTTGCAAAGCCAATGAATTGATTAGATTTTGGGGTCACAAGGTCAAAGGTCACAGGGCTCATTATGTATGCAAAATAATTGTGATCGCGTTATCTCAAGAACTGATTGATGGATTACCGCCAAACTTGAATCATGCATGTATCTTGCAGAGCTAATTAAGTGATTAGATTTGGGGGTCACGAGGTCAAAAGTCACAGGGCTCATTATGTATGCAAAAATAGTTTGTGATCACGATATCATGAGAACCAAAAGACAGATTACCATCAAACTCAAGACATGTATATGTATCTTGCAGAGCCAATGAACTGATTAGATTTTAGGGTCATCAGGTCTAAGGTCATGGGGCTCATTAAGGATGCCTATAAATCGCTTGTGAATGCATTATTAAAGACGACAGATGGATTACAATCTAACTTGAAATTTAAAAGTTGCTTCCGTTTTGGTTTGTAAAATTGCTCTATGGCGGAGGCATCATTTCGACTGCGTGCAGTCGAAGTTCCATCTAGTTCCATCTTAAAAGCATCTCAAACTATCATGTTTTCTCTTTGGAAATGTGTTACAAAATTTGTCTGTTTAATGTGTTTATTTTGAGTTTTGCTTTTGATTATTCTCACCAGCATGGATGTTAGGGGAAAAAAATACTGCCTCGAATATGATATCGCGTTGGTTGTCTCGGTGGTTACTAGTTCAAATGAGACATTACATTTTTTCTTGTCAGTCTCACTGCATTTATCAAAAATATGGAACCACATGGTGTGTTAAAAAAAACCTACTTTTTTTCCTCCATGATTGGAAAGTTTGTTTTAATCTGTAAACAATGAATTTAGTCACTGGTGTACATAACAATGTCATGTTTCTCCATCTCTGACGCATCTGTTAGATCCAAAGCCTGATCAGAGTGGCCAAGACAAACAACGTGGTGCTGAGGTTGCTCGTTGGGGGACACAAGAGAGACTCCCAAGCGCCACCGCAGTTTGAGTTTACTACTCATAGGACTTTCCCCATCATTAAGCTGGTTTGAATGAGTGCTAGAGAGACTCTCAAGCGCCACTGCAGTTTGAGTTTACCACTCATAGGACTTTCCCCATCATTAAGCTGGTTTGAATGAGTGCTAGAGAGACTCTCAAGCGCCACCGCAGTTTGAGTTTACCACTCATAGGACTTTCCCCATCCTTAAGCTGGTTTGAATGAGTGCTAGAGAGACTCTCAAGCGCCACCGCAGTTTGAGTTTACCACTCATAGGACTTTCCCCATCATTAAGCTGGTTTGAGAGCGAGTGCTAGACAGACCCACATGCACTTCACTCAGCAGACTTTCCTCATCATTGAGCTTTTATGAAAGTGAGCGCAAGAGAGACTCCAAAGCACCACCGCAGTTTGAATTTACCACCCATAGGACTTTTCCCATCATTAAGCTGGTTTGAATGTGAGTGCTAGACATACCCACATGACGACACAAGTATATACGGCATCTGCAAGAATCTTTGGTATTGAAGGAGGCAGATTATCTTTAAGAAGACACTCAGCAGACTTTCCTCATCACTGAGCTTTTATGAATATGAGCGCCAGAGGGACTGTTCAGATTTCTTCATCATAAGTGAGCGCAAGACAGATATTTTCTGACTCACATGCACTACCATCACCGGATTTTCCCCATCATTGAGGTTGTTTGAAAGTGAGTGCAAGCGGTTCTCACAAGTGCCATTGGAGATCAGTATTACCATTCTCAGAACTTTCACTGTAGTAAAAGCTTGAATGAAAATGTACACAAGAAGGCTAAAAAAGCATTACCGTTTTATCATTTGTATATTCCTCAATCATTGAAATGTTTACAAGGCCCCTGTGATTAGATAGAGCCTTGAAAGTCAGTCTGCCATGCTTTGTGAGCATGGTTCAGGTAATCAGCTTATTAGAGATATTATTGGTGCTTTTTACCAGAGGATTGGTAATATACAAAAATATTACACAGCAGTGAGGGCATTGGTAAGAATTACCCACACAATGTATCTTTGGAACAGTCGAACACGTCCTAGGCGGTAGCGGAGGGTGTTTGGACTGTTTTGAAGTTACCAAGTGCGGGTAATTTTACTGATGCCAGAACAAATTATTTGTTTTATAAGATTATGTTTTATTTGTTTTATACAATGATGTTTTATAACATGATTTTACTAATGACCGTTCATTAGAATTGGATAATGACCGTCATTATCCAAATTACGCATTAAGCAAAATAAATGCCTGGTCACGTGTACGCTTTCAACCAATCATTTGATTAGGATCCACGTCATCATCTTATAATAGCAGCTAATGTTGCATTGTAGAATAACGTCTATCAGAAAACCATTGATTCTTCTCCTTTATACAACTCTTTATCCATCAAACTCAAAATCTTTCTTTTGATTTATGGACTGTAGATACTTTTCCTCTTCCTTATAAAGATCTTTGACGTCACATGCTGCTTGTAAGATTAGAAGTAGAAGGTAGTAACAACCATCTACAAAATATCTGAAAGAAGTAGGTCATGAACACATGGTCAACATCCACAATTCAACAGCCTTTAAAATTTGCAAGAAATCTAACTGTGCAGACATCTCAATTTAATTCATGTTAAAATTGTAACAGGTGTTTTAATGGGAAATTCGTTAACTGTAATGTAGACCTAGGCAGTGTTTCATGAAACAGTCTTAAGAACAATTTTGCTGACAGCACATTGAAACATGTGTGCCTCAGAAGTAGGGCCTAAGAGTCACATTTTGGTATCCTACAACACATAACTCAATGAATGCGCCTAGGACCATGGTTGTTGTGCGCAATTGCCATTCATTTAGGCATTTTTTTTTTTAATCGCTTTGGGGCAAGTTTTTTTAAACCATCATAACACGATGTTCATGAACATCCCATTGAAACGCGCTTAAATTAATTATATAACAAATGTTTCTATGAGATGTTCAAGATCGGAGACTTATGACGGTTTCGAGAAACGGTCACCTTTACTTTTTTAATGAACTTTACTTTTACGTCAACAAGCATTTAGAGACTTTATTCAGGGATATAAAGAGTTTGAGTTTATCTTCTTTTTAAAAATCTTTTATACAGTATACACTGAAAACCCCAAGGTCTTACAAGGTATTAAAGAAATTGAGGGAATAATTATAGAAGATATACTTGAAGTGTTCATTAAAAGATTTACACATACCCTGAGATTCATTGAGGATCTAGTAAAGGGTGACTAAGCGATGTATCATCGTATGTGATTGATACCCGCTTTAAGATGATGCTCAATGTGGTGTCATGGTCTGCTTTTCTTGTACTTTTGTGTAGGGTAAGAAAAAACACTGTATAAAGGCAAATAAAGCATCCAATGCTTGTAATATATGTGAGGTGCTAAAGTGTAATCATGTAATGTTATGATTGAATCAATACATCACTAATAATGTATGAATTTAACATAGATTAATATATTGGTGACCATGTCTCAGATATCACTAAGAAAATCAATTATCTGTTTGGAGCCAGAACTGCATAAACTCATATACTGTCACACAGAGTTTATGTAATTTTGGCTGTGAACAGATACATTCAAGCCAGGTTTACTAATTGGAGAGGGGACGAGATAGACTAGGAATGAAGATGATGTGAAAGCAAATAAAAGAGGTGAAAAAGTGGGAAAGATGTAGAAAAGGGGAAATAAAAAGAATGAATATACACAGTATAAAAGGCCTTGTTCAAATATGAAATGGAGATAACAGTGGTGTTATTTTTATGATGTAAAGTGTAATACCAGCCACGTTTCTGTAACTTTTAACACAAGGCTTAGTGAATACGTGCAAAACCTTTTGATGCCTTAAGGTGCCAAGGGTTCAGACGTTAAAAAAGGGGCAGTTTTCTTTTGTGGCGGTTTACTGTGTCATTTCTGAACAAGCCTTAAAGGTACTATGTCCCATTTGCAGGCCAAAAAAATGAAAAAAGTTAAATTCCAACTGCATTTGAAAGATAATACTAATTTAGAACTTCCCTAAAAAAGGTGGGGCTTAAAAATGTCTATAAGTGGGAAAATAACAACTATTAGTTGTCAAATTGACTTTAGGGCTACAGAGCCCAAAAGTAATAGTCTTGATTTTCAGACAATTGTACCGAATGGTCATACGTTTTATGCTGCGCAAAGATTCAATCAGTTTAATCTTGGCCATCACAAGAAGTGGGTTATTGATGTAGACAAATGCTCATGTACCCTTTACAACTCTTTTCATGTATGTTATTACCAAAGAAGAAGAAAAAACCAGTCAGTCACTCAATAGTGTCTGACAGTGAAGTCTAGCAAGTAAACGGGTTTCCTTGCATAATTTGAATATGAGGACACTGCTAACGTTTAAATTTCACAGATAGGACATACATGACATATTCATAATTCCTGCAAAGTTCTACAGCATTTGAGGTTGGCTGCAAAAGGGACATAGTACCTTTAAGGGAGAGTAACGACAGATAGAGGAGAGAAACAAAGGGAATTAATGAGAAAGTGGAAGGACAAATTGGTGAAATACAAGGGGAAGAGAATCTCAGGAAAGGGATTAAGATTGACACAGGTAATAGATGTATAGAGTACCGAAGTGTGTCGTCGTACTGGATTTTGTGGTGAACCTCATGCACAGGCTATGTGATTAAGAACCAGTAACCTGGACGACAAATGAGTATGACGTTAGCACTTTGGTACTCTATAGAGGCAAGTATCTTAAAAACTAGAAATATCAACACATATGTCAAACTACATAGAGTACCGAAGCTGCGACATCATAAAATTTTATTTTTGGGATTTCTTCATTTTTTCTTCATTTTCCAAAAGAAAACACTGAGTTCCTATAGGAAATCTTTTTATTCAGATGGTCATATCTCAGCCAATACTTAACATATTCAATTGGTTTTCAACATTTTGACATTATTTTTTATGCTCTTTCAGAAAATGAAGAAAAAAAATGAGAAATTCCCAAAATGGATTTTTGATGACGTCACACATCACCACTCTATTGCACAGGCATACAAGAATGACACAGAAAAACAGCAAGTTTCATCTTTGAAATTTTTAATATTAAATATGTGACATCTTTGTGTAATCTTAGAGTCCTTTTTAACTTTCCATTTACATAATGTACATTGAGTGCAGGGTAGACGGTGATGACACAAAACATACAACATCAACAAATAACTTGAGGTAAATAGTACAAACACATCCATTCTTAGACAATGTGTTACTTGGCTATATAAAGACATCAATAATTTAAAGAGAGTAGAGTAGCAAAATGGTTTGTTATGCTGTAATGCATAGCAGTGCTTAGCATTGGTCGTTGAATTATACATTTACAAGTGAAATGGTTGTACTGCTAACGTTATAACAATATAAGCTTAATACACACAGAGTGAATTCAATGTAAGTACCAAATATTAGTTGATAGACGTGATAATTTCATGACAAGCAGAATCCAATAAATTGTTACAAAGTTGCTATTGCAAATATACTAAACTTGAATTCGTATTTGAAGAACGTGTCTTTAACAGCTTGGTGAGAATAGAACACTTGTACAAGTAAACAATTGCATCATAATCACTCGCAACACGTCCAGAACAACTACCCCAGCCACATACATCTACCACCTGGACAATTACTACCCTGAAATATCTTGCCTAGGACAACTACACCTAGATTTTTTCCCCACTTACGAGACAAAACTGGCATCAGGAGGTAATTGTTTTAGAGGTATAATCATTGATTGAGAGCCAGAATGGACTTAACTCTATTTAAAATATCTGTTTAAAATAAATTGGTAGGCTCTCTCAGCAGATGATGTAGATTTTGTTCAAATGGTCAATTGTCTTTAGAGGGTTATTGTCCAGGGGGTAATGGTCTGGGAATAGTTGTCTAGACTTGAACAATCAATTCATCCTATTCCTCTTAAGTCTTTCTTGTATAAACATGATATACAAAAAACGGGAACCCTTCATCTCAAAACATAAACAATTTCCAACTGCATTTATCAATAATGAATATACAATAGAACCAACCAATGCACCTCATACTTTCTTAATAATTTCCTTTGCACAGATAATCGTTTTCTTTTCATATAAATAAGATTTATACTTACATTCCAAATACATTTTGAAACAAGCTTAAGCATAGTTAAGGAATGACATGTCAATTGCTCTACATTGTATTCAAACAAGATGCACTGAAGAATTTTTTCACAAAAATGATTTCCACAATAATCCTCCTTTAACTTTGAGAAAAGAAGAATTATAATTTTAGTTTAATGTACAGCGAGCAGTTTTTGCCTCTGCACAAAAAAATAGAGGTAATTCATACACTAGCGTTCCCATATAAAGGAACATATTACAATCAATTTCTTGTCTTCTTTTTTTGTGCCAAACAATAAAGGTTACTTTTTCATTTCTGGATAACTATGATTTTTGTAAGGACAATTTTATGGAGATTTGGAAAATACTTTTATTTCATTTTTCCCCTTCCTATCAACACTCTGGCAATTCAATTCACCCACTGCATGATCGAACATAGATTTGAAATCAATAAAGAAATTGAATGGCAAGATATGATGGTGCATGATGTTAATATTATAGTTATGTAACTCTCAAACTTCCTTTGTAAAGTCTCTGTCACAATCTATTCCCGGGTAGTTTGCAGAACGCTTTCTATTTTGATACCATGACTAAATGCTGTGACTGCTGTGAAAAAGAAATTTGCCCTTCATTTTTGATCATAAACGGATATGAACCAGTTACAATTACATCAAAAAGTTAAGCGGTAGGAATAATTCATGTCAAATTTACATTGCATTTCTTGAAGAAGTGTTTTACAAGAGAAGTCAAAATCATTGTTAAAGAACAAGAACAATTGATAAAATGATCTAATATGAAAATATTGTTAAGTTCATACACCTCTAAATATTATTAGAACAAGAACTGTCCCCAAGGGATTTTCACATTTTCATAATCCAATATAGAAGACTTGAAATGCTTCTAAATGTTAGATTTTTAATAAATTTATTGTCTGCAAAATCGTTTTTTGATCTCTTTTGAGAAAAGGAGACAAATATGCTACATTTTTATAAAGCTAACCATTTCATGCAATTGAACATGTCATTAGAAAAAGACATTAACACATAATGCTGTCTGAATAACAAATTGAATTCATTACAAAAACATTTTAACTACTTTATTTCAAGCATGCTATTGGTCCTTATTGATCACTGAGATTAAATCAAGAAATATCAAGATCATAAACTCTTTCAAAAAGTTGAATACATTGATGCAAATTGCCTGAAAAAAGGAAATAACCATCTGAGCTGAATGCAACAAAAACTTCAAATTTAATTGCAAAAATACAAAAAGGAAACATGATCCAGTCCGTTATAACCCCAAGGTGATTTCAGTTCTGTTTTTCTTCACATAAAAGATGAATACATATGCAATAGGTCTTTAGATGTCCATTATTAAATTGTCTCTATTCTATTCTATCTCATCTCGTGGAACTTTAAACACTCTCGTCATGTGTGTTTTATACATTCAAAATGTTTCAATAGTGAGGAGAGTCTTTGAGCTATCAAGTTCTATTTCGTCAGCAGGTGTCAAACATTTTATTAAAACTTCATCACAATATTTTCTTAATTTACCGTATGACTTGATGGTTATACTTTGATGATAGAACATCATTTGATTGTCTGAGCGTCACTTTGATTTTTTTTTTTGTGACTGGAAAGGCCATTAAATGTGTCTTTGATAATCAATAACTTTGTGATTTGTCACATGTGCTGATTACATGATATGACAAGTAAAGAGTTTAACATCGCGACAAGGGTAGGGAACAATCAAACGTGCACAGCGTCTTCAATGGTCGCCATCTTACTCCTCACAAGGAGAACAAAATCAGGTAAAACACTACAGCAGGCTTTCATCTACAAATCTAATCTAATCTAATCTAATCCAATCTAACTGATCTCAAAAACAAGATAGAACCTTATCTGCAGCATAGAAACATGATATAAATGTAATTTCTTCCATTATCAGAGCAATCATGGGAAATAATACTGCAATGTAAGATACACACAAATTCTGACTCAACATGTGTGGCTATTATCGTGCATACTGCCATCCACAAAACAATGAAATAAACAACTACAAATAAATGACATACAAGGGAGAAAATGGCAACAAAATATTCAAACCAGGAATACAGTAGATATCTTCATTGTCATATGCGTTATTGCACCAAGAATTCTGTTTAAACCTGCCTCCCCCCCCCCCTCCTCTCCCCTAAGAAAAGTAGTAACCTTTGCACAAGCTTATCTCAATTAGCCAGTCTCCTTAGCTACAGCCTACATGCCCAACTTTCTATTATATCGTTTTTCTTCTTCTCCTTTAAACAACAGGCCTTGATCTTGTACTGGAAACAGTTAAAAAAACATGAAGCTATTAGTATATCTACATGTATGATAAATATAATGTGGTACAGGGAGATTGATTTGTGTGGCATATGAAGAGTTAAGTTTGATTGTAATATATTATGAAAGGAAAATCCAAAAATATAATGAATATAAAGTTGAATAAAAGCTTTGTAATACCCCTGCCCTGAAGAACACACAGAATAGCTACTTGATACATGTAAGTACGTCTAATATTTCAATACATTTACAAATTGTAAAATTGAGTTGAGAAACTTGAGATAGATACTTTGATGAGTTGCCAGTTTGAGATCCTAATCCTAAGGTGACGATGTCGTCGTCCTAAGATTCCTGACTGACCCTTTGTGACCCTTTGTGACCCTTTTGATGATGACGTTTCAACCACTTCTATGCTGATCATAGGGATGAACTGTGCAGATGTTCATGCCAGTAATATCTTTTATGCCGTCAGCCCATGAAACTTTTGGCCTACGGACGTTTCCGTGACCCTCGACAAGACCTTGGGTAATGATCTTCTGAGACTTTGTCTTATTTCTTGTGAGCTTCCACCACCATCCACAATCAGAGGGCCCAGGAAGTTGAGTGTTGACAACAGTGGATAGAAAACGTCAGTACTGAAGAAGGAATCTTATACTTGAGGTAATTCCAATCATCAAGGAAAAGCTGAAATAATGTAGATGTAGTACTTTTGAATACTAGTAAATGTCATGTCATGCTATCCTGTAAGTACTTAAGATTTGTTTTTTAGTAAATTAGACTTGTAAATACTGTAGACTTGTTTCAGTACCAATACATTAAACACTTCTAAAACCGAGTTGAGATAGATACTTAGCTGAGCTGCCAATTTGAGTTGTTAAATTCCAAGACAGCAGTTGGCGGGATACATACATTTTATGTACATGTAGGTACTGGAGAGGGAATCTAAACCTCTGGTACATTTAATCATTCGGGAAGATAAGAGAAATAGAGTAGAAATGATGAAGATAGGAAGCATTGTAGTACTACTGTTTATATTTTATAACTATAAGGGCTACACAATAGTGCTGTAAGTACTCAGTAAGTACTTTTAATATGCTCTAGTACAACAATTACACTTAACAATAAACAATGACTTGAGTGAGTTGCCAATTTGAGTGGGGCAATGGATGGATTACAATAATGATTTAACACACAATGACGAGTGATACTGAAATGGGAATCTTAACCCTATATCAACACTATATTTTTAACCTCTGCAGAAGAAGAAAAAATTGACACCAAACATTCAAGTAGAAAAGGGGAAAATCAACTATAAATGTACTCCTTAATGTAGCTATTTTTGTCTTCATTTTTGTACAATATAGTAAAAATTGGAATGCAAATGCTTTTATATCAATTTTCCAACTCTTTCAACACAAAAAAGTCAAGCACCAATCTAATCCAGGATCGTCCAATACATGAAACTTCTTTCTGGCTTTCAAATACAATAATATTAACCAAGATTCATTGCTCGGATTCGTTTACAAAATACATGAAGATAGCACACAGGAATATCAATAAGACTTGAAGTATTAATAACTAGGAATATACAGACATTAGTTTTCTCTTTGTATTACATTAGTACACATAAGTATGGCAGTACCACTGGGAAGAGTACATACATGATAGCTGCAAGGGGATAGTTTGAAAAGAGAACTTTCCTTCTGTTATTTCCTTCTTTTAATATCCCTACGAATACATAACTGAGTTGAAACGAGTTGAATTGATAAATATTGAATTTAACTTAATATGTTGATTTCATTGTACACCCCCCCCCCCCCCCCCCTCACCCTTCAAGGAGAACATCTCAGTCCCACATATACCCTGTATGTACAAAACTTGATAATAACACCAATCACTAGCTTTATAGACACTGGTCCATCCAGTTAAGTATTAAACATCATAGAAAGTGAACCATGTGTGAACAGATGTGAAATACACATAACCAACACAATGTGGAGATGAGAAATGGTCTTTGTGAAAACATAGAACATTTTCTATAACTTCTTCTTAAGATAGATCAAATCATGACTCAAGTACGATTTGCAGACACATATCTGCACAAATGACAAACAATGTACATGGAAATACAAAGCCATTAAGTATGTGTCCTCCTTGAAAATGAGGTCCAACTTTAATAGACCACAGGCATTTATGTATGCATTAAAGCAGGCAAGATGACATTATCTTTCCTTCCTTCCTTCCACCCTCTGTTCTCTGATATTGCACCATATAAAACAAAACAAAAGCAAATGAACATCCAGAGGTTTTCAACGGCTTACTGATATAGTATGGCAAACATAACCAGGGGCATGCCACAGAAAGTGAAAGAGATGGAGAGATTAATAAGATTGATAGCACAGTGAGAGAGAGAGAGAGAGAGAGAGAGAGAGAGAAGTAAAGAGAAAGGAAAACAAGAGAAAAGAAGACAAGAGGAAAGAAGAAAGGAAAAGAAAAGAAGAGAAGAGGAAGAATGGAAGGGAAAAAAAGACGGAAGAAAAATGAAGAGGGGAGAGCGAGAGAGAAAGAGAGAGAAAGAAAGTGGAAAAGTCACTGATATAAAAGGCAGAGTTTAATTGTCCAAATGAATCCTCATCTGAAGCTGATATTGGTCCAATTAGCAATCAGACCCTGGCATTACTATCACAGCTGACATCTTTTACTTAATGACAAATTAATAAACTGGATATCTTTGTTTGCACAACCTCTCAAGATCTCAATTAGCAAGCAATATGTTTGCACTTAAGACCAAAACTTAATTTCAAAACACTGCCACATCTGCTGAGTTTTGCCTTTATCTGCTACTTCATTTATCCTCTCTTAATACTGCTTTTTCTTTCGCTCATCTACCATTTGCCCTCCACAACCATTCTGGATCTACCAGTCTCCATCTCTCGGCTGTTCCCATGGTAACCGCTTCTTAAACGATGAAGTCTTTATACCAATCCATTTCTCGAGATGGCTCAGATGCGATCACTCGGTGACACCGGTTTTCCTTTCAATTCCATGTCTTGTCTTGTATTCTCCTCATATCATCCTATTCATCGAGTCCAATGTGACTGCAGCAAGGCATTCAACCAGTTCACAATGGCTCCTTCTCACTTCTCTATCTCAAAGGATGCAAAAAAGAATTCCAAGACACGCCCACCCTCAGCATTCCGTGCACTTTCCTACCCCTACCCCGTGCGGTATCGAGCCGTTCCCCGTCAGGCTGCCGTTGCGATCCTTCGGTGATGATGAGGGTCCCGTTACTATGGGTACCTCTACGCTACCGCCGGCTCTATTTCCCCCATTGCTAGCTCCCTCTGGTTTGTTGTTAGACATACTGGTATAGAGGTTCTCATTGTTTTTTGCATTCTGATCTAATATAGAGACAGTCTCAAGCTCCTTGGAACTCATATCAGCAGGGGCCGCGCTGGCGTTCAGCTGCTCGTTGAGGAAGAAGCAGTTTTGGGCAAAGGAATCACGGAGAAGGCCATAATCCTGCAAGTTAAGTATTATCTCGCCAAACAACGGTCTTAGCTTCTCCTGATACTGCCAGCAGGCCATCATGATTTCTTGCCTGGGATTAGGGTGAGAGAAAAGCAGAAAGTTAAATAGTGAACAGTAATTCATATAATGACACCCCCCACCCCCCACCCAACTCCCCCATACTTACCCACATGAGACTAAAATCTAAATTGACTACTTTGTATTAAACTGGGAACAACAAAAATGGGAGGAAACTTTGCCTAAACAAGTTGACCACAAATCTTTTTAAAGATATTAGAATACAGAGGGCACAAAACAAGTTGTTTCAATAATCATTAAGCTTAAAAAGAGAGGGGTGGAACCCGATATCTCCTAAGAATAGCAAAGCATACAGACGAATGAGAACTCAATGTCTTTCACTCAGAGTAAATCACAAGAATGAATGAACAGAAAGTCAAAATCACTCAATATTAACCTTACATACATGTATATTTCACTACAGGAACAAATCATTAATTATTTTCTGGACAGAACAAAACACAAAAAGCATAACTAGAGAACTAGTTAACAGTTCCTTTTATCAGACTTTGTACAGTATACATCTGCACTACACCTCAACCAGGGGCATACGCAGGGGGGGGGGGGGTTGACCCCCCCCCCCTCAATTTTTGTTTTAATTTATATAAAAAAAATTGTGCTAAAGGGTGACAAAAAAAAAGGACCAGACACTGGCCAGTACTGGAAGTGAAGAAGAAGAAGAAGACGACTTACATTTTTTCTGGGCAGTTTTCTGGTGGTCGTAGTACATTGCCTCCTTTGATATATTCTCCAGCTTCTTCGTTTGATAGGCCTTGGTAGGGCAGCTCTCCTAATGTTGCCATCTCCCATAATAAAATACCAAATGACCTGTGCACGGTGGGGGATGACAAGAATAGTTTTGAGGAACTTGTTTTTATGTGTGTTTGATTGAGAAGATACATGTATATTAGAGAAAGAACAGTTGCTTTGTATAAAAGGCTTATGACAAGGATAAGCAGATAAGGAAAGACGCATACAGAGAGAGAAATTATAAGTTTCAAACTTCTCTTGAAAAGGGAGATACATGTATAAAGAAAGATGAAAAAGAATTACATGAGAAATAATTAAAAATTAGAGAAAGATAGTAGCACATTCAGAAAAGAAAACGCATATATAAATGCAAGGATACAAGACTTCTCACAACAAAACCACTAAATCTATCACTACAATTATATCATTAGAAGTCCTATTCTTCTTATAATGTTTCATATGACTGTTTGTTTGTCTTATTGTCTGCTCACCAAATATTTGTACAAATGTCTGTTTGTCTAATTGTGTACAAACCAGACATATGAGCTTTATGTTTATGAGACATATGTTTTGAACACACCGTTCTTGACAGACTAAAGAGCCATCCATATGATATGGAGCATGCTACTTTAAATGTTATGTATGTCTGTTTGTCTGATTGCTTGTCTAATTGTCTGTTTGTTTGTTTGTTTGTTTTATTTTCTGCATAAAAAAAATACAACATGCATTCAGTAAAACACTGAAGACATAAAATAAAATAAAATAAATGGCTGGATAGCCTATATTCAGATGCCGCTGGTCTTCCTTGGGACCAGAGGGAAATGTCTGTCTGATTGTCTGATGATCTATCTGATTATCTGTCTGAATGTCTGTTTTTTTGTGTCTGATTGGTACTCACCAGACATCTGAGCTTGCTTGGAATACACCATCCTTGACAGATTCTGGAGCCATCCATCTGATAGGTAGCATTCCACCTCTCTCCTTACGGTAGTAATCAGACTGATAGATGTCTCGTGCTAAACCAAAATCTAATCGGAAGAAGATAAGGAGAAAAATATAGAAAATACTGATTGAGCATACTTAAAACCATCAGGCTTACACCAGTAGGAGATGAAAAGGTAATCATTTGGTTGTATATTCTGTAATTATCAACAACAAAACCAACAAGACCTATGCCACAATAATGAGACTCCCTTATTTCTCTTCTATCCCCATCATTAAAAGAAGTCATCATCATCATCATCATCATCATCATCATCATCATCATCATCATCATCATCATCATCATCATCATCATCATCATCATCATCATCATCATCATCATCATCATCATCATCATCATCATCATCATCATCATCATCATCATCATCATCATCATCATCATCATCATCATCATCATCATCATCATCATCATCATCATCATCATCATCATCAATATATCCTTATCATCATTATCATCATCACCATGATCACCAATTCGCCTGTCTGACACCGCCTTGTGATTCCTATGATGTTTTACAACATTGTTCTTCATCATACCTGCTACTTTACACGTTCCCTCTCCGGATACAAGACAATTCCTGGCCGACAGATCTCTGTGAACGTATTTCCTGGCTGCTAAGAAAGACATCCCATCAGCGATCTCAGCGGCCATGTTGAGGAGCTGCTCTAGGGTAGGGACGCTCTTACGATCTATCAGCTGATAGGTGAAGGAAGGATGGGATTGGAGAGAAAAAAAAGAGTGTGTTAAAGTAGTCACCCGAAGAAACTCATGACAACTGATAATTATGGACAAATTATACATGGATGTAAAGATTTTCTCTTGAAAAACATGAATAATTTGCTGGAAAATAATATACATATCATGGAAAGACGTAAATGCTTTGGGGTTAGCTGTGTCTCGCATGTGACGTCACAAATCTCTACGGAAGACCGCTGAAGGCAGAAAAGCTGGATCTCAAAATTAACATTTTTGAAAAATGATTACTGCGGGCCCCAAACATATTTTGAAGAGAAAAGTTGTTATATTTGATCAGTAAGGCTTCCCCTTCGCAATCATATGAATTTTGAATCAATTCAAAACACTTTTGATTCTTCAGGTGACAACTTTAACATCATCGCAATAATCACTACTCCACTGTCTCGCAGTCTTGAATGATTTGAAAGACATGATAGGGTCACAAGATTTGGTCAGTAAGTTTACAATTCTCATGAAAGTGGTGTATTAATTAAAACAACATCATGAACAACAACAACAAGGTTGCTTCATTAATGTCAATATACAAACAGCACTGGGGGTATCCATAAATTGTATAGTGGTATCTTGTAAACTGTATCAAAATTATCCTGTTGATTTTATCAATATTCTTATACAATACTCTGGAAAATGTGAGCAATTGTTCTTTAACTTACTGGTAAGTCTTGTTGGTTCTCAGGTCTCCTTGCTCTCAACCAGTTTTTGAGGTCACCCTGCGCCATGAACTCCATTATGACGTATGTTGGTTGACCTTTTGACACAACGCCTAGCAACCTCACGACATTGTGTGCATCAATAAGTCTGAAATAAGAAGTGATTATAAATCAGTATTATACCTTCAATATTCACATCATCAAGATCATTTCATCTATGTCTTGATCATCTATGAGAGGTTCATTTTCACCTCCATACCATGGTTATCATTTCAATTTCTTCTACCACCATCCTCATCCTCATCACCATAATCATCACCATCATCCATCTCATCAATCATTAAAGGCATCGTTTAACAATGTTAGATCTTTTGATCTTGATTTCCAATCATTATTGATAATCAGACAGGCGATCAGCTTGTAAAAGTCATGGGGTTCCTAACTGACCTAAAGTTTTATAATTATCATTGCAGCATGAGCTAAATCCAGGATTTTGTTTCAGAATCTGAGACAAAGATACCCAATCCCTTTAAGGAACTACCACGAATGATACTCACTTCATGACGGATGCTTCATTCAAGAACTCAATCCTGTCTCTCATGGAAGCGTTGGCCTGAACAGACTTGATTGCCACCCTAGAGATCTCTTCTTCCTCCGGTAGGATGCCCTTAGCCAGACCCTCGTACACCATACCAAAGCTGCCCTTGCCTAGCTCTCGGATGATCTCTAGCTTGTCACGGGGGAACTCCCACTCATCGGCTACATACACTGAGGAAATTAAACAAATTAGATCGGAGATGATTAAATCAATGACATTTCTCAAATAAGATTTTGCATGTATGGGAGGTTCCCTTCAAAGAAGTGTCTACCATTCTCTCGGGGATATAATCTGTTTTTTTTTTAACCAGAACAGCAACAACAAAACAAAAATACATCCCCTTACAAATTTACCTACAAACAAAATGAAACAACAGTTGTTCAGCCAAATAAAGATACTGTTTTTGAACATGTTATATTTTCCTTTTAAAATTTCTACATGTGAATAAATGTTTCTTATCAAAGTAATTGAGATCTCATAGACTTAAATCCTAAAATTACTTTACAGATATCCTTTTCATCATGACATTCTGTCTTAATGATCAACTTCAAGTTAGAATATTGCTTCCAATAATCATTCTCGTTGAGCTATAGACTGGTTTCCTAACACATTCAAATTTTATGCATAATTTTTAAACATAGGTTGTTCTTGATACCTAAAAGCTTGCCCGATGCTTACCCGACATAGCAACAAGTTATAAATGCACACCGGATTCTGAGTATTGTATTTGATTTGTAAATAATAGGTTAATGGAATTAACTTGTCAGTAGGTCGGAGGTCCCCAAAATAGAAACATCCATGAATTTAAATGTATTAAAATCCTGCATATGAATTTCACAAAACTTCAACAAAGTGTACCAAGAAATGACTTATAATCAGCAAACTTACTATCACTGGTGCTCATGTATTCTGGATTGACAGACGCATAGAGAACACCATCAGGCATTTGGTCTTTACGATAGCTGTGAAAAGGAGACAAAAAAGAATATAATCCGTTATCAGCCATTCCAAAAGAATCTTTTCCAAAATTCAATGTATGATCAAGTCTATGTAAAAAGAAACTTAGGGAGTTGTTGGTGAAAATATTCAGTGAAACCTAAGGCAATCAAATGAAATTAAAATTAATCTAAAAAAAAAAATTTGTCAAATAAGAATTGCATTGTTAATGACAGCTAGTTTTACTGCAATTTTTGTTCTCGTAAAATTTCAAATTGCAGTGGTCATACACAATTGTATTTTGTCAAACCATTGATGTAGTCCAATAACTTACTGCCATCTTAGGAAGATAATGATGAAGACGATGATGATGATAACTGCTGCAATGCTGACTGCTATCGTTACTCCCATCATAGGAGGTAGGGCTTTATCAGGTTCATACGTAGGATCTAAAGGAAGACAGAAGTAAATCATTTGCTTAATGTCATTGGTTATTTCAGAAACTTATCTAATACATTTTCAAGCTACCAAATGAATTCCAGTCAAAATTCATTTATTCATTCCTCCAACAACAGCATTGTGAGTTATAAACTTAATAATGCAATAATTCATCAAATTTATTGATTATTTAGATGGAATCATGTGGTGACTTCTCATAAAAAGGTAATTAGACTTCATATCATAATCTTTATTTACTGTATTTCAAAAATGAAAAAACAAATTCTTGATGGTTTAGCAGAGAGAATGAGAGGGCATGAGGCATACTTACTGTTTGTTATATCAGGTACACTGAACATGACAGGTTTGGTCCACGGACCCTCGCCAGCGAGTGATACCGCCCTCACCATCGCTGTGTAGTTACCGACCTTTAACCCCAGTAGTTCCGCTCCTAACACTCGTTTGTAACCCTCTGCTGACACACATTCGGTGTTCTCTGTTGACTGTGTCTGAAGTAAAAAGAATAAAATGAAACATCCTCAATAACATAGACTTTATAGTAGGCTTACGGTAGCACCATGTGAGAGAGGGGGAGGATTGGGATGTCCTGAAAAGGACAGTCGGTAATGGTATGGTATGGTATGGTATATTTTATTTATTCACGGTTAAAAAACATAGTACAATTGTGCCCGCATTCAGCAAAAGCTGTTTTTCAGCAGGGCCGTGATTACATATAACAGAATATAAAACAATGAAAATACGATTTACAAACAAATATGCAAGTTATAATAAGTGAACATATTTACAGAAATTGAAGTACAAAATAGAATCATAGTGATTGAGTGTGTGTAGTCCTGAAAAGAACTGTTGGTAATCTTTCCTGCGCTAATAGTTTTAAAGAGAACTATTGCAACGGTTGGAGAGGATGGGTAGTAGGAGGGGCTCGACGTTTCGAACAGGTTGACTATCAGGAGACTGTTTTGACTACATCCAAAGGTCGATATTCTGAATGAATGTGAGGAGGGAGGGGGCTAAAATTGAATGACATAATTAAATAGGTACAAATTAGTAGAATTGCCTCCAACAAGGAAGGCATGAGGCATTTTGCAAGGCTGAAATCCAAATAAAAATTGTTATCCTAATGAAGTTTTTCCCCTTCCCCTGCAGGCTTTGTAAGACTAGGTTTAACCTGCTAGTAGACAAGTACAAGGATAGTTTCAAAGCCTCATATTATCAAAAATGGAAATTACTTCTAGCAGGTAACAGCATCTTCTCTTTCATAAAAGTTAACATGAAGTAAAAAGTCAAATAGTGAATCACTTTATGGCGATCATTTTTAAATGAATAAGATAATACATGTATCTTAATCACATAAGACCTCTACACGATGAAATGATATGTAATTTTTAAGTTTGTTTTGTAATTTTTTGTTTGTTTAATATGTAATTGTTTATCATTGTATTTTGTTTGTTATAGCGCTTAGAGATTTCGGTGGTAAGGGCTTTATAAGCACCGTTTTTATGATATTTATTATTATTATATTGATTCAGGTCAGGACATACCACTGGTTTAGGTGTTGAATGGCTCTCTACCACTGTATACGCATCACGTTCATCTCCGACATCATCGACCTCCACATCCATCATCTCAAACCTAATCTCATGGATGACGATGATGCCATTAGGGTTGCTAGGCTCGGCCCAAGTCAGGTGGACTCTGTCTGTTGAGGTGTGGTTTATCATCACGGCAGACTCGATCTGGTCGGCTGATTCTGTGAGCAAAATGAGAAATACCAAGTGATAGGGCGCCCATCCTAGCCATAGTAAATGCTGCCACCTTTATTTGCTATCCCCCTCCAATGTTATTTTTTGTCCTTTTTTTTTTTGGTCTTTGGGGGAGGACAAAAGAAGAGAGGAGTACATTTGAATTTCAAAATCAATTAAGTACTGTATATCTTTCATGTGAGCATGCGAGTTCCTGTGCATTCACAAATGTTCATCATCATTATTATTTAAAGTGGGGCGGTCGGCAGTTTCCACGTGCAGAAGTTCATAATTCGCTGACACCAGACTTGATGGAAACCATTAATGGGTTTACAAGCCTGCCACACATCAAACATTCAACAAATACTCCCTCGTCTCTTGAAGAGTCTTCAGGTGGTGCAAATATCAGATGAGGACATATGGGGAAAAGACATTACGTCATTACATAAAGCTTGTTGGTCATAAAACTAAAGGCTTATCCTAGCGATTGACAACAACACCTTTTATTGGGTAAACACTTGAACAAAAGGTGTTGAGACCCCACTCCCCCCCCCCCCCTTTACAGTCAGCATTTCCCTTTTACGAGGGGTTACTGACATTCACGTCATGATGACACTCTCTCCCTCCACTTCTTCTTGTCTGAGCATTCATCTCATTTAGACCAACCTTACTGCTTCACCATATCTTTCCATGAAATCTGTTATTTTCATGAAAACCACGCAAGCCTATAGAAAAGGGGGTTGTCTGTTTTAAGAAAAATAACATCACATACCCTAACCTTAGCTTAACGTGAGAATCATAAAGACATCGTAGAGCAGTGTAATGGTGCTGCTTGCAAATTTAAGAGGAAAACTATGTTTATTCATTGAAATAAAAAATGTTAAAAAAAGGTTTGGAATATGTTATACAATTTTTTTTGGAACAAAAATCTAGAACAAGGCTTCGATTGCATTGGGACACTAACAGAAATGTTAATATTGAAGGAATAGAGACTAAAGCCTTATTGAGATCTGACGCGGCAAAACCGCATCTTTTTAAAAATTTAAATGATGACGCTAAGTGTTATACAAGTCATTTTTCTGTATCTTATAACACAGAGTTAAGTGAATAAACGTAAGACAGTTGCCATTCATTTACACATCAGAAAACCATGGCGGCTTACCGCCGCCATCATATCTTAAGTGTGACCAACCTTTAGGCAGTGAACGTCCATACATGGCCGCAGCACGACTGCAATCCTTGGAGTTACAGGCTTGCAGGGTGATGAAGTACTCTGTGAAGTGCTCCAACCCCGTCACATGGAAGGACTCCACCAGTCCGATGACTCTCTCCTCCACCCTCGAGGGGGAGGTGGTGGAAGCGTTCACCCCCGTAGCAGGGCTGCTGGGGTACAGGGAGCCATTGAGGTTGAATCCAGAAGTGGGTGTGGTCGGTATAGGGGTGATGAAGCTAGTGGTGGTGGGCGTCGTCCCTGCATCCTGGATAGCGCTGCCTGGGACATCTCGTTTCTTGCGACGCCGCGTGTCAGGTCTGTTATAGAGAGGATTTGGAATGCAGGATGCACAAAATATTAGAGAACTAGTGTTGCTTCCTGGTAGATCAAGTTACACCCTACCTGTTCCGGTATAACAACTGCAGCAAATCCATTGCATGAAAATCCATCGCTTGAAAATCAGACATGATTCTATTCCAAATATGGCATAACACTCAACAATCTCACGATGCAGATTACATAGACTCCTTGGTATATTGTATAAAAATGCCACAATGAAAACAAGTATTTGATCTTGCACCAAAATAAAAGGTAGAATGCATCACAAACTGTTGTGCATTTGGAAATTATGCATTAAATACATGTACAAGTGATAAAAAGGGATTGTGAATTTTCACATGCATTACAAATAGAAAACGTAAAAATCCCATACACCCTGAAAGTACAAAGCAAATAAAACTTTATGAAAACTGTGCCCACTTTTTAAAGCTGAATTTTCACTTCATTTCCTAAAAGACATACAGGTTAACATTAAGATACTGCGATGAACCTGAAGTTGAACAGAACATGTCAACAACAACAAAAAATATATAAATTGTGCTAACTTTCAAATTGACCAAACAAATTGCAAGATTGTGTATAACAAGAAGCTGTTTAGAAACACACACCAACCCTTGATACAGTAAAGCAGTAATCTAATGCAGACCACAATATGTGAACACTGAATTTTGAATTCACTTTTGGATATTCCACTTATCTAAACTGTTCATCACTAATGTACTTTCAAGAAAGACAATTTATTCTTTGAAGGTTGTAATTAATCCACAAAGTAATTTTGATTAAGTCACGTTATATAGATTTCACTCAGCGACATTTCATTCTACATAATTTCTGAACTAAAAAGCACTTTACAGTATTTGAGTAGTACCTGATTAGTTATTTTCCCTGAACCTTCCCCTCCTCCCCCCCCCCAAAAAAAATGCCCTAAAAACAGTTTGTAGCCCGATTCATTTTGTAAGAACCATCCTTCTCTCCTAAACAGTTTTTCTTCTTCTTCTGAGCAAACTAACCTTCTCATCAAATAAGAGAAAAGGGAATTTTTCATCAATAGATTTGTAAGGAGGATGAATTAAACAATATATCTTTTTGTTTTGAAGAAGTCTTTACAAAATATTCTATTCTAGCTGGAAATAAAAAGTTCTCAAAAACCACTTCCAGATATAGTACATTTTGTTGACAACATAGTGCAATAAAAACCGATTTTAAGCATGGCTAACAAATCAACATGCCGACACCAAAATATTGAAAAATACAAATCAGCATCATGAACCCGCAGAACAGTCATATACAGACAAATTTCAAAGTGCATTAAAAACCACAATGGTGCAATAATTTGGGGATTTTTTGGGGGGTAGCAACATGCAAGCATGAACAATACACATTTTTTTTGCATACAGATTGCATTATTCATTCATTTTTTTATGGCAAGCAAGCTAAAAAAAAATCAAGCATATTAGTAAGTGCAGGGCAGCATTCACATTTTGAATATATATTTATATATATATATAATAATTGTTTTTCCCTCGAAGGAAAGTGACAATTAGTACATACCTACTAATATTAATGTAATCCCTGGTTAGTGAACGTGAAGTGAAGGCGAGACAAGAAGAGTTAAACATTAGTCAAAAGATGATAGGGATGAGGGAAGGTAACCATAGCAACCTGGTATCGGATGGAGGATGAGGGGGATTGGTGATGGGAGAGTAAAGATGAATTAGGGGAGGGGGGCATGAAGGTTAACAACAGTCCCACATACTTCAAATGAGGGGTGGGGATAAAATGTTAATACAGATACAAGTTGAGATATCTTAATGATCATAGTTAAAGAAGGGTAGAGAGAGATTCTGCAGCTGTACAGCGTGAAGCTTCACAGGAATAGGAAGAGGAATAGGAAGATGAATAAGTCTTCTTTTTTTTAAGACCATGAGGATTTCTTTTTTAGTATTCTACATCCCAAACAATATGTTATACACATATTCTGCATGAAATGAATCCTTGAATTGGGGGATTGTGAAGTAAAATTGTACAAATCAAGACAAAGAACAATTGAAAATGAAAACATGATTAAGAAATAAAATGGAAAAAGAGAACAAGGGGAGAAAAACAACAAAACTATTGAAGTAATAATCATAACAGAAACTAAGTAAGGCTTAGGAAATATTACGTTATTGGATTAAAAAATGACAAGGGTAAAGTTTATGACTGGAGAGAGAATAAGATGTAACTTCCTAGACCTGTAACAGATTAAAATCACTGAGAGCATGGGAGATTTGAGATGAAGAGAAGAAATGGATAGATGGCCAGATGAATTGGATGGTACCTGATTGAGTGAAAGAAAAGAATAGATGGAGATACACAGATGATGAATTAGTGGTTACATAAAGGCACTAATGTCTTTTGGCATGACATTCATCTACATTTGTCACTCTCCACCCAGGTGATATTGCAGGAAGAAATTCCTCAAACTGCCATGTGATCCTTTTCAGAGAAGCTCGGCTTAGCCTAATGCCAGTGTAATAATAGTACGGCTCTTAGAAACATTAGTATTAAGCGCAATAGAAATTTTACTATTGTTATAGTAGATTATAGATAGATGAATGAATATATGGATAAACAGATAGATGATCATAAGGATGGATGGATGGATGGATGGAGTGATAGACAAATAGATTGTAGATAGACTGTTTGACAGTTGGCAGAAGGATGAATAGAAATAAAGATGGATCGATTATTGGAATGATTGTTAATAACAGGTGTTCTACAAAAACATAGAGGGACCGGGATCACATAAGATATTCAATTCATTTATCGCATATTTGAAAACATAACAGTTTGTGAGCTGAGAGTCAGAAGGGCGTAAATTCACATCATTTAATACAGGGTTAATGACCTTCTGGCTCTCAACAGATGAGATTATGAAATTCTTGTTAACACTTTTTCTTACTTGTATCAATGCAAAGAAGAGAAGTGATATGCACCAAAATGCAATTTACATTCAATAATCATTCAATTTCTTTGAAAACAGAATTCTTGAGAGAAAACATCAAAAGAGTAAAAATATCAAGAAAGGATACTATTATTATTTGAAAGATGTATTTGTTTATCTTCTAAGTTTATTCAGCCATCGATGAGATTTACCTGTTTTTTAAAAACACATATTAAAATAACATGCTTTATGCAACATATTATTTTATCTTTCATAATCACTGAAAAACTAAATGATGAATCTAAAACCAAATTGGGTCTGTGGTACATGCAGTCATGCCCTGGATTGCAGTTGACATGCAACAACATGTTTTTGAATATCATTATCATCGCTTGCATAAACAACCTCATCCATCACTCTCAGTCTGGGTTAACGGTGAGCTAAGCTCAAGTTTGCTGCTGATTTTTTGCTAGAAATTGAGAGAGAAACAGAGATGGAAAGACAGATCCGAGTGGTGAGGAGTACAAGGGAAGAGAAAGGGCTAAGAGAAAGGAGTAAGAAAAAGAGACAGGGAGAGGAGAGGGGAGGGAGAGGGGGAGAGAGAGGGGAGAGGGAGAGGGGCAGGGGAGAGGGAGAGGGGAGAGGAGAGAGGAAGAGGGGAGAGGGGAGAGGGGAGAGGGGAGAGGGGAGAGGGGAGAGGGGAGAGGGAGGGGAGAGGGGAGAGGGGAGAGGGGAGAGGGGAGAGGGGAGGGGAGAGGGGAGAGGGGAGAGGGGAGAGGGGAGAGGGGAGAGGGGAGAGGGAGAGGGGAGAGGGGAGAGGGGAGAGAGGGGAGAGGGGAGAGGGGAGAGGGGAGAGGGGAGGGGAGAGGGGAGAGGGGAGAGGGGAGAGGGGAGAGGGGAGAGGGGAGAGGGGAGAGGGGAGAGGGGAGAGGGGAGAGGGGAGAGGGGAGAGGGGAGAGGGGAGAGGGGAGAGGGGAGAGGGGAGAGGGGAGAGGGGAGAGGGGAGAGGGAGAGAGGGGAGAGGGGAGAGGGGAGAGGGGAGAGGGGAGAGGGGAGAGGGGAGAGGGAGGGAGAGAACGGGGGAGAGAGGGGAAAGAGGGAGAGAGGGGAAGGGGCAAGAGGGGGAGAAGGAGGGGAGAAGGAGGGGAGCAGGAGGGGAGAAGGAGAGGAGAATGATGGGAGGGAGGGAGGGGAGGAAGACAGATGGAGAAGGGGGACAGAGAGAGAGATAGGGAGAGCGAGCAGACAGACAGACAGAGAGGGAGTGGAGGAGGGAGGGGGAAGGAAAGACGCGACAAGTTTGGAGGGGGAGAAAGAAAGAGAGAGAGAGAGAGAAAGGTGGCGGTGGATAGAATATAAACAGGTTGTGAATGGATAGTTTCAAGTAGTACAAGAAAAAGGCACATGAATAATAAGGAGAGTCTACAAATGCTCGGTGTGTCATGGTGTTTAACATAATTACAAGTATTATTCTATGTCAGAAGAATACAGTGTGAAATATGTATTATAAAATTATCTTTTCTGACGGTACATAATACCTCTAAAATTCCTCATATGAAAATCAATTTCTAGGAAAGACAGACATAGTTTAAAGACCTTCTTCAAAAACTCCCTTCGCTTTTGGTTTTGTAAGTTATTTTTTTCACCCCTTGGAAGCAAGAAATTTGAAACCTAGACTCACTAAAAAAAAATCTGTGCTATTTTTAGCTTCTTTGGATATAACAATTGAATGGAAAAAAAATGTCTTCCTTGAAATGATTTAAATATATTCATGATGAAAGTTATTACTGTTGACTTGGAGTATTCTTTCAAAAGAAATTAATTTGCTACATATTCCTATACTAAAGTGTATTTCATCGGTTTCATCATGGTTGAAAAGCAGCTTCACAGACCAAGGAAAATTTTTTCATTGTTTCATGTTTCTATAAATAAACTGACTTTAAGTGTTGAGCAATATGGACCAGCCACTTTAAAACACACTCTCTCAAACTCAAACAAACAAAGTCATAAAAATGCAATCAATCAGGTAATCTAGCTTTAAATCTTTGTCTCTCCGAAAATATCCATCAATTCTCCAGGCACTTCAAAAAGACCCACATTTTTTGCAAATATCATAAATGTATAAACAAACAATATTGTTATTGTCAGCTGGCGGGGAACGTGAGTTGTTATCTCATCGGTGAGTGACCCTGCTGGATCAGAAGGAAAATATTAACAGGAGGAAGAGGTGCATTTATAATTTCTTGTTAGCATTCTAGTCAGGCATACATAATATTAAAATTAATTCGGTGGTTATGCACAATGCAGATATTGCAGTTAGAGCATGCAACATGGCCTTCATTTTCTTTATTAGTATTACTCTCACCACCGTCACCACTGTTGTTGTTATCATCTTCATCTTCCTAACCCTTACACTTGTCAATATCCACACAGTCACCATCGCGACTATCATCAATCATCTTCAACACCATCATCACATAGATCATCTTCTTTTTCGTAGTCGTCATCGTCATCGTCTTCATCAACGTCGTTGTCATCATCCACGTCACCACCATCACCACTATCTATATCTCCATCACCTCCACTACCCAAACCATCCATCCCCTCATCATCAACACCATCACAACCATTGTTGTCATCATCATCTCCATTATCATCATCACCATCACCGTCATCGTCAACACCATAACAACCATCATCATCATCATCATCATCATCTTTATCATCTCTGGTTGCCATGCAAACAAACCAACCTCCTCTTGTAGATGGTATTATGAAGCTGGTTCTCAAAGTCCTTCTGGAAGCGTGCATCCTCCTCCCGTCTGGCTAGCTCATCCGGATCGATGGGGCACATACAGCATCCTGCTCCTACCATCGTGGTGTTGGTATCCTCATCTTCAGACGTCTCCATCTCGGTGCTCGACTCAGATTTCCGCAGATTTGGAAGTTCTGTAAAACAAGGAGTGAAATTAATAGTTTACATTATAAGAAGGGTTCTAGATCAGTTGACATCAAGTAGGCGTGCATTTATTTTTCCCACCGTGCAAAACATCTCCAATCAAAAATTGATAACCAATGCTCGATATCTGCTGATATGGCTTTCGCATAATTCAGCCAAATTTAATTTGTGCATAAATCTTGTCTTGATCTAGTTATATCTAACTTATGTGGCTATTGTGACTTAACCGAACGCTGTGCATATCACTAATGTGCATATCACTAATGTGCATATCACTAATGCACAAGGTTCAAACACAAACAGGGGCTGCAATATGAATTTTAAGTCAAGAAATGATTCAAGTCGTATGATTCTTACTTTCTCGGCAGAAATCTCTATCGTCAAACTGATGTATGGGCAAGTACTGAGGTTCCCACGTGATGATGTAGTGTGTCAGGTTTCCGTTGGGATGTTCAGGTGGTTTCCAGGTGACGATGAGCTCGGAGGAGGAATTGGAGATGACCTTCAAGCTGCTAGGAGGGGAAGCCTCTGTCAATTGATAAAGAGAAAATATATACATGTATGTATGTGAGGAAAAGCTTAGTCAAGCTTGAATAAGATGCACTATTCCATTCATATGAAAATTTAAAATCATTTTACTTTATTGAGATAGAGAGCTCATTCACAAGAAAGGGAAACATCAGAAAGTTTGAATTATGATATGATTCCAGGCTGAACACGCTGGATGGGGAAAATGCATTTGACACGTTAAGCTATCTTCATGAATAGATCACGGTCTAATATATAATCCCATGTAGACAAACCTTAAACAATGAATTGTTTGCCATTAGCCTGTTAAAATGTATTTTATTTTTCTCTGCATGGTGTGGAGTATCACAGTCAATTTGAAAACGGAATGCCTAAAATAAATGAAATTTCTAATAACACCATCGGCTACAAATCGTAGAAAAATTCCTTGCGCGTGTAACATAGAATCCTTTTGACAAACACTGACCACAAAAATATCAAATGAGGGATGTGAGTAACTTTGTATCCCACATAGACAACCTCATGGTCACTACTATCCTCTTTAAAAGCAACAATCTTCTAAATGCATCAAAACAAACATCTGTAGCATCATCCCTATTAGCCCCACATACTCACTTGCTTCCGGTGTCAAACGATACTCAATGTTACTCCTGGCACTGAACTGCGCCCCGGCGATGGTGTACGTTCGTACCATGAACGCGTACTGTGTCCATGGTTTGAGGTTAGAGACGAAGGTAGATGTTTCGGTCGGTGGGATGTACTGAACCTCCCAAAGACTGGTTCCGCAGGCATCCTCACCGTCTAACTCCGTCACGTTTCGTTGGGGTCTGATGGGGGTGAAAAATAGTACAAGAAAGTGTAGTGTGAAAGGTCTGACGGGGGTAAAAGTTAGTACAAGAAGGTTTGAAAGCTGTCTTGAATGACTGATGTCTTTCAAAATATTACAGTAATATTACAATACTACAAAACAATTTGCAAAGTTTAGAGTAATTATCTTTCTTTAATCCATACCTCCAATGATTCCCTTTTTTTTAATTTGGGAATTTATTTAAAAAATACAAATCAACATATAAACTTGAGCTGACATGATTAAATTACACACATTTGTAAATCTCTGTTGAGGACATGGGCTCATTGATAGAAGATAATGTCAACACAAGGAAACTTGGGAATTAATTCACAAAACCTTAACGTTTGAATTCACTGACATTCGAATACTAGTTCAGCCAAAAGGGATTAGACCACCCAGAGAGATGACTGACAGGTGGCTATCTCATTAACTAAGCTTTCAATTAACATAAGAAAAAGAGGATCATGGGGGACCAACAGGCACCGATTGGGAAGTTTTCTATATAGAGGGAGCAAGTACCTACAGGTAGTACAGTGGGGCTTTAAAGACTAGTGTTTTGATGGTATGGAGGCAAACTGTAATACATTCAATAACGATTTCATGAAACGCTGCCCTAGTACCTGAATCTGATTTTAACCCATTGTTTACAGGAACCGGGTGGTCCCTTCGTTAATGAGAGAATTCAATTGTCAATGGATTAATGTAACTTACGCTTCGCGATATGATAGGATGTAACCGACGATCTCACGCACATCTCCTTTGCCCTTGGGTGGCGACCAATGGACCATCAGAAACGTGCCAAAGAAATTAAACTGTAGATTCAAACGATGAGTGTTACCTACAGAATGAGAAGCCAAGAACAAACACATCATTGGTAGACGTTGCCAAATCAAAACTGAGAATTTTATTTTTAAATCACAAACAAGTAAAAACTGAAAGCTGTAAAATCCAGATTAAAAGGATTTTTCATTAACTTACCATCAAAACAGTTCAATCTCCTCTATTGTTTTCACTTTTATCCAAAGTTCATAAATATTCTGCAAATTTGTTTGTTTGTTTGTTTGTTTTTATTTCTGCATTTTCAAAATGAAACATAATCATATACATAAAGTAACAAATATTTCTTCATTTTACATAATTATACATTTTTTAAGTACATTGAATAAGATGCATACAAACACAAATATAATTTCAATGAAAAAAGATAAAATTACAGAAAATGCAGGAGACCGCCATCATGAGCGGTAAGCTTGAAATCGATGGCGGCCTCGAAATGAAATGATGATGGTGGACATTGCATCTACACATAAAATTTTGGAACTCAAAGAGTAATCTAAAATGTAATGCAACATGGCTTATTAGTTGTATTGAAAAAAGTACAAGAATGGAAGAAAACGCTGCTTATAGAGTATTCAATCAATTTCATACACAGCCTTGTGCATAGAAACAGCCACTCTATTCTAGCCTTTTTCAATGAATCATGACCTGTAAATAATCTCAGTCTCAACAAAGACTGTCCTTCCCAGTTACAATTATGAACAGACATTTTGGGTAATTTTCAGTCTCATCAGCGCCTTTGATTAGGCAACTAGATATTGGTGCTTTATAAATACCTGGATTGGATTTGATTTGGTTTGATTTGGTTTGATTGAATGCATCATTTACTCATTGACTTACAAGCTACTTGGTCTCCGTTGGACGAGAGCGAGACATCAACGTTACTAAGCGGCTCTTTGATGCCGGTGAGATTGTGAAGCTCCTCGATCTCAGAGTAGCACAGCTTGGGGTTGTAGTGGAAGAAGAACTTTCCGTTGACGATGGTGATGTTCGGATGCTGGGAGAAGTCAAAGAGTTGCTGGAGGTTGTTGTTTGCCAGGACGTAGAGGGAGTATTGACTGTAAGAACAATCAAAGAAAACAGGTTATGGTCTGGTACTCCTCTCAAATGTGAGGTATTAGTATAGAGATATTGACTGCTTTGAGAGGCCTGGTTGTTTTATATGCTCGAGGGAACGTGCACATATCCTGCCATGAACCCGAGGCGCGCCTGGGTCTTAAGACATACGTTCCAGTGACTATTGCTCTGCAGGTAATTTCTACTAACAACTAAACTGCTTACTTCAACCTCAGACCTAACACTTAAAGCCTATCTGCACTAGTTTGGCCAGGAGGGATAAGACCTCCCTGCATGGTCACTGGCAGATGATTATCTCATCAAATCAGCTCTCAAGTAACATAAGAAAAAGGGGACCATGGGGAATCAACGGGTACCGCTTCAATAGGCATTGTTGGCTATATAGAGGGCACAAGTAGCTACAAGTAGTGCAGTCCCGCACCGATGTAATCCCAAATTGCTCTATAACTATTACACAGCCCAATCCTATCCCTACATCATTGGTGAAATAAATCCCAAAGTAAATGTCAATGGAGCATATATATGTTACAACACCACTTTAATTATCTTTGTATGAAGGACTTGGCTTTGTCTCTGATTGTTTGACAAGTCATTAAACTCTACACTTTTCAACCGACTATCAAAGAATAATGTACTAATATAGTAACGTCAAGCTTTGTACCATCCACTCCAATTTTGGGGGGAAAACAGAACAGAAAAGCAAAAAAAAAAAACAACAAACATTCTAATTCCACATGACTCCCGGGCATGTATTGGTATCATTTTCTTAAAGTCTTATAATGCGAAATCTGAAACCAGCCAAGAAATGAAAAGCAGACGTCATTCAGAATGAACAATACGCTAGCACGTCAATAATGGTCTGCTAGATGTTCCCACTAGGTTTGTGAGTGAACTTTATTCTGACCCAGCTAAGTACGAGTACATGCTCTCAAAAGTGTATCATTTCTGATTAAAAAGAGAAAAACATGTACAGGTTTATAAACAAAAGACCAAAAAAATGGCATTTGATCCAAGATTTTGATGGATTTCATGCACGCAACTATACTATTTCACCCAGAAACTTCCTGTGCGGTACATGTATGGTAAACCATTGCGTACTGGAGCAGTGTGTTCCCTGTATCAAGCCTATGGCAATGAATGGATTCAGTAGTCAATGTTGCCAGTCTGATTACAGTAGAATGCAGCACAAAACTTTACAATATCAAAATTATGGGAAAATTTCGATAATACACCTGCTTGTATGTATTAAGGAGAATTATATAAAAAATTGTATCAACAGTACAGAACCTATAGCTCTTGAATATTGACTGTTTAATCAGATAACCACTCGGTTAACGTACATAAATGCATAGCTGCATGAAAGTACTATTTTCACAAAAGATTTATAATACAATAGTTGAATTGTATTTATTGTTACAGTGACAGGTTGCAAACTGAATCTATGATGTCAGCGTGAGACTGGAAAAAGATGAAAAATCTTAACGTCTTTTTACATCAGAAATGCTGCATGAATTAAATTTTGTTCGCCTTAACAGATCACAATCTTTCAATAACGCACTGCCCTAGGCAAATAAGTAATGAAGAAATAAATTGAATCAAGATTAAGATGCAAGGGTGAAGGATAAGCGAAATGGACAGTTTATATGTGGGTGAAATTCTTTAAGCTTGCAAGTTTAAATCAGGTTTGCAAAATGTTATTTCTGATCAGGAGTAGAAAGATTATGGATTTCTTATTAATTAGAACTGGAAAATCCCTAGGGTTCAACGAATGTCCGAATCTAACTAACTTGGTAAAATAATTTATAATCATTTAAACATTCAAATACCATAAATCCAGAATTTTTTTAGGCACAACAGTTTTGCAATTTGCGAAGGATGGCCAGGTAAAAGATGGATTAAAGTTAATGGTATTGAAATTTTTGTTTTCTTTAAAATTGTATTTTTGTGTATAATTTCAATATTTCTCACTCACTCACTTTTTGGAATTTTTACCCCGAATCCAGATGAAATTTAAAATGTATACAAGCAGTTTAAAAGAAGGGACTACAGGTAATAATATGAATATATACATTTTGATCAAAGTTTATCCATGGATGAGAGTTAAGTGAAAATGCATTAAAGAATAAATTGATTGGCAAATTCATGTCCCATCTTTCTGCATCACACTGAACAATTTATGGGCGGGGCTTGTAGAAGAAGAAAAAATCCCCGTTTTGTCAATAAAATGACATAGTTTACACTCTACATTAACATAAGCATCATCATTATCACATGAAATATCAGATACAGACATCAAAATGAAAGCGTTGGATGTCGTGTCTGTCACGCTGGAATTGCATTAATTCATATTTATAGTTTTTAAATAATATAAACATTTGAGAGCCCGACTTACTCCATTTCAAGTCCTCCATCACGCCCCTCTATCTTCCGAAGATTCCTGAGGAAGTTGAGGCTCACAAGAGAGTTGGCCCTGCGGACAATCAAGGCATCACTAATTACCTCAATCATGCCCAAATTTCTCTCCAATTCTTTCAACACATTGCCTGTGAAAGGAAAAAAAATAAGAAGGAGAAACAAAAGAGAAATTATAACAACCATGGCCAATTTATATCCAACATGTAAGTAAGAGGCATGGAAATCAGTTGCAGGAAACTGTTTGCTATTCATCTGCATGTAACCAAGTATGTTTTTTCAAACCTACAATTCTATCGGTAGCTTCTGTATGCAACTGGCATCTGGAATTCATGCACATTTTACAAACTAAGAACTACAATTGATATCATTGATATCATTATGCCATTGAGTTGCACACTGCAGATTTTCAAGACATAGTATATGCTGGGAGGGGGGGGGGGGGGGCCGGGGGGCACAACAAAATGGTCGTCCCTCTCCTTCTCCCCCCTAAAGAAAAGTTTCCTAAAGGTGACAAAGGACAGGGAGATAGAGGGAAAAAGATACATTAAAATGGTGCAATATACGTGAACATGATTACTTGTTCTGGCAGATCAGAACAATTCAACATTCAAATATATTGAAAGGAAATTAAGAGTGGAATGCGCATTAGGGGTAAGTACCAAATAATGGCACACAACTTGAAGCGAAGCGTTTTTACAGTAGTAACCATACTAGTCTTACTATTCCAGGTTTCGATGTTTTCTTCATTGGTTTCGTGCATTCAGACGGGAAGTTCAGTGAACTTTCCTTTCAGAAAGCATGATTGTAAATTTGATATAGAAAGTATAAAGAGAAGGCATGTACAAGCAGCACATTAACAGGCTAAAATCTTAATCCTTATGAGATTCATACGGTCACACTAATCACATTAGGGCTAATTTCCATGGCTCGTATTAGCAGGCTAATGAGAACGGGCCCCAAGTACATGTAGAACAGGGAAGGTTGGAAGACGGTGAGACGATGAGAAACCGGTGGTGACAAACAGATATATGAGCTTCTTGGCAATTAAGCATAAATTTAACTCTACTTCTGGGACTTCCCTAGCTGTATATAGCGCTATTACGCTTGATTGATCACCCAACTTCACTCTCATCGCGATGGGATTACTTGAGAGACGTGACGAGAAATTCCTGATAAGGGCAATTCCGTGCAATCCGTCCCCGTACGTAAAATTATCCATTATTTTATCCTCGATACGAACATGATGAATGTAACTGATACCAGAAAGGACATTAGTCCATTGAGAGATTTTTTTTCTTCTCCGTATTCGAACAAACAAAGGGACTTAGGTCGTACAGGATACATGGCATAAAATCATCCACAAGATGACTATCATCTTATCAAACAACTTTTGGAACTTGAAAAAAAAAAAAAAAAAAAAAAAAATGTTGATTTGTCTGTGAAGATTACAGATCTCTCTCCGACCCATATTCACTTTCTATAACATGTGGTTATCATGCAGTACTACTAGTAGGCCAATTGGCACATATTTTTCAATATCATACATTGCAATTGATGATTTTGTGAAGGAATCCTCCAATGCAATTTAATAGCAATAGTGACTTGGGGAGAATCAAAATCACATTCACACGTGTGGTAACCAGAAATAGTATTTCAATGAAGAGGTACCAACGACTTTGAACATGTAAGTCATGTCAGGTATGTCCTAACCTCGGCGTAAATGACATGATGAAAGCGCTCATTCGCCCTCATTCCATCGTGCCCCTATATATCCTCATCATTCTAATGGTTCCAACCGGCTACTGTCCCATTGATTGATGAATTAAACAGTCAGGACACATTGGTTTCGGTTTACCTGCACCCCATCCCAAATAACTAGCATACCGATTTCTCTCTCTCCGTCCTCCGTCTCCCTACATCCCTTTTCCCCCCTTGTCCGTTTCTCCACTGCCAGGCACTCTCTCTCAGCTCTCTGACCCTTCAAATTGGCACTATTATTGCTGCGCTCTGTTGAATAAACAGCATCCCCAGGTTAGACATGAGACAAACAAAGTGTGACCTTTGACCTGAGTAACATTAACTTAGAAGCTGATGACTCTTGATAGCTAGCTCCAGTAGGAAAAACACAATCTTGAAAACATGTGATCCTAAAGGCATGAACAAATATTTCATGAGCAGTAATATTTCATATCAAGTTTTAAAAGAGAAAAACTATTCAATAGGAATAAACATTAAAGAACTCACTGTTCTAAATATCCAGTTATCAACTTCAAGAAAGAATCTCAAATAAAATATAGTTGTGTTTCATCACAAGATATTTTCAAGAAGTAGAGTGGAAACTTGTTATAATGAGGTTCTTGGGATGATGGAAATTACATTGTTATATCAGGGGGGAAATAAAAATGAATATGAAGAGCTGGGACAATAAAAACACCTTGTTATATAAACAGATACCTCGTTACTGCAGATCTCTTTATAATGATGTTTCACTGTGTATAGCCAGTTATGCTACCAACGCTAGGAAGAATATGAAGGTCAGATTTGTCTCAGGAAACCATGAAATTTGAACAAAACAGTTATACCTCTTATAATAAAGAGGGAATTTTCTTCTTTTCATTTCTCAAGGGAGAAATTAAAAGGAAAACCAAGAACTAGGATAGAATTCAAAAAGCCTGACGATCACAGTTCAGATAATCCTATTTTCATATCAAGTTCTGCATTCCAAATTGGTTTGAACCCATAAACACAGAGTGTGAAGGTTGAGAAAGTGTGAGAGAATACACTGAATGAGAAACGTATGAATAGACTTTATAATGAAAAGAGCTGGCCAAAGAATAGACACAGTAAAAACCGCACAAATGAACACAAAAACATAGTAAACCCTTTAACTGCACATACCTGAAATTCTTATCTTTTAAATAGAAAGAAAACATTAAGAAGAAATAAACAATTAGGGAGGTTTCAATAACAAAATAGAAAAGAGATGGAGAGAAGTTTCAAAGAACAATTGATAAAAGTGCAGAGAGAACAAGCAACAGACAAGAATAGAATTAGTAGAATATCGGGTAGAATCCTTAAAATGTGCATACTTCCAATTCTTTGTCAAATAAAAGAAAACATCAAAGTGAAATAAACAAGTAGAAAACAGTTTAAATATTGTGAAAAAATAAACGAGGGGAATAATGGATAGAAAGTGAAAGAGAAAACCCCAAATGGTGATATTGAGGGTCACTCAGTAAGAAACACATCATATTACAGAGAGATAGCTTAATGTTGAGACTTTTAAAATACCCAGAGGGTGTGAAAACAAACATCTTGTTTTCTCTAACTTTCATGTGGAGGTTTTAGAAATTAGCAACAGCTAATGATACCATGGCAGCAAGATAAACATTCTCTTGATGGGATAATTGGGCTAGACATTAGCCCCATTCACACAACAGTCAGTAAACTTCGAGTTTAGATTGTAGTTTTAAGTTTATCTTGCAGTTACAGACCTCGCCGATCTTAGGGTTTATTCAAAGTTTTATACCCTGAGCGGTGTGGTTTAGTCGAAACATACAAGCAGCAGAGGGGAGGGGGGGGGGGGGGGGTGTCCTCGGGTCCTCTCTCAAAGTTACCTGTAGTGGATATGCAGTGTGTAATGATATTATGATATCTAACTCAGATAAAGTTCTATGGTAACTATACTAGCTGTATATCACTGGAAAGAAAAGAATCAAACTTTAAGGAATTGTGTGGAACAATAAACTAAAGTCAGACAAAAATTGTTGGTGGTTTAGAGCTATATATAGGTGAATTTTAAAGAAAACATATCAACCTTTTAGGGAATATGTATAACAATAAACTGAAGTTGACCAAATTGTTGGTGGTTTAGGGCTATTTATATATAAGTGAAGTAAACCAATAGCTTTTAAGTCGTATGCTTAACCTGACCTTCCTACCCCTATCAGATTGTTTGTTTGCCCAAATATGTCAAATTTTGCCTCTAAATTTCCCTCTAATAACTTACAATCCTGCATTCCTAACATTCTCTTTGGTATCAAGCAAATATCAGTAACTTTTTTATGGAGCTATAATTTTTCATCCTACCCTTTTACCCTCAGCCAATTACCCTTGGTGTATGATGACATATTGTTCTGGTAAACAGGTCTGCGAAGCTTTGTAGTACCAGGTATTGATCAACCCGCCCCTTTGCAGCTTTGTTCAAGAATCACTAATAAACATAATGTATATATTGCTCCAATATTCTAGTTCATCATATGCTTTGAAATACTTGGCGCATGCAACCAGACCAATCTTAAACCAACCGATAAGCGGTGAAACTATTGGCCATACCGGGTAACATAATTTCTTGTCCGCTCTCTTGGAGATCTTACCTACATTCTTGAAGAAAATAATCAGGATTTCATTGTCACTATTTCTCAGACTAGATGACTTTTAAAGGGCAAGTCTTTCCCAAGACATCATCCAGTTCTTGCATAAAGCGATCATGCATAAACCTTTGTTTGTTTCTTGATTTGTTAGGTTGCTAGAAGGAAATTCTGTTTCTAAACTTAGGTCTGCACAGAAGTATTGAAGGGCATGAAACATATATAGTTTTCCATCTAAATGAGTAGATTAGGGGGAGACAGGGGGGGGGGGGATTCCTGCTTATGCTCAATATTTTCTCTGTCTCATGAAAATGAAAAATGAGAGTATCAAAGAAGACGCTGGTTGAAGCAGAGAGACTGTGTTGTGAGATCACAGGTGCTGGGGAGTAACATGATAAAAACACTGAAAGGCATACCCTACACAACCAGTTGTGATTTCCGATCTCACAGACAAAAGTGTCGTGTGGAAAACGGTCCTACGGCTGGCTCACAAACAGACCCCATGTAAACAAGTCTTGACTTCAGTCAGTCCACCCATCTCTCTTGAGGGCTGTTCTCATTCGCAGACATAGGCAAGAAGGGCGTACGAGGCAATAAAAACTCAGAAGACAAAACCAGTATAGTACACGATCAGTGATTTGAATAAGCCTTGTGGTATTCACTAGTATCCATTCAATATTCATGCCGTAGTTCATTTGAAGAAATACTTAGTATTTTAGGTGTTCCTTCTTCATTCAGCCGCTGCCTGTTACACTTGG